AAACTGTGTAAAGCTTAATATTTAAAGAAAGTAAGTAATCATTTATTATAGTGACATTGTGCATTATAAACACTGTTAATTTACACTGTAAACAAAATAAACATCAAACTAAAACTGCACCCGACCCATTGGACCTATAAGTCACTTTTTCAATTAAATATATATAATATAAATTCACACATGCAGAAGATTTTTTCTACGGTTAAAGGCTGAATGTACAAATTTGGCTAATTTTATCTGGTAATTTTGATTTAACACTTTGAACAAATAATCAGCATCATTACTATTTAGGTGATCATTATATAATCTATCCCTTAAATCATGATTGTTTACTGTCCACCCACCTACATTGATGTGACCAAATCTGATAGTTATTACAGTGTTCAATATTAGTCTTGCCAAGGAGTACTGAGCTAATTTGAAGATTTTTGTGCATCTTCCTGTCCCTGGTATTCATTCAATCTATGACTTAATTCTTCTCCACAAAAATTTCTTTGCAAGTTTACTAAATTTGGTAAAGACAGTAAATAAGATGTTCAAAACAGTCTTTTCAGATTCACTTATGACTACCATCTTCTTTTCAGTTGAGACAATTTTTTTTTTTCTAAACAGAATTCCTTCAACCCATTAAAAATACAGCAAAGCTATTATCTTGTGGTTAAAAAGTGATGTTACCCCTTAAGTTTTAAAAATTTTGAAGTGGCTGTCAAGTCGGACAAAATTAACATCCTCTTTTGAGCAGTTGCAAGCTGCATCACAAAATTTTACTCTCTGTAGAGAATTGGACAGCTTTAGCCTACATCCACTTCTCTGTAAGAGAATACACCAAACATATACGAAATTTTAAATCTGCTGGATCCAGGTGAGTGATATGGATTACAAGCCTCTCAGTTCTGTAATTCTTATATCACAAGATCCTATTAATAAGTCCCTATTTTAATGAGGATTTCAGCACTAAAACTGTTTCTTTTCAAGTTAGTGATTTACGAGAAACAAGAATTTTCTACTAATTGGAACATTGTAGGTCTCATGGAAACGAATATAAATAACATGAGAAAAGTTGTTAAAAGTTTTCTCATCTTCAGATCTAACGTAGTCTTGTAAAACATTTTGGTACTAGCCAGGTTTCATAAAAATGCAAAAAGGATTAGTTAATGCATGCTTTTCAACCAAATAAAACATCAAAAGCTCACCTTGATGTGTTGAATTTAGAATAATGAAAAAAATAATCTAGGAACATGAACTAACCACTTAGCTTTATTATCACCTGCCTGTTTGCTTTCTTGCCACTTTGGAGCATTTTATTCTTATTTTAAGAATCAATGTAAACTAAAATATATGATAACAAAATGCAGATTATATTACCCCTTGCACTCATAAGATGTGTTACATTTAGCAAGAAATTTTTATTTAAATCCTGGCTTTAACTAACAAGTTTAAAAGTAATATATAACAAAATTTTAACTTGCACATAATGCAGTTAGAAACACTTATGAAAAGGCATCTGAGTTTGACATAAGAGGTGGACCAGAGGTGCGAGCCCACAAACAATTCTGAAGAATCAATTGAAGGCTTAATATGGTGAAAAGTCGGTACACCTGAGATTTCCAATGACAATCATATAAAAACAACTTAAATCAAACTAAACCCAGTGCTCCAAGTTGCAACTAAAATGGTTGCATTTGCTACCCAAATTAATTTTGCAAATAGATATTTAAAACTAACTCACAATTTTGTGAATGAGAAAATCTGGACCAGCTATTGTCCACTTTTATGATCATGATCAAGATTTACTTTTTCACAGATTCTCTATCAAAAAAATGTTTGAAGAAATTCTTAAATAAACTTTGAAAAGCATCACAAGGACCTAGTTTATGTAATGTTATAACAGCATGCTGAATTATGAAGTATGGTTGTAGCTAGTGTTGTAAAAGAACGGTATCCAAATGTGGTAAACTTTTTAGAACCCAACCTTGCTATGAAGCATTTGGTCTATTGCTTGCATATCACAACTAATTAGGAGTGTTTAGCCCATATTTACAGCAATTGTTTAATAGGTTAGACAAGTAGTAATTAAGTGAACATTGCAAACATCTAGCAAGTCTCAGTAGTCAAAATTCATTTTCGAAGATCAAGTTATTTTGATCAACTGTGCTTTGGCTATCTTGTATAAAAAAATCCAAGAAATAATTTCAGGCTGATGAACTCATTTCCAACTCAATGTGTTGAGTACATTGTTTCATATGACATTAGTGTAACAAACTTGAAGAAAAAACAACAAGAAAACCAGGCAAATTTTGTATGCTTGTGCATCAATGTTACTATTTTTGCTCATAACTCAAAACTCAGTTTGTCAGTTAACTTTTCATACAAATGACCTCTCAACAATACAAAGTGGGAAATTTTTAAGCAAACTTGTCAGAGAGCATTTTCGATAAAGGGGATTCAAATTTGATTGAAAGCAGGGCTGCATCTCAAAAGGAAAATATCTAGCAAATAAGAAAATATAATGGGGTCAAATAAAATCATATTTTCTAAAGAACCACTAGGCCAGAAAGCTTTCATGTAGATAGATACAAGATAATACATTGATGCAAAGCATCAAACATGTCAAATCGGCCGCAAACATTCCATGTGTTGTGCTGATCATAATGCCCTGGATGACGCTGATGTCTTCTGCAGGCGGGAAGGAGTCACCCTGAAGGACATCATACAAATGTGAAGTATTAAAAAATTTATATTCTTTTGTCATTCGCAGCTGTGGCAAATTAAAAAATATATAAAGTACCTTTTTCTCTAATATTCAAGTACTGTAATCTAATTTCCGGATACTCGCAATTATTATAATACTGAGTTCCTTTTATAAATTATTAACTCCCATGCTTGGGAGCACTTCTTTATTAAAAAAAAAAATGTAAAATCAAAAATTAATATTTAATTAAAATTGACAAAAAATTGGAAATACATTATTTGCCATTAACAAAAATAATTAAGACATAATATAAAACTATTTTCAAAAATTAATTACATGTATTCATATTACTTTGATGCATGCTATCACTGAGGAATTATTCTATCGAAACAACAGAAACAACAAAAAATAATGTTTTGTTTCTCCATGTGCACTTTCTAGCACAACCACAAATAGATTAGCTGCTGCTGCTGCCCATAATAGGCTTCTTCAGTATATGTATTACTAAATTCACAATCTGAAGCTGAAATGGAGCCACAATACTAGTTTCAAAGTTTTACGCATACAAGGAATATAAAATTGTACGGGAAAAGTGCAAGCAACTAAATAGAGTTTTTTAGAGTCCTTTTTTTTTAAATCATGGTTTCCAGGGCTTGCTGGATTCAAATATTTCTTTAAAATATGTAGCAATTCTTTGGCTATAAAAATGTAGCTTCAATTTTGCATATTGTATTATTGAAATAATATTACCATTCCCTTTTTTAAAAGCAATCTTTTTCAGTAAAAAGTCAATTTTATTGAAATCTTGACCCCTGAGGCACAGGTAAGACCACAAAAGTGATTCAAGCCTTTTTTTTTTTTTTGAAGAAATCTATAGTACAGATCTTGAAAAATTTTCTTTAAGAATGTCAAAGTTACAAATGAAAGCAGATCTGTAGATTTAAATTTGTGCAAACCATCACCCAGTGAGCTTTGGCTTAAGACCACCCCTGGAATTCAAAGTTTTACAGAATATATACATACATATTATATAACAATAATCCTTCAAATTCTTCTAAAATACAGCAAGACAACAGTTGTCAAATTTGTGTATGTGGACTGTACATTCAAAATTGAATCATATATACCCACTCCCCAGCACACCCAAGTACAAGATTCCGGGGCTAATGCTATAATGTCAATCTGTAAGCAACAGTATGAAGGATTTAAGTCTGTTCAAATCATAGTTACATTAATTTCTTAAAACTTTCACAATTTAGATAATATTATACATAAAAATTTCAGATCAGTTTGTAAATTTGTCTCATATGTATTTATTAACAACTATTTATCATGTTTATGGAGTGGTCAAATTTTTCAAACAGATAGAAAAGTCCACCTAACCAGTCAATCTTGAGTACTCTGCTTAATTTTTTTTTTCTGTAACTACCGACATGTGACTTAAAAAAAAACAGACAAGCAAAATCAAAACAAAGCATGTTAAGCATTTTACATGTTTTTGTGTGTTGAGTTTTAAATCTGTCTGATATTTATAAATAAATTTGTCTACATACGGAAGATAAAATTTGTCATGTGTGCACTTATCAACCATACACAATAATAAGTGTATACAGCATGGTCAAAATCATCAACCGACAAGTCAGCCATTTCTTTACAGGTATTCATAATAAAAAAATTTGCATATCAAACTTATTGCGAAGTTTTTTAAAACTGAAAGTTTAATACTATATATATTTGTTGTCTCATTTTAGAAGGTACGAGAATATTTTGTCAAGATCAAAACACATGCAAAGTGGAACAAAGATTGATAATTTTGTTACAAATTCATCAGAAAATATGTTTAATAGGTTTATAATGTACATCTACTCCTTATATCAGCTGTGTTTACACAAGGAGAATAGGTCCCTACTGAGCAAGTAAACTAAATGGCCAGCTGACTGACACATGAAAGGTTATAAAACAGGTTTTCGATCACCTTTGTTCTGAACAAAGGCTTTAAACAAAATTACCAAGTTTAACTCAAAGTATTCACGCAATATTGTGCTCTATCCATTCATCAGACCACTGTGTACCCGATTATACAACACTGTATTACAATATAGTACCGATCTACATGATCTATGTCCCCCATTTGAAGGACATTTATAAACACCAATAAAACATTAAACATTCATAATTTTTTTTCACTAAGGGAAAGTTAATCCGCTTTTATAAATAATCAGAGACGACAGCTATAAAATAAAGTTTAAAATAAAAATACAGGTGAGACGACCCCTCGGCGATCCCCAGGTGTGACAAAATTCCTTACCTCTAGAGTATGTGACGGCAGTTACCCAAATTAAAAACACGGTGAGGAAAAGTGCAGACGGCAATTTCGCCTGCATGGCGGGCTTAGAGCCTTCCTTAATCCTTTTTAGTTGCACTCTTACTTAATCTGATGATTTGCACACACATAGGAAATTCACAGTATATCCATTGCATTCCCACACCATGTGCCTTGCTGAAGTTTCCACTAAGAGCGTTTGAATGATGTTGACTCGGAAATACGTGACGTCAGTTTTTCTTCGTATGCTTATTTTTAGAATGGGAAAGTCGCAATTATTATTTAAAGAAGGACAACTCCAACATCGACTCCAAATAGCATCGATTGGCGCAAAATATTTCACAAATATTTTATTGTGTTTCTTTTTTTAATATCAGAAATTAACCATAGATTTTTCCAAATCTGATATCAAAAGCTTTAATTCTTTAGGCTAATATTCCCCCACTTTGTTGCAGCAGGGACCTATATACTAAGTATTAGTATATAGGTCCCTGGTTGCAGCATAGTTAAATCAGGACAATGTGCTAATGTAACAGTATGAAGAAAATTAGCCTAAATAAATTTGGTTGCGAAAGAAGCCCCCCCCCCTCCCCAAAGATTTTCGGGTTTAGACATTTTTTTTTTACAACGAACAGTGGTCGATCTAGAAAAAAAAAATAATTTAAAAAAAAAAAACGTAAATTACAAATCTGTGAACAGGGCATACAAGGTTTTAGACAAGACAGACGTGTTAGCTGTTTTAATATGACTTTGCTTGCTGAGGAAATAATATAGGGTAAGTATCAAATAAAAATGCTAAATTTGTTTTATTATTGCATAGGCGTCGAAACCGGGGGGGAGGGGGGGCTTAGTCCCCCACTTTTTTTTTTGCAAAGATAGACATAATATAGTCATTGAAAATTGGGGCTTATCTTTTTATATTGGGTTAGCCCCCCCCCCCACTTTCAATTAGCCACCCCACTTTCAATTTGCTTCCGACGCCTATGTATTAATATTATTATCATCATCATCATCATTTATCAATTTTTATGCTGTATAAATTAGACATCTACGTAAACAGAGTAGATCCATCCTCAAGGCATTGTTACGTCATACCAATTATTACGTCACAATTACATTATTAAAAGGAAAATAAGTAACGTCAGGTGCCTGACTGTCTGTGATCCCGATAAAAGTTTAAAAATGATACCTTATTTCTTAAATGAAATATGGAAGTAACGAGCAGTATTCAAGCTCAAAGTCCATAAAACAGTACAATCGGGAACAGAGCAAAGGACCTCCAAAAACATCAGAGGTGGGATCAGGTGCCATGGAAGAGTGAGCATCCCCTGCCGACCGGTCACACCCGCCGTGTGCTCCTTGTCATGATCGGGAAAAACGCAAAAAAAATCCATAGACAATTCAGTGTGTAAATAATGGCCTAACAATTAGTATGAAAAACGTAAGTCAGCATTTGACTCAATGATAGGTTGTATTTGCTGACAAGGTCATTGTATCGCCATAAAACTTGCCAAATGATGACTTCAAGGAGACTGTTGATGCCCTTGTTTCATCAACTTGTTTGTCAATAACTTGCCTCGTTTTAGAAATTGTTCGTACGTAGAGCATGCTCTTGCGTATCGATATATATACACTTCCAAATACTTTTATAAAGGTGAGATAAAACTTATGCTAGTAAATCACATAAACTACTTGAAGATTTTTTTAATATTTATCATTGAACGAATCATGCAAATTAATGCGCGTAAATTATTGTCTGCCCTTTTTGCACCAAAAATATCATATCTGGTGCATAAAAAATCTAAATAGGCAATAAAATATTTTTCTTTTATCAAGCTTTTTTTTTACTTTAGTGCTGATTGATTGAAAGTAAATTATGAAAGAAAAAGTTGGGACCAGTGATGTAAATTTTGGATATTGGTCAAAATATGCGATTTTCAGAAGAAGAGACAAATTAGATTTTATCTTGACTTCTTCAATAAATAAGTTAGAGGTTCTAACCATACTTTTCTCCAAAGCTGACGAGTGACATACCTTAAAAGATTTTTTTCCTATTAAATATTTCCATGTTAAACTTTAATCCCTTATTGTGGACACATCCTACCACAGGGAGCTATGATTTGAACAAACCGAATCTGCACTACCCTAGGATCTTTGTATAACAATATAACTAATCATGACCTTGTTGTTCTTGAGAAGATGATGATGATGAAGATTTTTTTTCCAATATAATATTCCCATCTAAAACTTTGTGTCCTATTGTGGCCCCACCCTTCCTCTAGGGGCCCTAATTTGAACAATCTTGAATCTACACTACATGAGGATGCCTCCATATCAATCTGACTCATCAAGGCCCTGTTCCTCTTGAAAAGAATATTTTTAAAGATTTTTTGTATATATTTCAATGTAAAATTCAATCCCTTATTGTAGCCCCAACTTACTTTAGGGTCCATGATTGGCACATTAACTTGAATCTACAGCACCCTGAGGATGCTCCTTTAGGTATAAATAATCATGGCCCTGCATGCTGTTCTTGAGAAACTGACAAAATAAAATTTTGTTCCCTATATTTTCCCATGTAAAAGTCCCCCCCCCCTTCCTGGGGGGATCATGATCTGAATTAATTTGAAACTACATATGTCTGAAAACTTTCATGTAAGTTTCTTCTTTCCTGGCCAAGTGATTCTTGAGAATTTTTTAAAAAGATAATGCTATTAATTTTTCAAAAATTCTTAATCATCTCCATCTGAAAGAAGGCTTGGCTTTTCTTTGAGTAAACTTGAATCCCTTTGACCCAAAGGATGCTTTATGGCAAGTTTGGTTGAAACTGACCCAGTGGTGACTGGGGAATAAAAGTTTTCAGACAGATGTACAAAATGTGGAACCTATAAACTTATTTTCCTCCTCCCTCCCTCCACCCTGAGATAAGGTTCAAAGTTAGCCATTGACAGATGTAAAAAGAAAGCCACAACTCTGGCCTGTTGATGACCAATTCACAAGTAGATGTGATTCATTCTTCATTTCCTACACACTACTTCCCCCTAATCTACCAAAATAAGATATGACCTTGCATATCATTTACCATTTAAAGGTAAAGGTCAAAGTCAACATAAAATATACTGAATACATTGCATCCAATTTATGTAAGGGTGATTATTATGACACAATATTCATTAAAAATTACTTCCCAATTTGGAGATCAAAGGTCAAGTTTAACTTAATGACATTATTGAAAATATTTCACACTGATGTAATGAACCTTAAAGACTGAATAGGTTCATACTCCCCCCCCCCCCCCCCCCCCCCAAATGTCAAAATCACAACTAAAGTGATACTAATTATCTTAAATAAAATATCACATTGATAAATCAGTGTGAACACTTCACTGTTCACACAGATAAATCAATGTACTGCTATCATTTACAGTTGAAGACCCCCCCTCCCCCCTTACTGGCTGCCAAATGCAGTAGGAAAGGTTGAATAAAGAAAATATATGGGTGGACCAGGAATTGAACCCAGGACCTCTGTATCACTAGTCAGGTGCTCTAACTACGAGCTTCCCAGGCCAATTTCCACCATCCATATAGCCCTAACTACTACACAAGGTACATGTAAAATGTCAAGGCCAAGATCAATTAGCAAAAATAAACATCCCACCCTGAAATACCTATTTTTGTGTTGCCTGCAGAGCAGAGTGACACTTAGGGATCACTTTACCTGGCATCTGTCTGTCTGTCACACCTTATATCTAGAGAACTCTAAGAGCTATAGATTTGATATTTTGTATATATATATTGTTTGGCACTATGGCTTTTGTAAAATACCATGGTTACTGACTTCATGACCTTTGAACTACTTTTCAAAATAGTTCATAGTTTTGATAAACAGCATATTTTTGACATTTGTGCTTTTTAGCATGTGCACTGTTTGTTATAAAATATTTTTAAAAATACCACCATTAAAGACTACTTGACCTTGACCTTTGACCTTCTTTGCAAAAAACCCCACTCCAAACAATTTAATTTCACTTATATCGTCTTTAGAATTTTAAGAGGCAGGGTTTTGATAATTAGCATTTATTTATGTTTATGAGTATGGCACTTTACTTTGAAACTGTATGATATATAGTTACCACACAAACTGAAAGTGCTATGAAAATAGGGTACTGGTATTCCAAAATAGATCAGTGCAGACTGCAGTAAAGACAGTTTGAAATCTCTAATTAATAAAATCATTATGATAAATGTTTTTTTTTTTAATAATTATTTCAATTTCATTCTTCATTTTAACTTTGAGGGTTGGGATCTCCTATTTGTATTTGATTGTCAGATGCTGTCACAGTCTTACTATCAGTGGATGCCTTTTTATTTTCCAATTGCAGGCAAATGCGTGAACTACAATTCTAGTAGCACTTTTTTAATAAATAGCTGACCACTCTTATAGATTTATTTACATCTTTAATGAAGTTATAAAGCAGGTGACACATGAATTCCTCGGAACACCCAAGTTTAAAGTTAGAATATGAACAGGGATAAATATGTATATCACTCATTTGTTCAAGGGCAAGGTCAATCTTCCAATGGAAATAATAGAAGCATCACCTCTCCATTTACCCAATTTTTTAATTTTAATCAAAATATTTCACTTACAGAATTGGCTTTCTCCAAATCATAGATAATGGAAGTTTTGCCTTTTTTATCCCCTTGCAATAAAGTTGGAGATATTATAAGTAACGCACTTGTGTGTGAGTGAGTGTGTGTGCATAACAGAAATTAATTTTCATCCCATGTTTACACTTTTATCCTGTGGATATCACTCATTGGATATTTCTTTTCATATCCCACTGTTGTGACATCACAATGGGTTTTGCATGAGAGAAATGAAGTGGATTCTTATATAAAATTGACAGCGATGTATAAAACAGCCAACGCTCAGGAATAAAAACACACAACTTGTTGGGAAAAAATCATGGGAGATCCTATATACCGGGTATATCTGGATTGATGTGCTCTTTGTGAGGGGACACTCCACTTTGCAGTGCTCTTGTTTTATAAGTACATGTATCAGTAACATGGAGAGGGAAAAAAAGGATTGAAAAACAAGCAATATATACAGTGTAGTTTTAACCATTTATTTTGGTTAATTCAGCTCAAATTTCATCTCATGAATATTAGATTGCATTAAAAATGTTAAAACATATCTATATATATTTATATAAGCTATATACAAATAATCAAATAGTTATCTAAAGCAAATTAAAACAATATTACACAGTTATGTGTACAAATTAAAAAAATAAGGTCAGTTCCCTGAAACTGTTTTTGTTGTGTTGTTTCTCTTTTGATATTTGTTTTGAAGCTTTAAAACTCCATTTCTTACAGAGATTCTAGTTCTAGATGTAAACTATAAATGAATTATATACACTAGAATATACTGCAGTAACTGAACCAAATCTCATCCCAGTCCTTAGAATAAATACAGGAAAGGAATTGTCATCTTCAGGGTAATCTTTTTTTAAAATTCTAAACTGTACATTAGATTGTTAAATATAATTTTTGGGACTTTCTGAATTTTCTTGCATGAACTTAAAACCCTTTGTTTAACTCCTCAACCTGTAGAAAAATGCTTTTTAACATCTTCATAAAAAATAAACAAAATATTTACCCTCTTTGTTTTCATTATCATAAACCAACAGTACCCTCCCCATCCCCAGATTCTAATATCTGTGGGAAGAACTTTACAAAAAAAAAAACAACAAAAGCAACCATTAATCTTCCTACATTCTGTTTAGTTTTTGAAGTCCTTAAAATTTTTCATGCCTAACATAATTTAATACTTTGGTTTTAAAATACTTTTTTTGTTAAATACACTTGTTAATACTGTTGTATAAAGTCATGATCCAGATAAACCCTATAGGCAATTATTATGCAGCAGCATCATAAAAATTAGTTTGGAGATGCATTGTAAAACAGTACTCAGTGGGTAGATGCAAACAGCACAAATCCTCAGTCAATAATACAGTTAAACACAGTCACAGCGACCACGCTGATAACGAATACATGCTCATAGTGAAGAGATTTTCATTCCCTGTAGACTTAAAAAGCAATGTGAATTTACTGTATATACAATGAATTATGTTTATAACAAATAAAAATTGTTCACCCTTGCACTTTGCTATAAGCATGTTTTAATGTATGTACAGTCATCCAATGAAAAATTACTTACATTCTGTGCCAGCAGTGAGAGCTGACAATCAACTTAACCCTGTTTTCTTAATTATAAAAGTAATTAATCAGTATCACAGACAAAAAAAAAAAAAGATTCCAGAGATGAACATGAAGCACATTAATTTGTGGCAGCAACCATGGCCTTCGGCATAGTTTGGTCAACTCTAGAAGAAACATTCTTGAACCTGTTAAAAGAAAAGTTATCCTGAATCATTTTGGATTTTAACTACTGTAGATTCCTAAATATACGCGAGGAATAAATTATCGCGTAATTACGCGAGAAGCACCACTCGCAAAATAAAATTACTCGCTTTTATTTTTATGGTGCTTTAATGTATGTAAAATCTCTAGATAAATCACCCATTCGCGAATTATTTTTCTTGCAATTTGACGCCCTTTAGCCATTTCGCGATATTAAGTACTCGCGTAAAATAAGGAATCTACAGTATAGCTGTTTACAGGTTACAATAACAGAAGTAGCTCTTTGAAATTATGGTAAATCAATTCAAAATAAATAGACTATAGTAAAGAAGTATGGGAAATAGCAATTTGCTATAAATCACTCAAACTGAATAAAAGAAGCTCTTGCTATCTGTCCTGCATTCAATAATTGCCAAGGTAAAATGTTGAATGCGGTGACTTGCCACATATGAAAGTATTTTGGCTTACTTGGACATTTTGAAGAGCTCCTTCTCGGGAACTTTAGCTCCTTTCTTTGAAGTTGTTGTGGAAGAAGCAGCTGATCGACTAGAGTGATGATCAGAGTCTACAGCATGTCCTCGTCTTCTGCAACAAAAAATTGCAGTCTGCATCATTTCCACACAGAAAATTCTAACATACTGTTGAACTTCAGTATCTCAAACATTGAGATCTTGAATACCATGAATATGTTGAAATAAGTTGAAAATTTCTCTAAATATTTTAACCTCAATATCTCAAACCCTTGGATATTTTGAAGTTTTTTCTTGGTCCCAATTAGTTCGAGATAATGAGACTAACTGTACTAATAAACTTTAAAAAACAAACTTTTTCAACCAAATTATCTATATATCTGAGACTTACTGTGGCTGGTACACAGGTTGCCTGGCTTTGCCTATGGTTGTGTTATACTCAGATACAAGGGGCTCTTTATTCGAAGGTCCCTGTGATGCTATCATCTGTCTGTGTTTTTCTCTTAGTTTGTCTTGCTTATATTCCCATTTACGAACTTCATCCTGCCATTCTCTGTCATAAGCATAGGACAAAAGCTTGGTCATTTTGGGCCTCTCTGTCTTATCTGAAGCTTCAGGTCTGTACAAAAAAAAAACCCTCATATAAGTCTTTCCAGTAAACATTTGTAGACTAGAGCCATAAGTAAGAAGGAAAGTTAAGTGTGGTGAGAACACAAAGTTCATAGAATTTTATACTTGTAACAAAAATTGACTACACTCACTGAAAGTTAAAGAGTCTATACATACAAAGGTAAGTATTTAAGTCTGTCTCGGCCATCTTCCCTTGTGGCCATTTTGGCAGTTGCGACTTGCTGAGAGGTTTTCATGCCTGCCGGAGGAGGGGGAGCTTTCTTTGTTCTGAAAGGTTTACTGCTTCGTACTCCATAACCAGGTTTGATCACCTCTGGTAACTTGACAGTTTTATCTGTTACCCCCTTCCCTTCTCGCTCAAAAGCAGATACATTATCAAAACCATAGGGTGCCCTTCTTGGTCGTTCATAAGGATCTGTCTGTGCATCTGGATTGAACACTTCGTGGTACATGTATTCAGGTACAGTAAACTGGTATGGTCTAAATTAATAGAAAATTCAATACAGTCATCACAAGTCTGTTATGACATAAGCATAAACAGGAATTGAACACTTCTTTGAGAACATATGAAATTATGATATTAAGTGGGGGTTTACATTATAAGGATTTTGTGGATACCTTCACTGTAAATTTACAAACCTCAGAAACAAGAGGTTCATTGGTAACATCACTCACCTGAGCACTTTGGTTAGAGAAAAGCAGAAATCAGTTCAGTATCGAAAAGTTTAAATATAAAAGTGGCCCCACCCTACCCGGAGGGGCAGGGAAGGGGGTCATGATTGAACAAACTTGAATCTACATTACCTGGGGATGCTTCCATATTTAAAATATGAGAAATCAGGGCTTTGCTGCTCTTGAGAAGAAGATCTTTAAAGACTCTTTCTGTGTATTCCCATATAAAAACTTTGATCGCCATTTGTGGTCCCACTCTATTCCCAGGGGTTATGATTTGAAGAAAATTTGAATCTGCTCTATGTAATGAAGCTTTCACCAAAGTTTCATCTTTTCTGGCCTAGTGGTTCTTGAGAAGAAGATTTTTAAAAGATGTCATTAAATTTTCACTTATTCTTAATTATCTCCCCTTGAAAGAGATGTGGCCCTTCATTTGAACAAACTTAAATCCCATTTACTTAAGGATGCTTTGTGGCAAGTCTGGTGAAATTGGCCTAGTGGTTCTTGAGAAGTCAAAAATGTGAAAAGTTTACAGATGACACACAACAGATGGACACCAGACACTTTTTGATCAGAATAGCTCACTTGAGCCCTTCATGTGAATTAGAAAGGATATCCACAGAATCATATCCAACCTATACTCGAAAATTTAATCCATGGATATTGGTTACCATTAAAATAAAGCCATACTTACATTATATATAAATTTATAATAGTTTACAAAACATTTTTAATATTTTACAATGATTAATCCACTTTCTATCTCAATTTTATTCAAAGGATGATGTGACATACGACCCCCGGTAAATTGACCAAAAATTAAATATCTAAATTTTCTCTAATTTTTGTATGCACTTGATCACTAATATGTATACCCTCATAAAATACTACTTTTACCGAAAATAGAAACATGATTTGGAAGATATATATCTTTATTTTGAGTAGGGGTACCATGTTTACATCCAATTCCCATTGAATTTTGGCCCTGCCCCACTCTTTGAAGCCCTTAAAATATACGAGCGCAAGTAGGTACATTTTTCTCCTTTGGCTGGTCACTGTCTTTTATTGAAATCTACTTATATGTGAAAGGAGAAAAATGTACCTAACTGCACTCACATGTTGTTTTTAAAAAATTGTAAAATCTAGCTGGCCTTTCCCATTATAAACAGATCGACGAAACTATTTTTTCTGACGTAAGAATAAATTCATATGCTAATCGAGGCACTGGCGATACTTTTTAACTGACCAATCAGCTAAATGAGGTGCATAACTAGTGAGTACCACAAAAATACTAAGGACATCTTATGCTTGGAAAAAAGATTGTTTTTTTTTTTAGCTGCATTCCGATAAATATTTTTTATGCATTTGAGTCACAGATTTGACACAAATCTACAATTTCCCAGCTCACATTTACAAATAATTGATTTATAAATATACATAGTTAAAAGTTTTGTAAAGCGTTTGGTGGGCAATTCGCTAGTTCTACACGTATTCCCTAGAATCAGTGAATAGAAGTTTCATGTGCATTTCTTGACCCTAAACGGTAAACACTGTGGTTCCATGTGTATTGTTTTGTATAAATAGCCTTGGCTGACCATTAAAGTTTGAAATGTAGTAGAGATATTGTGTAAATTTACCTAAATCACGTGCCTGTGATAAAATGTAAACATGTAGTAAACCAGCATGTTTTGTCGTTCTGTCATCGGATTGGACAATTGTTCTCGGTAAGCGACTATGTGCGAAATAATAACAATACCTATATAAGGTAAGATTCCTCAAACATGCATATCCCTGTATTGTACTAAGACCCACCTATTCTCTTCATAAAAGACATATTGTCACAACCAGGTCGAATTTTGCTGTCACAGGGTAAAAAAAAAATCATAGAAAATGCAGTAATCCTTATAATTAAAATTTGTCGGAACTATTGAAACTATTCAAAAGGCGTCGTATTTATTCACTCATGTATGAAAACTATCAAAATCGTTGTAGATTAGATATAATTCGTCGTAGAAAAAGGGGCCCCAGATAGCAGTTATGTCACATCATCCTTTACAATGCATCACAATTAAGCCTTGTACCTGTGAATAGATGCATGCATTTCTAGAAGACTTAAGTTTCTTGCTCTCAAAAATAAATATTCCACCTACTCTGTTTTTTCTTTTTCCTCCTCTGCTTCCAGTCTATTGTCTTCTAGATAAAACCACTCATTCCTAGGATATGACACAGGCTCCCTCTCTCTCCCATTTAGATTCTCCTTGAATTGCAATAAATCTAAGAAAAGATAAAAAAGAGTTAGTCTTGCATTTAATTACATTAAAACAAGTAAGAGATACTGAGTATATGATTGCTTGACTTGTTGAAGTTTGCAAATTGTTTTAGGCTGTTTTTCTACAAATGTAAATGTTTAAAGCAAAAATGAGGACTTCATTATATCCGAGTAATCACAGCTATCATCTTACTTTGTCTGCCACCAGATTTTGCTAAGCGGACATATTTGGTGTCTGTGTCTTTGAACATAGATCTCTGGGCCTCCTCCTCAGGGGGGAGATCAGTGTTCAGACCTGGAATCTGAGAGGTATAAGGAACTGGCACTGGTTCTGACTTTGGTTGTCTTTTAGCTGGAGCATGGTAAAACCAGCCTAGAAGGCAAAGAAAAATATATTTCATAAAAAGAACCTTCTTGCAATTTGTCTTTCTTGATACTAACCAATCCACACTTTGCAAAAGTTGTGTCCCTTTGCGGGATCAACCGAAAGGAAGAGGGTAAGAAACAAAATATATTTCCTTTATGCTTCCTAACACTTGGGCATGCTCTGATAAAGCCACTGTTTTTAAAAAAAAATATAAAATTTAATAGAATCCGAATGTTTTTTAAAACCCGTTAAGTATGTTAGAACGACACATTGACAATGTATATCCGGGGTTTTACTTATAAATATTACATACTTACCACACTCCTTTATATTTTTATTCGTCGCCATTGAAATTTTGTGAAAAAAATCCTATGATTTGACTGTTACTGGAGGTATAATATGTATGCTGTTTTAGATCTCGTAACCAGCCTCTATAACCAGGCAGAGCGCATGCGTGAAATAAATTTCCATCGAGATCGGAAAACAGCAGAGAGGAAATTCGGAATATATAATGGAAACTAGTAATGCGGAATGATACTATAGTCAGATGCAGAAATTTTTGCATAATTCGATCAACTTTTATTTAAAAAAGCAGAAGAATAAATGAATCAACTTTACAGTTAGTTTTTATTTATTTATTTATTTAATTATTAATTTATTTATTTATTTAATTTATTTATTTATCATTCTTATAATTAATTAACTAAGTAACTGATTAATTTATTGAAAAATATATATTTGTATTTTTTTTAAAATTCATTTATAACATTCTTTCCTTCATTTATTAATTATTCCATCCATTAATTAATTATCTATTAATTAATTCATTGATTTATTAATTTGTATGCATGTTTGTTTATTTATTTATTTATTTATTATTCTCATAATTAAGTAATTGATTAATTCATTAAGAAGTTCATTTATTTGTTTGTTTATCTATTTATTATATTCATTCCTTCATTTATTTCGTATTCTATTTATTTATTTATTTATTATTTATCTATTTATTTATGCATTCATTTATTCGTATTTTTATTTATTTCTTTTTTTTTATTTCTTTATTGATTGATTGATTTATTTTTGCATTTATTTATTGATTTATTTATGCATTTATCATATATTTCTTTTATAAATTAATTATTTTTTACAGGGTTTGTATACTTATTACCAGGGTCTGTTTATGTATTGCCATAGTTTGTATACCATCACCAGGGTCTATATACCTATCACCAGGGTCTGTATACCTATCACCAGGGTCTGTATACCTATCACCAGGGTCTATAAACCTATCACCAGGGTTTATATACCCATCACCAGGGTTTGTATACCCATCACCAGGGTCTGTATACCTATCACCAGGGTCTGTATTATCTATCACCAGGGTCTATATACCTATCACCAGGGTCTGCATACCAATGACCAGAGTCTGTATACCTATCACCAAGGTCTGTATACCCATCACCAGGGTCTGTATACCTAGCACCAGGGTCTGTATACCCATCACCAGGTCCTGTATACCCATCACCAGGGTCTTTTTACCCATCACCAGGGTCTGTATACCTATCACCAGGGTCTGTATTATCTATCACCAGGGTCTGTATACCTATCACCAGGGTCTGTATATCCATCACCAGGGACTGTATTATCTATCACCAGGAACTGTATAGCTATCACCAGGGTCTATATACCTATCACCAGGGTCTGTATACCTATCACAAGGGTGTGTATGCCCATCACCAGAGTCTATATACCCATCAACAAGGTCTGTATTATCTATCACCAGGGTCTATATACCCATCACCAGGGTCTGTATACCCATCACCAGGGTCTATAAACCTATCACCAGGGTTTATATACCCATCACCAGGGTCTGTATACCTATCACCAGGGTCTGTATTATCTATCACCAGGGTCTGTATACCCATCACCAGGGTCTGTATATCCATCACCAGGGACTGTATTATCTATCACCAGGGTCTGTATTATCTATCACCAGGGTCTTTATACCCATCACCAGGGTCTGTATACCCATCACCAGGGTCTTTATACCTATCACCAGAGTCTATATACCCATCACCAGGGTCTGTATTATCTATCACCAGGGTCTATAAACCTATCACCAGGGTCTATATACCCATCACCAGGGTCTGTATACCTATCACCAGGGTCTGTATTATCTATCACCAGGGTCTGTATACCCATCACCAGGGTCTGTATATCCATCACCAGGGACTGTATTATCTATCACCAGGGTCTGTATATCCATCACCAGGGTCTATATACCTATCACCAGGGTCTGTATACCCATCACCAGGGTCTGTATACCCATCACCAGGGTCCGTTTTATCTATCACCAGGGTCTATATACCCATCACCAGGGTCTGTATACCCATCACCAGGGTCTGTATACTTATCACCAGGGTCTATGTACCTATCACCAGGGTCTGTACACCCATCACCAGGGTTTGTATACCCATCACCAGGGTCTTTATACCTATCACCAGGGTCAGTATTACCTATCACCAGGGTCTATATACCTATCACCAGTGTCCTTATACCTATCACCAGGGTCTTTATACCTATCACCAGGGTCTGTATTATCTATCACCAAGGTCTATATACCTATCACCAGGGTCTGCATACCAATGACCAGAGTCTGTATACCTATCTCCAGGGTCTGTATACCCATCACCAGGGTCTGTTTACTTATCACCAGGTTCTGTATAACTATCATCAGGGTCTGTATTATCTATCACCAGTGTCTGTATACCCATCACCAGGGTCTGTATACCCATCACCAGGGTTTGGGTATCTATGAACAGGGTCTTAATCTGTAAATCTATGTCAAGGGTGTGTATTATCTGTCATTAGGGTCTGTATGTACCCATCACCAGGGTGTGTATACCTATCACCAGAGACTGTGGACCTATTACCAGGGTCCGTATGTCTATTACCAGCGTCTGTATTTCTATAACCAAGGTCGGTATTATCTATTAAAAGGGTCTGTATACTTATCACCAGGGTCTATATTATCTATCACTAGGGTCTCTATTATCTATCACTAGAGCTGTACATCTATCACCAGGGTCTGTATACCCATCACCTGTTTGTTTGTCCGCAAAAACGTGCCCATTACTTTTGATTGGTTGGACCTATGGCTTTCATATTTCACATGTGCATTCCTTGTGATAAGGCCTTTGTTTGGGTTCTAACATATTTGACTTTTTTGACCTTGATCTTTGAGTTTTTCCCACTTTTTCAAGAATTTACCAAACTTTAACCTTGGCTATAACTTTTCAACAGTTGGTGCAAGGGCTTTCATACTTTATACTAGTATGTGTATTCATAGTAGCAAGACCTTTGAACGGATATTAAAAAAATTGATCTTGACCTTTGAGTTTTACCAACTTTTAAAAATTTTAACCTTGAGAAATTAGTATCAGGGCTATTATTTTCCACATGTGTATTCCTTGTGACAAATCCTTTCTTTGGGTTCCGACATATTTGAAATTTTGACCTTTATCTTGGAATAAGACATACTTTTGAAAAACTTTAATCTTGGCCATATATTTTGAACAGTTGGTGCTAATTCTTTAATGTTTTACATGTGTATTTCTTATGACAAAGCCTTACCCTGGGTACCTTTAATTTGACCCTTTGACCTTGACCTTGCAGTTTGACCCACATTTAAAAAACTTTAACCTGAGCTAAACCTTTTGAATGGTTAGTGCCTGGGATTTCTTATTTCTCAGATATATTCACTGAGAGTCCTTTCTTTGGGTAACAACATTTTTCAGCTATTAAGGACATACGCAACGTAGTTTGAACTTTATTGTCTTTTTCCCTGGAGTTGAGGATTTCAAATACTTAAAGGAACTGTTTGCTACATTTTAATGTCTATATATGCTGTTGTACACTTCTTCTAAAATAAATTTGGATAAACAAAACATCTAGAATATATGTTTAATAATTTTTGTATATTTTTCTTTGAATTATACAAGAATTTTCATCAATTGATATCTTTTCAAAACCCCTGGTAATGCATGCTGATTTTTTGTCTACGAACATCTGATGGCACTATATAATCTTAAATTAAGAATATCTTTAAAAATTATCAGTAGGTAAAGTACGTTGCGTATGTCCTTAATATTTGAGTTTGAGTTGCATTTGAGAAACTTTAACCATTGTCAAAAGCTGCCATACAGGGACATCAGTGTTTCACAAACACATTTTGTTTTAATTTGAAATACCAAACAAAATTAAATTGAAATATTCGATAATAACCATTATAGATTTTAGATAATTTTGTTCACTAAAGAAGAGAAAGTCCTTTGCTGTAAAGTGAGGTTTATTTGTACGTTTATTTGTTCACTAATTTGTTTATTTATTTTTGGCCTGAAATGACCATGTTATAGACCGTTCGAGAAATTAATACGGTATGTTCTTTGACATCAAACATATCAAACTTTCATGCATACTTAGCTTTGAAGTCTACATTTGGACTTTGCGACTTTGTAAAAATATTTTTTAATGAACGCCTGCACTGAAAATTTAAGTTTAAATTTCAATTTAAATTTAAGGAGGTATAACCTATCGATTACATGAATTTTTATTGGGGGAAGTGGGTTAAAGTCACTATTTATAACAAAGTGTTGTCAGTCTAACTATCATGATAAATAAAGAAGAATGGCTAAATAATTGTCTGGAATGTGTTGCTTGGAATTTATTTCAAGGCCTAAACATGTAGATCAAGGTGTAGGGAAAGGTCGACCAATAATAACGACCTCACTATAGATTTTCAAGGCACCTAAACACTACAGATTTTATTTATTTCATTTATATTTACAATTCATCAAATTATAATTTCAGATTAACAATTTGTTATTACAATTTTTTATCTTTTATAAAACAAGTTAACATTTTATAATTGCAAATTATTTGATTTGTTGTATAAATATTTTCCTTCCTACTGAGTTTATGTTAAAGTATGAATTTGAATTCCCCCAATACTGATGTACAAAAATCACCGTTACGGAAAACAAGATGTGTTTGTGAAACACTGATGCCCCCGTATGGCAACTTATAGCAAAGGTTAAACTTTCTCAAACGCAAATCAAATATGTTGGTACCCAAAGTAAGGTCTTGTCCCGAGGAATAAACCTGTGAAATATGAAAGCCCCGGTAGCAACGATTGAATAGATATGGATAAGGTTATTTTTTTTTTTCAAAAGTATGTCAAAAATCAAGGTCAAGGTCAAATGGTCAAAATTAATGGTGCCCAAGGAAAGGCCTTCTTCCAAGAAATACACCTGTGAAATATGAAAGCCAAAGCACCGACCTTTCAAAAGTTATGACCAAGGTCAAAGTTTGATAAAATTTTGCAAAACTGGGTCAAACTCCAAGGTCAAGGTCAAATATGGTGGTACCCAGAGAAAGGTCTTGTCACAAGGAATACACATGTAAAATATGAAAGTCATAGCTCCAACCAATCAAAAGTTATGGGCAAGGTTAAAGTTTTTTCGGACAAACAGACAGACGGACGGACAGGGCAAAACTACATACCCCCGAATCTTCGATACGGGGGCATAAAAATGCGAATAAAGCGTTCGATTAATTTATCTTATCAAATAAATTAAAGAATTGAGAACACTTAAACTGGTTGCAAATTTTAAATCTAGTAGGAAAATTCTATGAAATATTTTGTTTATAAAACAAGTAGAATCAACAGTTAACACATTAATCACAGATTGTGTTTGCCCGCACATGATTAAAATCATGAAATTGCCCAAAAATGTACGATACATGGGAGAATTATTTGAAATCGCAAAGATATAGTCAGATAAGAAACAAACACACTCAATTTTGTAATTCATATTCGATTATCTTGTGATTTATTTTTGAAATTGTGTATACTTCATAATTATATTTAAAAAATCCCTGTGATTCATATTTAATTATGCGAAAAGTTCATATTCGAAATCTTGTTACTGTGTATTTTTAGGGATGTCAAAATATTTATTTTCCTTAGTCGACTATTCGATAACATTATTCGAACGATAGTCGAATATTCGGAGCATTTTCTTAAAATAAAATTTTAATATTTCAAACCTCACTTGTAAATGCAGGAGGTATTTATAACAAAAAAAACCTTTTTACCTCATATATACAAAAAAGTAACATCAATTGCCTCTGTTGCACATAGATGTTTGCAGGCACCTAACGTGTGGGCAGTGTGTTTATATGAAATAATTTTAGACCGTAAATTATTCATATATCAGTTTTTATTTTAGCAAGCATAAAAAAATTGCCAGCATGATATTTTAAAGTTTACAAAAATAAATGGAGGGGTGGGGGGTTAATACACTATCTACGCCTTACTCTTTGAATATATGTATTGCTAATAAAATTAATTTGGAAAGATATACATATCACTACTTCAAATAAAACGTTTTATCATAATTATCAATTTATCTTTCATGGAATTTTATTCAATTATTCTCCATTGCTAAAGCAAATACGCCGGGACAGTCTATGTGTTTGTTCATCACAAAAATTTGAACATTGGTCATAATTTTTTGTTTAGTTTATCAATTTCAAGAAATATTCACCTAGAAAATATATAATAATTTTGAGAAGATCGGACTCTCATATTCCACATATGAATTACGAATTACAAAATCTTTCTGAATTTATTTTTTTTATCTTATGACCTTGTCAGTGAAATTTGATATACTTATAAAAAAAATAACCCTGACCTAAGCTTAGTATGGAATGAGATATATGTTTTCATAATTGACCTGTGCAATACCCGTGACAAAACTATAACAAGTCACTGGAATGTATATAGCCTAAGATCTTTGACCTTGGCATTTGACTTTCTTTTTACAAAACTTTTAATCCTGGCCAAAGCTTTGCACCTGATGAGACAGGACTTTAATATTTTCTTGTACATGAACATAGCTGTAACAAGACCTTCCAAATATACTTTGATTTTTAACCTCATAAACTTGACATTGAAGTTTGATCGACTTTCAAATCATAACTCGATCCTTGGTCCTAAGCTTTTAAACAGAACATCCCACTTTAAAAATATATAATAATTTTAAATATGATGAGCCGCCACGACAGTCACAATATGCCATAGACGATTGCATCCCAACCAAAAAGAAAAAAAAAAAAACAACAAAAAACGATTAAAGACATTCCATATCATTTCCATGCAGTGAAAATACACTGGGTCTCCTTCTTGACAACATGACAATTAGGGTTTGTAGAACACAAATTTTGGCACTATTATCCTACTGTTCTACTGTCATGAACATAGAAGAAATTTGAACTTTGTGTTGGTTGCTCTTCTTTTATGATAATTTTTAAAATTTCACACTTTATTGATTAATTATGTAGATATGTATATCTTCACATTTTTTCTGGAACAAGTAAACAACATAATGGAATTTTTAGATTTCTCTCGATTTATGCAATAGAGGAATCAGGATACATTGGCATTTACAATGTAAAGATAGTTTCACACAATTATAAATCTTTGTCCATTGTTATAAGTTTCTATATCCTTTGCTTCCTCCTTGACAGGCTTACACTACAAAATAAAAAGTAAATAAGATCAATATAACATTAGAGTCAATGCATCTTAATCACAATAAAATCATTATAGTTCATTAAACAACTCATACGTTCTCCACAAGATGTTACGTTTATGAAGACACCCTAAAAAGTAATTGGATTCATTTTCATAATGCAAACTATGTTGAAGGTCACCCTACTAAAAAGATGGGAACTAGACCCTGCACGAGGGAAGAAAAAACCGTGATGAAGGGTATATAGACCCTGGTGATTGGTATACAGAACCTGGTGATAGATAAACTGACCCGAGTGATGGGTCAAGAGACCCTGGTGATTGGTATACAGTACCTGGTGCTAGATAAACTGACCCTGGTAATGGGTCAAAAGACCCTGGTGATAGGTATACAGACCCTAGTGATGGGTATACAGACCTTGGTGATAGATAATACAGACCCTGGTGATGGGTATATAGACTCTTGTGATGGGCATACACACCCTTGTGATAGGTATACAGACCCTTGTGATAGATATATAGACCCTGGTGATAGATAATACAGACCCTGGTGATAGGTATACAGACCTTGGTGATGGGTATACAGACCCTGGTGATAGATAATTCAGACCCTGGTGATGGGTATACAGACCCTGGTGATGGGTATATAGACCCTGGTGATAGATAATTCAGACCCTTGTGATGGGTATACAGACCCTGGTGATGGTTATATATACCCTGGTGATAGATAATTCAGACCCTGGTGATGGGTATACAGACCCTGGTGATGGGTATACAGACACTGGTGATAGATAATACAGACCCTGATGATAGTTATACAGAACCTGGTGATAAGTAAACAGACCCTGGTGATGGGTATACAGACCCTGGTGATAGGTATACAGACCCTGGTGATGGGTATACAGACCCTGGTGATAGGTATAAAGACCCTGGTGATGGGTATACAAACCCTGGTGATGGGTGTACAGACCCTGGTGATAGGTACATAGACCCTGGTGATAAGTATACAGACCCTGGTGATGGGTATACAGACCCTGGTGATGGGTATATAGACCCTGGTGATAGATAAAACGGACCCTGGTGATGGGTATACAGACCCTGGTGATGGGTATACAGACCCTGGTGATAGGTATATAGACCCTGGTGATGGATATACAGACCCTGGTGATAGATAATACAGTCCCTGGTGATGGATATACAGACCCTGGTGATGGGTATACAGACCCTGGTGATAGATAATTCAGACCCTGGTGATGGGTATACAGACCCTGGTGATGGGTATATAGACCCTGGTGATAGATAATTCAGACCCTTGTGATGGGTATACAGACCCTGGTGATGGGTATATAGACCCTGGTGATAGGTTTATAGACCCTGGTGATAGATAATACAGTCCCTGGTGATGGATATACAGACCCTGGTGATAGGTATACAGACCCTGGTGATAGATAATACAGACCCTGGTGATAGGTATACAGACCCTGGTGATGGGTAAAAAGACCCTGGTGATGGGTATACAGGACCTGGTGATGGGTATACAGACCCTGGTGCTAGGTATACAGACCCTGGTGATGGGTATACAGACCTTGGTGATAGGTATACAGACTCTGGTCATTGGTATGCAGACCCTGGTGATAGGTATATAGACCCTGGTGATAGATAATACAGACCCTGGTGATAGGTATACAGACCCTGGTGATGGGTATACAAACCCTGGTGATGGGTATATAAACCCTGGTGATAGGTTTATAGACCCTGGTGATAGGTATACAGACCCTGGTGATAGGTATACAGACCCTGGTGATAGGTATATAGACCCTGGTGATGGTATACAAACTATGGCAATACATAAACAGACCCTGGTAATAAGTATACAAACCCTGTAAAAAATAATTAATTTATAAAAGAAATATATGATAAATGCATAAATAAATCAATAAATAAATGCAAAAATAAATCAATCAATCAATAAAGAAATAAAAAAAAGAAATAAATAAAAATACGAATAAATGAATGCATAAATAAATAGATAAATAATAAATAAATAAATAAATAGAATACGAAATAAATGAAGGAATGAATATAATAAATAGATAAACAAACAAATAAATGAACTTCTTAATGAATTAATCAATTACTTAATTATGAGAATAATAAATAAATAAATAAATAAACAAACATGCATACAAATTAATAAATCAATGAATTAATTAATAGATAATTAATTAATGGATGGAATAATTAATAAATGAAGGAAAGAATGTTATAAATGAATTTAAAAAAAAATACAAATATATATTTTTCAATAAATTAATCAGTTACTTAGTTAATTAATTATAAGAATGATAAATAAATAAATTAAATAAATAAATAAATTAATAATTAAATAAATAAATAAATAAAAACTAACTGTAAAGTTGATTCATTTATTCTTCTGCTTTTTTAAATAAAAGTTGATCGAATTATGCAAAAATTTCTGCATCTGACTATAGTATCATTCCGCATTACTAGTTTCCATTATATATTCCGAATTTCCTCTCTGCTGTTTTCCGATCTCGATGGAAATTTATTTCACGCATGCGCTCTGCCTGGTTATAGAGGCTGGTTACGAGATCTAAAAAAGCATACATATTATACCTCGTTACTGACTGTAAACACACATGACCGACATAATATAAACGTCGTTATGGATACATCAAGAAATATGTTTTTCGAACCCGACTATATTACATGAATTAAAATCTGTTTCCGGTGTAAACATTACAACGTGGTATGTTAATTGATGCCTTCGATTTTTATCATCCTTCTTGTTCTAATCGCAAATGGAATATTTATTCGATGTGACTGTCCTAGTATTCATCACTGTGTGAAATCGAATTCTGATGATAACAGTTGTACTGCAGTGAAAAACGGGTTAAAAACCGATGAATCGACAATGGCGTTAGTTCCATACGATGCTAACAAAGATATTCTAGCTATCTTTAACAAGCCAGAGCGAGTGTTTCATTTTGTTGGAAAGGAAATAAAAATACCACAAGACTGGAATAACTTGGGCGTAGCGGCAGTTGTGTGGGATGCGGTATAATTATTCACAAATACTATAAAAATTGAATTTGATATCAAAATTCAATGATTAATTAAAAAAATATTCACCGATATCTAAAATTTTATTAATAAGTGGCAAATAAAGAACTAGATTTAAAAAATCCATTGCCTCAGAATATATCATGTAGAGGGGACAACTTTGCAAGTTAGTGATAAAATTTCAGGGCGCAGGTGAAATATCAATCAATCAGCACAATTACATGTATGCAGGTTAATTAGTAACAGTTGACATAAAGTAGGTAATCTGTTTGGAGAATATGATGAACTATCGACTTCTCAAAGAAAGAAAGACCAACACAGTCTTCATTAAGTTTACCCATTTTCATGATACCGTATATACAATTCAATTCAATTCGTTTATTGACCAATTAAGGGCCCTCATGGGGCAAAAAGAAAGTACATTGTTAAAATGTATATAATGATTATGATCATACACACGAAATACAATATACATACACATAAGAGGGAGGGAATTGCTTGATTGATAGAAAAGACATACAGGTAGGGGAATACCCAAAATATTTTATATGAACATAAGACTTGTTTTATAGGTATATATACAGTACATCATATATATATGCATACATTACTAAACCATATACTTGAAAGTATCATACTTTTACATAATTAATAATAATAATAATAATAATTAAAAAAAAAAAAAAGTTACTTTCCTAAAATTTATGGTAATGTTTTTTGTAAAAATCTTCCAAGAGAGTTTAGTATATCTAGTTCTTCGCAATTTAGAATCCAGAATAATTTTTGTTTATCAGGCAAATATGTAAAATGTTTTACTTTAGATGAGATCAGGTTAAATAGGTCTTCTCTTTCCTTTGTAAATTTGCTACAGTGAATATAAGGAAATGTTCTTCATCTTCAATTTGATTAAGCGTACAATTTTTACATATTCTTTCTGATCTGGGTGTGTTATTATATCTACCTAATTCTATGAAAAGTCTGTGTGCTGATACATGTAATCTACATATTGGTTTTCTGTATTCAGGTTTTAATAAAATTAGATATTTTTCCAATCTAAAGTTGTTCTTCAGAAATAAATAAGTGACAAGTACATGTATATAGATTTGATTTCCTGTAGTGAAAGTTCCAGTAAGGTACAGTCAAACCTGATTAATATCATGAACTAGATGGGGATGGGGAAAAAATTCTAGTTTTCAAAAATTCAAGATACTGAAGCTGAAATATGTAGTGAAAAAAGAGGCTAAGACATCTACTTGCTTTGACATATCCATAGTATTCGAGATACTGATATTCATGATACATAAGTTCAACTGCTACAATGTACTGTATTAACTATTTGAATATTGGATAGGTAATAAAATAACTAAAAAAAATAAAGCTTAAGATTGTGCTGGATCTGTTGTTTATATGCTTGTAACATGATCCATCGTATATTGTTCAGACTTGGGTAGTCAAAGATTGCAAAACTCTCCTTGACAAATGTATTGTGGACATTATAAATCTCACATAAAATAAATTTCGGCAAGATTTAATAGTATGATTCACTAAATACGAGCCTTTCATTCAGCAACTAAAAATATGTGTCACTTGGGAATAGACCTGCTCCAAAAACTTCAACCTGTTTACTCATACAGAAAATATATTGGTTAGATGCAGCATATCTCAAGCAAGTCTGGTATTTGTTAAGCATCCCAAAATGAAGCATCCATGCATGTTTGGTCCTGGTAGGATTGCAAATTAATTCACCGTAAGGCTGGTAATTAATTGGGAAGGAACCTGATCCAAACCTTTAACATAGGCACTCATCTAGAAAATATAGATCAGATGCAGTTTCAAAGGCTAATCTGGTAGTGTATATCCTTAGATGCTTCATCTATAACCAAGGAAGGGCTTATAGTTACTTGAAAATTCACTTGCTCTAAAAAATCATCTTGAAAATATCAGTCAGCTGCATGGTATAGTCTTAGCTATAAAAGATTTAAATGTTGAGGTTAGCTATGCTATATATATGATTGTCTTAACTACTGAAGTAGGCTAAACTTTTGGTGAAATCATGTTAAAAAAGGCTTTTCATTTAAGAACTAGGTTATACACTATTTTGTATTCAAAATCACTTTAAGAATTTTTGTTTTTATTGTAGGCAATTGTTCTTTCTGAATACTTAGAAGCAGGAAATGTACATTTGGAGGGAAAGAGAGTGCTAGAACTTGGAGCTGGGTCTGGTCTAGTTGGTATAGTAGCTACATTATTGGGTGAGTGGCTCAGACACAGAACTTCAAATCACTTACACTTCATTTCACACACGACTGTGTGATTAATGACTCTTCCTTATCATTTTTTAATCCATACAGGAGCCCAAACGATTCTAACAGATCAAGAGAAAGCAATTCCATATCTGACTAAAGTAGCTACAGACAATCTACCTCAGGACCTTGAAGGAAGATTTGAAGTGAGGGCCTTGGACTGGCAAGGGAGTCTGGAGTCCTACAGAGACACGTTTGATGTGATCCTTGGAGCTGACATTATATACATTGAAGACACCTTTCCAGATTTGTTGAGAACAATTGAACATCTAAGTAATGAAGACACATTTGTTTATATTTCTTGTAGGATAAGATACACAAGAGATTCCAACTTCTTGAAAATGTTTTCAGATGTGTATGAACTGAAAAAGGTACACGTTGATAAACAACGGGATATTACTATCTACAAAGGGAGGAAAAAAACCAAGTGAAACTAACAATATACATGTATATATGGTTATCAGAAAAGACTACGGAAAGATTTTTTTATATCAGGTTTTATCAGATATGAAACCGAAAGACCAGAATGCACTGTTCAAAAAAATTACTCAATTTTGAACAGCTTATTTTGTTAAACAATTATGACTTCTTGCAAAAATTTTATTCTAGAATAAATCTGTCATATCATAGTTACATGCAGAGGTATACTCACAAAACCCTAGTAAAACTGATTTTAAATGAGTAAAATCTAACATTTCATTACTGATAAGTTAGAATTATAACCTACTTAGTATTTTCTCATTGTGTAAAATAAGATTCATGTACCGACATAATAAATTTACTTAAAATAATGTAAAACAATATAAGATTCAGGTATAATAAATAAATTTAATAAGTTCAGAAAAATAAATTTGATATATTACAAAAAGTTGTTGATTATTTTTTCAATCTGTAATATCAGTTTGTTTGCTCTGCTTTCACATCCAGCTAGAGAAGTAAATTCTGAAGTACAAATCATATCACTCAATATGTCCTTGACACTGTGAAGGTCAAATACACAATGATTTATCTGCCCCTTATCCATAGGCAATCCTTTATCTATAGTCAAGCTTGTAGATTGATTTCCCTTTGGTGTTCCTGTTGACTGTTCTCTTTCTTTTAGAACGCCTTGATTTACACCTTGAGTTTTGTCTGGTTCACACACCTTCTGATGTATGTCTGATTGATTTGTCATAAGCTTTATTTGGTTTTGCAGAAGTTTTATCCTGTTTAGGGCAATGACTTCCATAAACTGAAGAAACTCTTCATAATCAATTCCACAGCTGGCCTTCAGGATCAGCTAAATCATGTAAAATTATAGGACGAATGTTATTGATTGCTGTATTGTTTTACACCATTGTAAGCCATTGTGAAGATTCAATGATCTACCTAAACTGCAACTTATTCTTCATCACAGTGATTTACAATGATTTGATATACTGAGTCTGTGTGTCTGCCTGTATGTTTTACAATGAAGTACACCTCTACTGTTACCTGACATTGTTGATCCCAGCCCTCCATCCCCCGACAGTCCTCAATCTCACGCTCAACTTGGACGAGGTTGTCCTTGATGTACTGCCAACAAATGTCTACATTACAGCCATTCAGCCAATTATGATTAATAGAAATGGTATCTTCCTAAAATTAAAACAGAATTTGTTTAACCTAGAAAATAATAAAGATACTAAGGAAACTGTAAATGTTCGTAAAGACTGTTTATCTTGTTAAATACCAGTATTTTTTGTTTTCAGAAGTGACTCTCTATTCATGTATTATTGTGTGTAACCAGTGCCAGCTGTATTTTGTTCTTTTTTTCCTTTAATAATAGATTTGAAAAGTTCAAACATAACAAGACTTCTACAGCTTTTATTTTCTATGATTAAATAGTGTTATAATGGTAGAGCATCATAGTTGGTTTCTGGTTAAGGAGGAATAACACTCCTGGTTAAAGGATATGAGACGACTGGATTAATGTAATATTTTAGGATCTTTTTTTTTTTTTTTTTTTTTTTTTTTTTTTTTTTATATAATTTATTGTATTTTCAATGGTTTCTTTTTACAAAAAAAATTGAGAGAGAGAGAGAGAGGAGAGAGAGAGGAGAGAGAGGGGAGAGAGAGAGAGAATTATGAAAATAAGTCATTCAAAAGTCTCCAGCTTTCATCAAAAGATTCTCTTTCATTATTTTTATAAGATATATATTTTTGTAATTCATACATTGTCTTAATAGAGGATATCAACCCACCTAAGGAAATGTTTCTGTTTGTACATTTGTACAGATAAATGTAATATTTGATTTGTAGAGCAATAATATTTTTAAGCTTGTCAGTTTTCTTCACAGAGCCTAGTAAAAATTCCTTTTTTGAGAAGGTTATAGTAGAGTGGATTCTATCAAAGCAGTACTCTGCAAAATTCTCTAAAAGAGTCTGAACATGTTCACATTCCCACAACAAGTGTTCAATTGTTTCAGTTTCTGTTTTACAAAGAGTACATACATTACTGTCAATTTTTTTAATTTTATGCAGGAAGGAATTTGTTGCTAGTATTTTATGATTTATTCTAAATTGGAACCACTGAAGTTTTGTGTTTTTTGTAATTTTGAATGGGAGTAAAAAGATTTTCTCCCATTCACCATTGCTCAAGTCAAAGACTCTATTCCAAGAGATTTTACCCAAAGGTTCAATTATTTGTTTGATTAATATTTCATAGAAATCATGGGATTTTTTAGCATTCAGTAGAGAATTAACATTCTCTGGAATATATGGATAAGTTACCTTTAATAAATTATTAGGATCTCTGTTTATCTTTCTCAGCCATTCTAATATTGCTGCTTTAATGCCATTATATTCAAGAAAATGTGTTTTTATCCCGTATTTCGCGTGCAGGTCATTCAAACTCATAAATGACCCATCTTCATAAAGTATGTCACTAATACATGAAATATTACCTGAAAACCATCTTCTATAGAAAAATGGCTTTTTATTAATAATTAAATTTTTGTTTAGAAATAATGGTTCTAAAGAAAGAAGTGTGTCATTTTGTAAGGATTTTTCACTAAAGTTTAACCATGCTTGCAACACATCCCTCCAAAATATATTTTTTAAATCATTCATTTTTTTGACAACATACTCTTGCCCACAGTATACAACTTTTTTAATGTCAACATCTAAAAAAGAATCCAACCCATTGTCCTGTAGTAACAATTTTTTCATCCATACTAGTTTTAAGGACATAATGAACTCTCTTACACTGATCATCTTGAAGCCCCCTTCCTTATAATTCATTATGCAAATTTTCCTTTTCAGTCTTGAATTATTACTACCCATTACAAATGTATAGTAAATCTTCTCTAATTCTTTTATTTGTATTTCAGAGGGATTTGGGAGAGATGCAAAAATATGATTTAAGGTCGGCAGTAAAAGGGTTTTTAAAACTGTCAAGCGACCAAGAGGAGTTAAATTTCTCTTGTTCCAGTGTTGTATTAATTTTTTTATATTACCGATTTTAGATGCATAATTAAGCATAAGTATATTTTGAAGATTTGTATCAAATTCAATGCCTAATAATTTAAAAGTTGCTTTTCCCCACTCTAATATATTATCTGTACATAGAGTATCATTGCTACCTTTTTTTGACCCAATCCAAACTACTTGAATTTTACTATAATTTATGTGCAAACCTGATATGTCCGCAAATTTTTTAAGAGTAACAAGACTAGACTGAAGTGATTTTTCACTTCCATCTAATATTAGAGAAGTATCATCTGCCAACATAGTTAACTTTTTTTCAGTATTCATAAACTGAATCCCTTTTATATCTTTATTGTTTCTTATGCTGATTGCAAGGATTTCTGCACAAATGAGGAATAAATATGGAGACAAAGGATCTCCTTGACGGCAGCCTCTGTGTAAGTTAAAAGACTGTGATAGATTTCCTCCTTGATTAACAGCAGCTGTAATATTTGTATAAAAAATATCAACCCATTTTCTAAAGGAATTACTAAAATTAAAAAATTTGAGGGATTTCTGTATAAAAGAACAAGACAAGGAATCAAAAGCTTTTTCAAAATCTACCAGGAGTAAAAGTCCTGGTATATGTTCTTCCTCTGTAAATTGCATGATATCATATATCAGTCTTATATTTTCAGAAATATTTCTTCCTTGTATAAATCCAGTTTGATCTCGATGAACAATTTTATCAAGATATTTTTTCATTCTATTAGCAATTGAGCCGGATGCGATTTTATAAATAGTATTTAGTAAAGAGATGGGTCTCCAGTTTTTTAAAAGTTGTCTGGGTTTATCACCTTTCGGTATACAAGTAATAATACCATGTCTTTGCGTGATACTTAAAGTATTGTTTTCATAAGCATAGTTAATGGACCTTACAACAAAAATTCCAACGGATTTCCAAAATACCTTAAAAAACTCTGATGTAAACCCATCTGAACCTGGTGATTTGTTTGATTTCATATTATGGAGTGTTTCTGAAGCTTCTTTTAATGTTATTTTACCTTCTGTCTCCAAGGACTCAACTTTTGAAAGTTTAACAATATTTGGAAAGTTTAATTCATCATCAAGATTGATGTCATTTAAAGAATTATCTATATCTCTGTATAAGTATTCATAATATTTTTTGGCTTCATTCAGTATTTCGGCCTGCTTATAAATAATTGTACCATTTTCTGTTTCTACTTTTGGAATGATCTTGCTTGTAAAATTTCTATTCTCTAAGTTGCAAAAATAATGTGATGGTTTTTCCCCTTGTTCTACCCATCTTGCCCTAGATCTTATTAAAACACCCCTCATCTTTTGTTTTCTTATATCTTCTAATTCCTTATTTTTTTCCTCTAAAATTTCAACATTGTCAGCAGTAGTATGTATTGTTTCTTCAAGGCGTTTTATTTCTTCTACAAGTTTTTTAGCTCACCTGAGCTGAAAGCTCAAGTGAGCTTTTCTGATCACCTGTTGTCCGTCCGTCCGTCCGTCTGTCCGTCCGTCCGTCTGTAAACTTTTCACATTTTCAACTTCTTCTCAAGAACCACTGGGCCAATTTTAACCAAACTTGGTACAAAGCATCCTTGGGTGAAGGGGAGTTTAAATTGTTAAAATAGAGGGCCAAGCCCCCTTCCAAGGGGAGATAATCAAGAAAAGACAAAAATAGGGTGGGGTCATTAAAAAATCTTCTTCTCAAGAACCACTGGGCCGGAAAAGCTGAAACTTATGTTGAAGCATCCTGGGGTAGTGTAGATTCTAAATTGTTAAAATCATGACCCCTGGGGGTAGGGCGGGGCCACAATAGGGAATCCAAGTTTTACATTGAAATATGTAGAAAAAATCTTTAAAAATCTTGTTCTCAAGAACCACTGGGCCAGAAAAGCTGAAACTTATGTGAAAGCATCCTGGGGTAGTGTAGATTCTAAATTGTAAAAATCATGACCCCCGGGGGTAGGGCGGGGCCACAATAGGGAATCCAAGTTTTACATTGAAAAATGTAGAAAAAAATCTTTAAAAATCTTCTTCTCAAGAACCACTGGGCCAGAAAAGCTGAAACTTATGTGGAAGCATCCTGGGGTAGTGTAGATTCTAAATTGTTCAAATCATGACCCCCGGGGGTAGGGCGGGGCCACAACAGGGAATCCAAGTTTTACATTGAAATATGTAGAAAAAATCTTTAAAAATTTTCTTCTCAAGAACCACTGGGCCAGAAAAGCTAAAACTTATGTGGAAGCATCCTGGGGTAGTGTAGATTCTAAATTGTAAAAACCATGAGCCCCAGGGGTAGGGTGGGGCCACAATAGGGAATCCAAGTTTTACATTGAAATATGTAGAAAATATCTTTAAAAATCTTCTTCTCAAGAACCACTGGGCCAGAAAAGCTGAAACTTATGTGGAAGCATCCTTGGGTAGTGTAGATTCTAAATTGTTAAAATCATGACCCCTGGGGTAGGGCGGGGCCACAATAGGGAATCCAAGTTTTACATTGAAATATGTAGAAAAAATCTTTAAAAATCTTGTTCTCAAGAACCACTGGGCCAGAAAAGCTGAAACTTATGTGGAAGCATCCTGGGGTAGTGTAGATTCTAAATTGTAAAAACCATGACCCCCAGGGGTAGGGCGGGGCCACAATAGGGAATCCAAGTTTTACATTGAAATATGTAGAAAATATCTTGAAAAATCTTCTTCTCAAGAACCACTGGGCCAGAAAAGCTGAAACTTATGTGGAAGCATCCTGGGGTAGTGTAGATTCTAAATTGTTCAAATCATGACCCCTGGGGTAGGGCGGGGCCACAATAGGTATTACAAGGGGGAAATCGGGTGAAAAACAGCAAGGCCAAAGTTACTCAGGTGAGCGTTGTGGCCCATGGGCCTCTTGTCTTCTTTTAGTTTTGTTAGTTTCTTTTTGTATGAAGAGTAGGAAATACATTTTCATCTTATTTCCATGAGAAGGGTTTCCAAAAACAATTGGTCATTTATTGTAAAAGTTAATTCTTCATCGTTAACTTGTTGCAAGTTTTCCATTAAATATACAGGTACAGCATACTGTTTTTTAACATTCTTGATGACTTCATTTATAGTATAAAGAAAATTTTCATCACTCAAAAGGGAATTATTAAATTTCCAAAGACCTTTACCTTTCTTAAAATCATTAAAAGATAAAGATAAACTAATCATAGAATGATCAGACCTATAACTTGTTTCAATTGTACATTCTATTGCACTTGGCAATATATTTTCTGAGATCAGAAAGAAATCAAGCCTGCTTTGTTTTAGTGGATTTTTTTTCCTCCATGTATATCTTTGGGTGTCTGGATGAAACTGTCTGTATATATCAATATAACCACCATCTTCCATAAAATCAAGAACCTTTTGCCTTGCGTTTGGATTACAGGTAACTCTTGATGGCTCGAACTTCGATCTCTCGAAGTTCTTGATCGCTCGAAGTGAGTCTCCGGTCCCGAATTTTTCCACTATATAACTAAGCAAATTTACTCTTGATTTCTCGAACTCTTGATCTCTCGAAACCCTTGATCCCTCGAAGTCAAAATGCAGTCCCGCTATGCATATTCTATTAAAATTTACCCTCGATACCTCGAAGTGGCTATGTGTATACAAGATTATATAATTAGCACCTTTACCTTGACATTTAAATGGCCCCAGGCAGAAGACGCGGATCTCGAGGAACAGGATGTTTATTCAGGTGACACTTATGCTGCAAGGTGATAATTGATTAATAATGAATCATATTTTGTCTATATGCTATTAAAATAATTATCATCGACTGTCTTACGATAATTTAGAGACGCAGTGCCTTTGAAAAGTGGTAATTTATTAAAGGACAAAACACTAATTTGATTTTTATTTCGAGTCAGTGTCAAAGTTAAACGAAATATGAAAAAAGCAGAAACAGCCTCAATGTCAATATGACGACCAGTATTGGACAAATACTTACAGAACTGCGTTCAAAGATCATGTTTGGAATAGTCAATGCTATGTACGACGCTGTAAAATGTCGTTTTCATGTAACAAATGCGTAGTATGATGTCCGTATTACAAAGAATAAATAAATATACATGATATGACGATATACATTTTGCTTTACTCAGTTTAATGAAATATTCATCTGAAATACAAAAAAAATATCGTTGTTTTATAAAAACCACGTGTAAAAGGTTAGCACTGCATGAAGATCATTACATCCGGTAAGACTAATTTTAAAACCTGCAACAAACCCGGAAAATTCCGGACTCTTGAAAACTCGAACTCTTGATCTCTCGAAGTTTTTCCTCGGTCCCGCGGACTTCGAGGTTTCGAGAGTTACCTGTATTTATATGTTTGTAATTATAATAGTCAATGTCTGGGTTCAAAACAAGGTTGAAGTCACCACACATAATAACACTTTCACAATTAAAATCATCTATACAAGTTTGTATGTTTTCATAGAAGGCTGGATTATCATTATTGGGGCCATAAATATTACAAAGAAGCAACTTTTTTTCATCAGTTTTAAATTCTAAAAAGAGATAGTTTCCATCAGCATCCCCTTTTTGTTTTAAAATTTGTATATCAAAGTTATTATTAACGAGAATGGCTACACCCCTCGAATTTGAGGAGAATGAGCTAAAATAACAATCAAAACCCCATAGATTTTGAACATCATTCTCAGAGTTGGGTGTAAAATGTGTGTCTTGTAAACAGTTTAGGATCTTATAATAAATGTATTACCCCCTCTTCCCTGAACATTTTGTGTATATACATGTATAATCAATGAGGAGAAATCAAATTCTCTATGTTGGGATACCCTTCCCTCCAGCTCTACAGGCTATTAATCAATTAATTAATTGAATGCTTACAAGTAAAATGTAGAGGAATATTACATGTGAACATGAATTTAAGGTTTCATTATGTGTTAAGACATACATGTACCTCTGCTCTATATAATTTGACTGTGTTTGAAATTGTCCTCGAGATCAGCCTAAATCTCAGACTTGACAGGCATGCATGCTATAGTTTATGGAGATTTAAACTTGTTGTTCTCTAAAGATTAAATTTCTCACCAAGTTATAGACTTGGTGATGCCATCCACTGGGAACATAAATTATCTCCCCTGCCTCTTGTATGATTTCTAACCTAGATTTCACTTTAGTATAGTTTGGGTACAAGATTACATCATCCAAATCACTTGAATTAACATCATAAACTAAATGGCCATATTTACTGCATAGATTTTCTTCTTCACCTGAAATGATATTTAGATGTACATCAGAATTATATCCTTCCTTATGTTTTTTTTTTGGTCTAAATTCATGCAAAAAAGAGGTTTAAAAACAAACAAATATTGACCTGGAGGATAGAATATCCACTTCTTTTTTCCACAAATGTTGGCAGACCAACTAAAAGACCTGAAAACATCTGCATGGAAAGGTGTCCTGAAACATATTTCCATTTCCAGTGTTTCAAGTCAATATTTGTTGTCAGCTGGTGCACATAAAAGTAACATTTTGCACAAGATAGATGGAAATGTGTAATTTTTCTTAAAATGGAGAGAAGGAAGAAAGTTACAAATACTGTTTTAATATTCCATTTACATTTACCATGAGCCTTTGGGTCCCATGTACACAAATCTGTAATCATCTTTGTCTTCTTTGGTGTCCCAGAACTCGTTCAGCCAATCCGAAGTAAAGACACGAGGAGTCTCATATGCTTTGTATTCAGGAAACTCTCTACAAATTAAGAAATTTACAATATTTATGGTTAAGAAAATGTTATCAAAACTCATGTATATCTTATGAATGCTTTAAGTATTGTAAATTAAAAAGAAAAACCTAGATCTCAATGAGATGGTGCCCATCTTCAAAGGGTCCCACTTTTTAAGGACATTACAATGAAAGGGACTTGTAGAGAACTAGAATTGGATTAAAGTTTGACCTTGATCTTTAACTTAGACTTTAATCCATGGATACTCCTTGTAAGGTATGAGCCAGTTGGGACCAAGAGGAGAGAAATTATGCCTCTGGACAATGATTTTATACAGATCTTCAATCAGTCTTCGACAAATCCCGGGAGTCCGAAGCCCGGGACCTGGTAAAATTGGAAGTGGGCATGTGGAAATTGCATACTTACAAGCCCGAAGGGCATGTGAATTCTGAGGCCTAAGCCTCCGTAAATATCAAATTAAATAATACCAATAACATTAAATGTACTTAAAAGTCTGATTTTTCATCCAAAGTGGAGCACCAAATAAAATTTTAACGATAGTTTACCACGATTTCCAAGGAACTCTTTTGCAAAGGAGACACAAAAAGTGTATAGGTTGAAAACAATATTAATGGCGAGACAATAGATCTATAGAAATGAATTTCAGATCATTTCCTTGGCATGAAAAGGCAAATAAGAATAAAATTACTTGATAAAATTCTGGGCATGTAAATATTTGTTCGGGCTAGCGTAATAAGTGGTTAAACCTGCCCGAAGGGCATGTACTGAAAAAAAGATTTGGCGAAGACTGTTCAATGACCTTGACCTTTGATCTACAAAACTGGTTAAAGGTCACTGCACATCCTTTTCCTTAGAGGCACTCTGCAGGTAAAGTATGATTTCAATAAAGCCAAAAAGCTTTGGACAAGGATTTTATTTAAAGAATTATTTAACCCTGACTTCTGATTTAGAAAATTAGTTCAAGGTCTCTGCACACCCTCTGTGCATAAGCACCATCAGGGTAAAGTATGAGCCAGATTGGGCCAAGGGGGGAAGAAAAAATGCTCACAACAAGGATTTTACACAGAGATTTTTCACCTTGACCTTTGAGGGGATGGTTAAATGTTACTGCACACACACTATATGTGAAGTATGAGCAGGAAAGGACCAAGAAAGGAAATGGGACAAGGGAAAAGAAATTATGCCCACGAAAAATAATTTCCAGGGAGATCTTTCTTGACCTCTGACCTAGAAAATTGGTTCAAGGTCACTGCATATCCTTGACCCAAGATACTATGGAGATGAAGTATAAACCAGATAGGGTCAAGGTGAGAGAAAATATGCTCTGGACAAGGATTTTACATGGTGATCTGCTATGACCTTGAACTTTGATCTTGAAAATTCATTCAAGGTCACTGCACACCCTCCATCCACAAGCACTCCATTGGTGATGAATGAATAAAATTTAACCAAGGGGATACAAAATATGCTTACAATACATAGATGAAGTATAAACTAGATAGGATCATGGGGTCAAAGAAACTATGCTCTGAACAAGGATTTTACACAGAGATCTGCTTTGCTCTTGAACACTGACCTAGAAAATTGGTTCAAGGTCACTGCACACCCTCTACATATAACCACTCTAAGGGTGAAGTATGAGCAAGACTGGGCCAAGGGGAGAGAAAATATGCTCTGGACAATGAATTTACTCAGAGATTGTTTTTAACTTGACCTTTGACAGAGAATTTGGTTCAAGGTCACTGCACACCCTCCACTCATGGGCACTCTCTATGGGTATAGTATGAGCCATACTGGCCAAAGAAAAAAATATATCTGGACAAGTGATACTGGAAAAACAGACTGATCACTCTAGGGTCCTTCTTTATAAATCACAGACTACAGGACTCAAGATCAGAATGACACATTATTTTTGCAAAAATAATCTCCATGACCATTCTAATTTGTACCTATGGAATCTCAAAATCTAAAGTATGAAGGGACCTTTTCCTGGATTAAAAAAAAGAATCACAAGAAAATTTCCTCTAAAATTCTTTTCAGGTCATCTTATTCCTTGAAAAAGTACTTTAATACCCACAGAACTTTGCACTATCAAGGAATTCAAAATTAAAAAAAATTTTGCTGTTAGTGCAGAGAGCTCTTTTGACAGCATGTATGGATGAAGGAAATTTAAGTTGAAATCTACACATTATTCAAAGAAATTCTGATCAATACATGTGAAAAAAATTCTAAAACTAACAGAGAAGTTCAGAAAATCAATCTCTAGGTATGGGAAGTTGTCAAAACTGAGAAATTTTAGCTATGAAATTTTTCATTTGTAATGTAAAGATTGTAAGAAAAAATGATGCATTAAATGCAAGCTACAAAACTGAGAAATTTACTAAAACTGTAATGTCATAGTCTTAACAGTATGCAAAAGGTAATGGTAGATTCACATTTGAGAGGTGTAGAATTAGAATTCATTAATGATCATACAAAGAAGCTCTGCTTGCCCTAACAATTTCACTGTCAGACATATTTTCACTAGAAAATGTTCTCATCCTTGTATATGCTTATGCATTCAGTATTTATAGAAAATAACGGCATATCATAAATCTGACTTGTAGAATACCAATGTGTACCTTTTGAAGTGCCAGTCTTTTAAATACAAATTATCCATGCTATCAGGGTGGCCTGACTCAATGTAGCTTTGCCAATAGTCCAAAAAATTGGAGAAAGTTTGCTCTTCTTTGGGCTGTGATGAATATTTCTCTTTTTTGCAGTTTGCAACAGGTACACAAGCATGGCCTAAAAGTACAGAAAATAATAATATTTATTCTACATATTAAAATCCACCCAAAATACCTTATTTTCTAGTAAAGCTTTAAAGTAATACAATAGGCTTGAGTTTTCATCTACAGTAAAAACTCATTATCTTGAACTCAAAAATACCCCCCCCCCCCCAAAATCCCAAGATTTCCAAAGCTTTAAGATACTGAGGGTAAAATACTTAAAGAAAAAAGTGCTTGGGACTTCCAAATCACTTTGACATATCAATGGTATTCAAGATATCAGTGTTCAAGATACCAAAGTTCAGCTGTACATGAACTTGTAAAAATTTGTTGATCAATGAAATCAGGAGATACTTTTTAATATAACGGTGTATATCACATGCACTTGTTTCTGTAATATTTTTTTTACTCCATAGTATTAGATAAAATATATGGAGATAACACAAAGCATTCAAGGTCAAAAGTCCATTTAAAAAATACAATCAGAAGCAGAGCAAACACGGACCTCTAAAACATCAGAGGTGGGATCAAGTGCCATGGAGGAGTGAGCATCCCCTACTGATCGGTCACACCCGCCACATGCTCCTTGTCATGATCAGAAAATAATGGAAAAATCTGTAGACAATTCAGTGTTTAAATAATGGCCTAACAATTAGGATGAAAAAACGTCAGTTAGCATTTGACTTAATGATAGATTGTATTTGCTGACACGGTCATTGTATCCACCATAGAACATAAGAAATGATGACTTTAAATGAGACTGTTGATTTTCTTGTTTCATCAATACAATGTGTCTAATTCCAAATTAATTAATACATGTAGATGGAGGAACCCCTCCTCCGAGTTGCAGTCATTTATTCTTTCAGAGAAAATGCAGTGGAAAACTGTTTACTATCATTCTCTTCTAGCATAGGGGCATCTTATCCACTCTGTTCTCTACTTCACATATATGTGAAGTAGAGAAAAGAGTGAATAAGATGCCCCTGTGCTTCTAGGATAATTTTTCTACAATACCATACATGTGTATGGTACGCTTTTCTTTATTAATTTTCTTCATAAAAAATATGTATAAATAATATATTACATATAAAAATATATACCAAACTTCTCTCTCAGAAACTCAAAGTTTGGTTGTCCATTTGGGAGTGTCCAATCTGTCCTACTGTTCCATGTGTCGGTATTCAGGGACGATAGAATACAAGGCCGATTTCTCAACAAATAGTTTTCAAAGAATTCACTATAAGATTGGTTTGTAAGTATACCACATACACGTTCCACATGTATCGTTGAATAATCACGCACCTTCTTCTTTTTCTCGGTATTACTTGAATCAAGCACAGAACTAGAAAGTTTGTTTATAATCATGGAGGCCGCCATTATGCTTTCTAAAAATTGTACCTCGATCCCGATCTTTAAATCTTTGTATCGACTAGGATAATATTCAAATTAACTTCATGTAATTATATCGTTATTGAGATAGTCCTGCTTTGGAGAAATGTTAAAATTAGAAAATTATTTGACATGTTTTGACCTTTGATCTAAAACTTGGATCAAGGTAATTGAAGTATGATCAAGGAACACAGGCACCTGCGAAAAAAAAATACTTGTGCCAGGGAACCATAGACAAAAAATGTATACTCCAGACAAGGAATTTACACAAGATCTGCTTCAACCTTGAATTCCAACCTAGAAAATTAGTTCAAGGTCATTGAGTAGCCTTCATTCAAGTGTTGCCATTAATAATTTTGACCTCTTATCTAAGTTAATTATTTCAAATTAAACACTTATTGAACAATTTCTAATGGGTGAGGTGTGAACACACCTAAATCCAGAGTAGAAGATATATACCTCAGAAATAATTTACAAAAAAAGATCTAATTTAACCTTGAACTCTGTCCTAGAAATTTTCCCTAGGTCACTGCACTGATATTCCTATATCCTGAGGCACTCTTTCGTTAAGTATGAGTCAAAAGGCTAAGCAGAGATAAAGTATGTTCTGTACAAGGATTCTACACAGAGATGTAAGACTGAAACCATGAACCGACACAATTCTTACAATTTTTATAGAGGATCCCTTGTTCTCTATCAAGATGCATCAAATGACAAAGTTTGATGATTCTAAGCCAATTAGTACCTGAAATATTTAATTAAAGCCATACATTTTCAAAAGTAGTTCATGGTGACCTACCGGTACTTTTCAGTTGTTGTACTCCGAGGACCAAAGATGCATCAACTGACAAAGTTTGATGATTCTAGGTCAATTAGTACCTGAAATATTTAACTAAAGCTATAAATTTTCAAAAGTAGGTCACAGTGACCTACTTTTCAGTCGACCTTACTCCGAAGACCCAAGATGATCAACTGACAAAGTTCGATGATTCTAAGCCAATTAGTACCCGAAATATTTAATTATAGTCATATAAATTGAAAAGAAGGTCACAGTGACCTATTTTTAGTTGACTTACTCCGAGGACCCAAGATACATCAACTGACAAATTTTGATGATTCTAAGCCAAATAGTACCCGAAAATATTAAATACAGCCATAAAATTTCAAAAGTAGGTCAAGGTGACCTACTTTTCAATTGTCATACTCCAAGGACCCAAGATGCATCAACTGACAAAGTTTGATGATTTTAAACCAATTAGTACTTAATATATTTAATTATAGTCATTTAAATTGAAAAGTAGGTCATGGTGACCTACTTTTCATTCAACCTACTCAGATGACCCAAGATACATCAACTGACAAATTTTGATGATTCCAAGCCTAATAGTACCCTAAATATTTAAATATAGCCATAAAATTTCAAAAGTAGGTCACAGTGACCTACTTTTCAGTTGATGTTTTTTGAAGACCCAAGATGCATCAAGTGACAAAGATTTATGATCATAGGTCTTAAAATGTCCAAATTATGCCTCTGAAACGCTTTGAAATCAAATGCCTGCAAAGTTCAAAAAGTAGGTCATTGTGACCTTCTTTTCAATATGTTTTATGGCCCCAAAATGCATCATCTTACTAGATTTAATGATTCTAAACCTCTCAGTATTCGAATTAATGACCTTAATTGTTTTGAAAAATATCAGCCATAAAATTCAACAGGAGGCCCAGGGGCCACATCACTCACCTGAGCACTGTGACTAGGAAAAAGCAAAAATCAGTTTAGTATTGAAAAGCTTTTTCCTATGTATTCCTATGTACAGTAAAACTTTGATTGTCCATTGTAGCCCCACCCTATCACCGGGGGGTCATGATTTGAACAAACTTGATTCTACACCACCTGAGGATGCTTTCACATAAATATGACCAATCATGGCGTTGCAGTTCTTGAGAAGAAGAATTATCAAGATTTTTCCTATATACTCCTATGTTAAACTTTGATCGTCCATTGTGGACCCACCCTACCCCCCGGGGTCATGATTTGAATAAACTTGATTCTACACCTCCTGCAGAATTGCTTTCACATAAATATGACCAATCATGGCTTTGCTGTTCTTGAGAAGAAAAATTATTAAGATTTTTCCTATATATTGTATTCCTGTGTTATACTTTGATCGTCCATTGTGGCCCCACCCTACACCCGGGGGTTATGATTTGAACAGACTTGATTCCACAGTACCTGACAATGATTCCACATGAGTTTCATCTTTCCTGGCCCATTGGTTCTTGAGAAGAAGATTTTTAAATGATGCCATTAATTTTTCGCAATTTCGTAATTATCTCCCCTTGGAGGAGGGTGTGGCCCTTCATTTGAACAAACTTGAATCCCCTTGATCCAAGAATACTCTGTGCCAAGTTTGGTTGAAATTGGCCCAGTAGTTCTAGAGAAGAAGATGAAAATGTGAAAAGTTTACAACTACAACGCCAACGACGACAGCCTTCGGCTCAGGTGAGCTAAAAAGTAGGTTAAGATGACCTACTTTTTAGTTGACGTACTCCGAGGACCCAAGATACATCAACTGACAAAGTTTGATGACCATAGGCCTTAAACTGTTCAAAATATGCCTCTAAATCATTTTGAAAAAGAATGGCTGCAAATTTAAAAAGTAGGTCATCATGACCTACTTTTGAGTCAACGATATGAGGTCTTTAGATGCATCAAATGACAAGATTTGATGATCCTAGTCCTTATAGTAAGCAAAATATCAACATTTTGATAAAATGCAATTTTTGTTCAACTTTGAAGTGACCTTGAGACCACGCTCTTTGCCCCAGGGTGATGCCTTGAACAATATTTAATTGACTACATATCCTCATCCTTGTATGTAAGTTTGGTGATAATCTTCCCAGTGGTTCTTGAGAAAAAGATTTTTTAGCAACCAGTACTTTCGTTTCTATTTTCCTAATTATCTCCCCTTGCTTAAGGGTCACAAGCCTAGTTTTAGTATAAACAAGAGCCTTAGGCCAAGGATACCCTGTGACAAATTTGACAATAATTGGCGAAGGGGTTCTTGAGTTATGGCCCATATTCTGAAAAGTTTACACACACCGCACAAATGGCCAGAGCATTAGCTCATTGAGCCTTTGACTCAGAAGAGCTAATAAAATTGGCTGAGTGCCTGGATGCCTGTAGTCTGTATGTGGACTGGAATTTACGGATTGTGAAGACAAATCATGGAAAAATGACTTCCTGAAAAATGTCTACAGTGAGAAGCATCTGGATAATCATAGTGACACTGTACATGTGTATGAAATTGATTTGTTACCACAGTGACACTGTACATGTATATCAAATTGTTTTGTTACCACAGTGACACTGTACATGTATATCAAATTGTTTTTCTTGAAGCAAATCAATTAATTAACCGTTTTCCACCTGAAAACACTGGACAAACACTTTAACAATATTATCTACATTTATTGTGTAGATAAGTACAACATTTATAACTTCAACAATTCATATCAGTAACTGATGTACATGTATATTTATATTACCGATATAAGAAACAAGTTAATTAAGAGTACTTTTCTCTTGATGGTGGCTTTCTCAATGGATCAACCCTAAAATGCCTAGTGTGAAAAGTCATCTTCAGAGATGTTGATTTTATGTAAAATGAAACTTTAAATGGGGGAGAGATTGAAAATTAAGATAATCAATTATGATGCTCCTTGTTGATAAAGTTCAAAACAAGCTTTTTGCATTCACAATAACAAGTACATGTATTATAGTGCATTCTTATGGCCAGCACTTCTCATAAATAAAGGAAGCTTATTCCCTAAACCTACTCTACAACTATGTAATGATATCATATATATTGCATACACTAAGGTTTATAAATAAAGTTATTCACATAAATAGCTAGTGTATCATCACTGAAATATTGTATCAGTAGCAAATGCTCCTGCTAGTCTGAATTCATGTCCTTCAATAATAGAACAAGTCATTTTATGTGGAAGAGATTTAGAATAAGGTGCTGGTCTAGGCGCAGCTGTCCTCAGTATATATTCCCGAGCAGAGGGCCTGGGGAAGTCTGGCACAGTGTTAAGTCCCATATCTCTGGAGCTGTCCTCATCTTCTATCACCATGTGCAAGTCCTGAAGAGAGTAAATTATGATGATGGCCTAGTTAGATTTTCAGCACAGGAAGATTTCATAAAGAGATAACAATTTCTTTTCTTTTTTTACTTGACCCAAACAAAGAGACTTAGTTAACTAAAATCAAGCATGCAAATTGCTAGTTAGATGTTAAAAAAAAAGATTTTTTAACGGTGTACTTATTTTTAATATAGCCATATAACTTAACTATAGGATATTTTGTACTATATTTTGTAACCCAAAGACTTCATGATACGAGCTTCAAAAATTCTTCAAGGACAAAGTCTCACAGTGCTTATTTAGAATCTATCTAACATCTATGGAGAATATCTATTTCTTTAATCCCCTGCCAGGCAAAATCTGTACAAGTGAACAAAGTATGCTGAATTACTCTAGCAGGCTTCCTCAAGCTAACCATTTCAATATAAACACTATTTACTCTACACTACCACTCATCTTTGAGTTTGGTATTTTTATCTTACCTTCTGAGCAGCCACAAATAGTTTGTGTATCATGTCCCCCACTGGTCCTGAAGGTCCCCCATTGATAGGGACTTCTGTATGGTGAAGGAGGTCACTGATGAATTTCTCCACTTCATCTTTTCCACTTGAATTCTCAATCAAAGAGGCTGGAAATTTTGTCTTCAGGGATGTCGCTCGAGCTATTAAAGTTTCTGTGAGGTTTAGCAGCTTGAATAATTCCTGATAAATTAAATTTATTGTAAGTACTGATACTGATAAAAAATTTAAAAGTAAACCTAAATTGTGTAAAAATGTAAGACAGAAATTCTGATCATCAAATATATTTTTGTGAACAAAATACCTCATATCTCCGGACATCTTGGTGAGGAGTCCTGGTAACCATTGCAGCCTTTGACACCAAGTGTTCTATCATATCTTTCAGTTTTGGGATATCTGAGTCCTCTACAAATGTAAAATTGATTTTTGTTTTTGATTTCTCATAGCAATTCAAGTAGTCTATCAAACACAGACAAGAGACACAAAGGTCTAGACAGTAACCCAAGTTGTAAGAATTTATGAACATATCATCAGCTTAGCCCCATCCTAGGGTCTGAACCTTGGACCAAAGGGACAGGAATTTTATGTAACTGGTAAGGAGTAAAAAATAATGTATTTTCAATACATTATCAATGAGCCCAACTCTCATGGAGCATGCACTCCATGCAGTCCCTATACTTTGGTAAAGTGCTCCTAGTTAATTGTAACTGTGCATCAAGAAGAAGATGCATAACCAATTTAATTCAGTTTTCTAAAACTTTTCCCCCATTATTCTGGACACCAAAGAGACATTTGTATTTATGATGACAATAAGTTTTGAGTTCTCTGCCAAAGTTATGAAGTATATTTCCAGTTGTTAAATGGTCCAGGATACTGTAAATGTATTATATTCAGCGGGTACAATATTTGGCGGAAATTGATTTTTGAACAAGTTAGCGAAGATTTGATTTAGCCCATTTCCTTATGTTCTTATTTAAATCTACATGTGCAAGACATTTGTACTTGAATTAGCGGAAGTTGTTTTCCGCGAAAGGTGCCAAAAAGACTACACAGCTAAATGTAATATGTTTACAGTATCCTTTACAGTATCCTATACATGTATCTACCATCACTAATATTCCAAGAAGGTAGAATCCTTAATATCACACTTTCTTTTCCCCCATCAACCATTGAAGTCACGTTCAAAAGTAAATTTAAAGTGATACAGCAGCAAAACACAAGAATATGTGGGTTTTCAACAATTTAAGATAGAAGGCATTGTACACCACGGAGGGTTACTATCTTAATTAAACCATAAGCAAGTGAATCCATAGCTACACCTAGTGGAAATATTTTGTTAAGTATCCAATCAAAGATGGTCACCTTAGCTACTGCTTTGCATTAAATATTACATAAAATTTAACATTGATAGTAGGAAAAGCAAAGAAGTATAAATACCTGTAATGTAAGTACATGTAAAAAAGTACAGAATTATGTACATGGTTCTACATGTATATATTTTATCAGTTGTGCATCTCTTATTACGTTGTTTGCTTCTTATGTGTTACCATGTATACTTTGCCTATCTCCAATGCCCTGGAGATAGATCAGTTAAATTAACGCACTGTAAGTCAGTTGTCAGTCCCCATGATCCAATATGTGTTTTTGTAAATAATAAACTTTGTAACTGTAACATTGTTGAGTTTTATATAAATGGTTGACTGTGTATGTCTGTGTGCATGTTTGTTATTTTTTTTTTTTAGATTTCACTTACCATTGTCAATAACCTTGAGAACTGATGAATGTACCAGTACTGGTAATAAGTGGACCACAACATCTGCTGGCTTCAAGGCAGACAGAAAATGTAGTACCTAAAGAATTGTGAAGCTCATGATTAACTACTTTACATTGATCAAACAGGGCATCATAACTGTATCAAATTTTGATAATACATGTATAGAATAACACAATCAAGTTGATGCAAGGAATTAAACAATTCATCTGATGATAATGGGGAACATGAATTCAGAAAACCTAGATACGTAAGCCAATGATTACCGTAAATCTGGAAATTTTTATGTCGATTTATTTTTGCGAATCTGGGTCAAAAAGCTGTTGATTAATTTTTACGTTTCAAAATTTTGCGAATTGTCATTGGCGCTAAAATTAAAAAGGGCTCAACACTTTCATAACAATTTAAAAGTGACGCATGTACAAACAATATTAATGCATGTACGGTACATACAAAAAAATTACGCGTGTACATACTATATTACACGATGCCAACGCTCAATAATCAGATAAAAATACTAGAAGAGATAAAACATCTAAACTTTTTTAAGTTTTGTAACATTTTATTAAATCACTTATGTATATTCTCTACGCACGCTTTATCATGGGTAATTACCTTGTAGCACAAACAGTTTTGACCACTGCTTATGAACACCTTCCTGTTCACCGGGTCAAAATTAGACTGTCAGCAAAATTTTTGTTTACGTTTTTTGTTGTTGATTTATTTTAAAGAAAAATATTTTTGCGAATGCAATGCACGCGCAAATTTGCTAAAAATAGATATACATACACAGACTGACTTAATCACCTTTTCAGCCTCCTTTGTGTTTTACAGATATACATACTATACAGACTGACTTATTCACTTTTTCAGCCTCCTTTGTGTTGTATAGATATACAGACTGACTAACGGACCTTTTCAGCCTCCTTTGTGTTGTATAGACATAAATATACAGATTGACTTACAGACCTTTCAGCCTCCTTTGTGTTGTAAACAAATACATAAAATTATACAGACTGACTTAATCACCTTTTCAGCCTCCTTTGTGTTGTATAGATATACATATACAGACTGACTTACTGACCAGTATACAGACTGACTTACTGACCTTTTCAGCCTCCTTTTTGTTGTATAGATATACATATACAGACTTTCAGCCTCCTTTGTGTTGTATAGATATACATATACAGACTTTCAGCCTCCAATGTGTTGTATAGATATACATATACAGACTGACTTACTGACCTTTTCAACCTCCTTTGTGTTGTATAGGTATACATATACAGACCTACTTAATCACCTTTTCAGCCTCCTTTTTGTTGTATAGGTATACATATACAGACTTTCAGCCTCCTTTGTGTTGTATAGATATACCTATACAGACTGACTTACTGACCTTTTCAACCTCCTTTGTGTTGTATAGGTATACATATACAGACTTTCAGCCTCCTTTGTGTTGTATAGATATACCTATACAGACTGACTTACTGACCTTTTCAACCTCCTTTGTGTTGTATAGGTATACATATACAGACTGACTTAATCACCTTTTCAGCCTCCTTTTTGTTGTATAGGTATACATATACAGACTTTCAGCCTCCTTTGTGTTGTATAGATATACATTTACCTATACAGACTGACTTAATAACTTTTTCAGCCTCCTTTGTGTTGTATAGATAGAGAATATTACATACTACAAGAGGCCCAAGGGCCTTAACGTTCACCTGAGTATAATACAACAATTTAGAGGATCCATAGAGTATAAAATGAACTGAAAGGTGAAGCTTTGTTGCCCAAAAGCAAGAAAAATAGAGTGATCAGGATCAAAAAAAAAGAATTAGTCTAGCATTCATTCACAGTTCATAAATTAGGTTCTAATCTGTTCCTCATTTACACTTTCACCATACAGTAAATTAACAAAATATCACTGCTTCTGTACCATCTTAATTCCTTGTTGAAATCTCTTACATTGGCCTCTCTTGATCTTTGATGAACATTTAATAAGACAAGTTATTTTTGTCTCATTTTTATTTATCTATTACTTACAAGTATACCTGATCATTAAAACTATGAAAGTACTTTTTGTATTATACAATAAAAATTCTTGCATAATTCTCTTATTCTATTAACCTTTCAAGTACATTATTTACAGTGATTAATTATCAAAAGTAAATGGCAAAGGGGAATAACTCCTCTCAGTAGATTACAAATTAATAGTGCCCTAGCTAGGACCAGAACACTTGACTAAATGGTCCAGATTTTCAAATATCTGGTAAAAATACCCTTCCTTATTAAAACTTTTACTCTTTTTGCCTCTGATATGCCCAGGTGCAGAGAAGATTTTTAAAGAAATAATGCATTTTTACTACAGATTCACTATATTATCAATAGAACCCCCCCCCCCCTTCCATCGAGAAACATCAGAGCGACAGAGCCTCTCACCCTGGGACCAGAAGTTTGTACATCATAAGTAATCACTTTGTTTATCTGCTTAACACTGAGGAGCAGACAGGATTATTTAATAGAAATAATGCATTTTCACTATATTATCAAGAGCCCCACCCTTGCACCAGCACATCTGACCCAGGGGTCATGCAATTCACTACTCTGGAAGAAGCACTCTTGCTCATCATAACTATACACTAGCTTCTTTGCTTTTTAACCAGAAGCAGAAAAGAATGTTTTCAGAAAAAATTTGCTTTTTCACTACATAATCAATAGAGCCCCCCCCCCCCCTTTTTCACCAGAACCCTTGACCCTGGGGCCATGAAATTCACAAGTTTGGAAGAGGCATCCTTGCATATCATAACAATGTACTTAGTTTGTTTAAATAATACCCAGGGGCAGAGAAGAAGAGTTTTAAAGAAATAATTCACCTTCACTATAGGATCTATATGGCCCCACCCTAGCACCAGAACCCCTGTCCCTGGGGCCATGAATTTCACAATTTTGGAAGAGGCATCCTTGCTTATCATAACAATGTACTTAATTTGTTTAAATAATACCAAGGAGCAGAGAAGAAGATTTTTAAAGCATTAATGCATTTTCACTATATAATAAATAGAGCCCCGCCCTAACACCAGAACCCCTGATCCAGGGGCCATGAATTTCACAATTTTGGTAGAGTCACCCTTGCTTATCATAACTATGTATTCAATTTGTTTCAATAATACCCAGGAGTAGAGAAGAAGATTTTCAAAGAAATAATGCACTTTCACTATATGATCTATATAGCCCCGCCCTAGCACCAGAACCCCTGACCCCGGGGCCATGAATTTCACAATTTAGGTAGAGGGCTCAATGCTTATTACAATCATGTCAACAGTTTGACTGCTTGATGTCCAGGAGTAAAGAAGAAGATTTTTAAAGATTGCATTAATTTTGGTGGTTTTAGCCCCACCCCTCAGGACCCAGGGGGGCAGGGACCATGAAATTCACAATTTTTGTCCCCCTTCACCCACAGATGCTATATGCCAAAATTGGTTGAAATTGGTTGAGCGGTTTCAGAGAAGAAGCTGAAAATGTTTAAATGTTAACGCACGACAGACGACGCACGACAACGGACAAAAACGGATAGCAATAGGTCACCTGAGTGACTCAGGTGACCTAAAAATCCATATCATATGTCATATCAGCCATATGATATGGATTTCAGTATGTAGTATTCTATTTATCATATATTTAAAATACTTAATATGCGAGTTCACATAAAATCATTGAAGAATGTTTCGTGCATGTTTATGACCTTTTTCTTTAAAATCTAATAAAGCAAATTTTAGGTCTCTGAAAACAAATTAAGTTTACAGATGTTAGTAAAGAATTATTTTACATATATATTTAAATAAAATCAAGTTTATTAATATGAAACAAACCTTACTTCCGGTTTGATATGAATTTTTGCCCGCCGGTCAGATACATGATATGGATTTTTGGACCGGTGTCATATAATATATTGAACCCCGGGATATTTTGAACCCGGGTTCAAAATATCGCTGCGAAATATTGAACCCCCCTATAAAATATTGATCCCGGGGTTCAAAATATTATGGTCATAATATTTTGAACCCGGGGTTCAATATATTATAGCCTTAGGGCCATAATATTTTGAACCCCGGGTTCAATATATTATGGCCTTGTGGTCATAATATTTTGAACCCCGGGTTCATTATATTATAGCATTATGGCCATAATATTTTGAACCCCATTACATTCTCTGTTTCAAGCATAGGGGTTTCTGAGATTATGGCGTTGAAGTGTTGTACGTACCTCCTAATTTTAATTTTTTTTTTTTTGGTAGGTTGGGGTGGAGGTTTAAGCTAGGATTTATGGATGTAAAATGTTGTACCCCCTATTAGACATATATGTGTATAGGAGGGTGTTTAAAAATTATTGACCTAAAATAATTTTTGAATGGTAAGAGGGGGTTCAAGATATTATGGTAGTGAAATGTTCCAACACCCACAACATTTTATAAGGGGTTGAAAATATTGTGACTGTGAAGTATTGAACCTCCATTTAAATACTACTATGGAAAAGGAAGTGAAAGTATTTAACACCCGTCTCCCACACACTCACTTTGATTTATTTGTTAGATCTCAAGGGTTGGGTATCTCTATATTAATTTTTTTTTTTAATAATGTGCAATACCTAAAGAAGTGAGAGTAAAATAATATAACCAAAATACTGAAGTCTGAAATTGTCACCAGGAATTTAAAAATAATTGTCTTTTACCATCAAACCTCAAATAACTAAAATAACTTGATATGTCTGATGGAAAAACAGTTATGAGATATTTATTTCTTTGTCTTTTATTCCATCCCATAAGGTATTTATTTACTTTCTTTGATTTAATTTTTTTTTTGTATAATTTACAATTTGAAAAAAGAAAATTCAAGGAGCAATGTAGTATCTCTCCCTTGAGGAGGTAACAGGGATATAGCACCTGTGTATTGTGTGTACACAAGGAGGTGTCATTGGAGGTCAACAATACCCACTGTCTATTGTTTCCCCTTGATGGTTTCTGTATTATCACTATACAAGTGTTTAGAGAGTGTACAAATTGAGTAGTCCAGTTTGAGGGGTGTAATATAATATCTTGAACCCCCCTCCTAAATTAAAAGGGTAGGGGGACTCGATATTTTATGGTCATAATATCTTGAACCCCCTCCCTCTTAAAATAAAAGGGTAAGGGACTCAATATTTTATGGTCATAATATCTTGAACCCCCCTCCCTCTTAAATTAAAAGGGAATGGGACTCAATATTTTATGGCCATACTATCTTGAACCCCCCTCCCTCTTAAAATAAAAGGGTAGGGGACTCAATATTTTATGGTCATAATATCTTGAACCCCCTCCAACTTAAATCAAAATGGTAGGGGGACTTGATATTTTATGGTCATAATATGTTGAACCCCCTCCCTCTTCAATTAAAAGGGTAGGAGGACTCGATATTTTATGGCCATAATATCTTGAACCCCCCTCCCTCTTAAATTAAAACGGTAGGGGACTCAATATTTTATGGTCATAATATCTTGAACCCCCTCCCTCTTCAATTAAAAGGGTAGGGGAACTCGATATTTTATGGCCATAATATCTTGAACCCCCCTCCCTCTAAAATTAATACGGTAGGGGACTCAATATTTTATGGCCATAATATCTTGAACCCCCTCCCTCTTCAATTAAAAGGGTAGGGGGACTCAATATTTTATGGCCATAATATCTTGAACCCCCCTCCCTCTTAAATTAAAACGGTAGGGGACTCAATATTTTATGGTCATAATATCTTGAACCCCCCTCCCTCTTAAATTAAAAGGGTAGGGGGACTCAATATTTTATGGTCATAATATCTTGAACCTCCCTCCCTCTTAAAATAAAAGGGTAGGGGACTCAATATATTATGGTCATAATATCTTGAACCCACTGGGTTCAATATTTTATAAGGGGGTTCATTATATCGCAGCGAAAATATGAACCCGGGTTCAAAATATTATGCGATATATTGAACCCGGGTTCAATATATCGCGGTATCAAAATATTATGCTACACCGGTCCTTGATATGGGGTATTATGACGTCACCCGTATTGCACAGTGCAGAATCGGTGTATTTACTACTAAGTATATGATAAATATACATATATAGACTGACTTACTGACCTTTTCAGCCTCCTTCGTGTCATCAAACAGTCTCTTCTGTCTCCTGGCTGGGACGGGTTTGGCACTCTGCCAAGCTTCACTCCAGATGTTTCCAGGAATCTGCATCCTCGTACTCAGATGACCTAATACAACAAATATATACTGGATGTGTAGGTTTTATATGCAGTGTACAGTTCTAATATTTTCAGTAATTTGAGACTGTATTTTTCCATGTCAACATTTAATTTTTTTTAACAGTAAGAGCTCCAGAATTTTTATTTTATGCCTTACCGGTACTTTTTCACATGAATTTCTCACCTTTGGGATTTTCTGTTGTTGACACCTCATCTTCTATCCAGTCCCTTGGTGAATACCATCTGACAAAGTCCTCTATGGTGCAGCCCGGATTGGCTGCTTTGAATGACTCCATGTCCGATACAAGACAGGCACTCTGCATCCTTGCTCTTAGCTGGGCTCCCTCAGATGAAGTACCTAGCCTAAATAACACAAAGATTGATATATCTATGTATAAAAGGAAATCATAGGTCCTCTCTGATAATATGCACTTGCAGAAAAAACATTGATAAAAGTCATATGTATTGTTTTCATTCAATTCATGTAGCTTTTGATATAGAATCTGTAATTTGGAAGGATTTGTTTTGATAAGGCTGTACATTCTATGTGTTTTCTGTATTGTGTACCTGGCTAGGACCTCAGCATGTTCTTCCAGCATGTCTTCAGTCATGGGGGAGGGATCCTGTGTGATAGGAATGTACAGGGGTTCGTCTATATTTAGAAGTCTGAGATCACTAGACTTGGCCAGCCGTCCCTCGGGTTTGTGTGTGACAGAATCTACATAGGAGGAGGAGCTTGTCACAGATGTTTCCATGGAAACCACCTCTTCCACTGGTATAGAAGTTTCCTATAATATAAACCAAAAAAAATCAAGCTGTATTTACTAGAAAAGCTCTACAAGTACCATCAAATAAAAGTCTGTGAAAATGTTTTATGTATGTATATTATCTAAAAATGTTACGTTGTCAGAAGCATTATAAGAACATGCAATAACAGTTTTTTATACATTTGCTTTTAAGGTTTCCACTTCCATCTCTGAGCTGTCCTCCTCCTCCTCCTCCTCTTCCTCTTCATTCTCACATTCAAAGAACTCCTCCTCACTAGAACTGTCCAGATGTGGCTTTTTGGCAGGAACATCCTCTTTATCCTTGCTACACTCTTGTTTTAGCTTCTCCCCAGATGACCGACGTCCACTTTGTTTGCTTTGATCCGATTCTGATGTAGCACAGATTTCAGAATCTGAGGTAGATAAATGACTAGATTCCATTCCATCATCAGAACCTACTGAGTCCTTTTGATCATCCAGCGTCTGTCCTGTGTAGCCCTTGTACAACTGTTCTCGCTTGATTTTTCTTTCTATACAACAATTCAACATCTGAAAATAAAAAGGGTCTCCAAAACACTAAATGAAGCCTTTGTGGGAACACACAGTTATGCTGCATTTCTTTTTTCTTCACATTCAGCCCATTTTATGTATGTTTTCTCATTGTAATGAATAAATAATTAGAGAGTTTTAATGACTTCTTCAGGATATTCAAATGCAATTCCTAACAACCAAAGAGCAAGGAGATACAAGTAGGTAAGTAAAAACTTTATGGCCATGAAAGAATAAGCCAAGGGTTACTCCTCATCATATTAATAATATGATCTGAGGATGAGAAAGTGCCTTACATGTATGTCCTCTACGAGATACAGCTCCATTGATATCCTCATGGTAAGTAGACAAATGACTTACCTGTAACTTTTGGTAGAGTAGACATGTTCCTAAGTTTGGAGACCCTGGGTCAACTCTGCAATATAAAGTAAAGACATACTGACACAACATTTAATATCAGCTGCAGATCTACAAGTAACACCATTGGTTGAGTTAACACACTAACCCATCAATTAAATACTTGTTCTCCCATCGGAACCTCATCTCAAGGACAAACTCTTGCCATAACTGGGCCACACCACGAATTCCTCCATGATGCATGTTTACCATCACCAAAGCAACAACTAATTTATGGAGAAGACTTTCCTCAGGGGCAGACTTCAACTGCTTAGACAAATCCTGGTAAAGAAAGATGTGATTGATGAGACAGGAAAAATAAACCAGACTCTCAGAGACAAAGAGATATTTATTACAAGGTATAAGACATTTTTTCTCACCTCTGTGATGTGGGAGTATTTATTGCTCGGTTTTTCACTTTCACTCTCAGCCTTATCATCTTTCTCTAATTTTGGTTTTGCATCAGGAAACAGAAACTGTAAATATTCACATAGCAAATAAAACTCAGAAAACTAAAATTTGATAAGCACAACAACTTTTACATTTGTACATATCCTTGAAAAACTGGATTTATTGTGATATTTAATGAGTTTTATAGTCCATGAATTAGGTTACTGTAAGTACTCACATATAACAGTTCAGTGAGGGTGTCTCCATCAATTGGTGCCTGTCCAGGCTTAATGGCTAGTTTACTGCTCGCAGTATGAACAACATTACTGAAGGAAGGAATACCATATATTTTAGACACCTTTGGTTCTGTCAGTTTCTGTAAAGCCTGGCTAATATCACCTGTTTGGTCTACAAAAATAATAGTGTTAAAGATATGTAAACTTTAGGCATTAACTGATTTGAAAGTAGTCAAACCTCATTATCTTGAACTTAATGGGACTGAAAAAAACCATCAAGATTTCCGAGGCTTCAATATATCAAGGGTAAAATACTTAAAAAATAAGTGATTGGGAGTTCATATCACTTTGACATATCCATGGTATTTGAGATGTTGGTGTTCCAGATACTGCAGATTCTTACATATACGAGGGGAATTAATTATCGCTTAATTTCTCAAGAAACACCACTCGAGAAATAAAATTACTCACTTTTATTTTATGGTGCTAAAACCCACACAAAATCCCTTGATCAACTGTCCACTCGCAAATTATTGTTCTTGGGATTTTACCTTAAAGTGCCATTTTGCAATAATAATTAAGTACTTGCGAAAAATAAGGAATCTACAGTACCGAAGTCCAACTGTAATTGAAAATTAAATATTTGACTACACTGAATCTTGAAGACATTTTCCACATAAAGATACAGTGAAGTCTCCTTATTCCCGATGCAATAATCCACATGCTTCACTTTCCAGATGGAATTTTTGGGGAAATAGAAATAATATTTATACAGTGAAAACTGTCTAATCCAACACCTGTGCAATTTGTTTCACTTTGAATTCTGACCCTTATCTGAATTCCCATTTTACTGTTTTCTCTTAACAGCGTGCCATCTGACACCCTGTCTATTCCGAAACAAAAGCTGTCTCCCAGTGCATGCCGGATAAGACAGGTTTCACTACTAATTATAAAATGTCCGTTTCAGTAATCCCAGCACTTCAGTAATCTGTTTGGGAACATAAGTGTACAGATCAATAAGGTTCCACTAAATACTTTATCCTAATGGTGAATGCTATAGAAATCTCACCATCTTCTTCTTTAGACAATACATTCCACAGCAAATCCTCAACTGTATCTTTTCTGTGTGCAATTTTCAGAAAATCACCCAGGTATTTACCTAAAACATAGTATCATCCTTACAATTAAAGTATCTTATTTTACATAAGATACTGGCACACTTAATATGCATATTGGAGCTTGTTTTAAAATATTGATAAAGATCAATAAAAATGTTTTCAATTACAACCATGATTTTATGATGATTTAAATTAAAAGTTCAGTCATAGTGTTGAATATGAGAAAGGTATTTCATGAAAAAGAATTTTTTTCTGATAGAATAATTTTGATTATACAGTGGTCAGTTCACTAATCCAGAAAAGTGTTCATTTATCAAGAAGTTAGTCAGCTTACTCAGAAGTTAATTAAAATACCCATCAAATGGCAGCAATTAACCCCATCAATCTCTCAAAGACAGTAAAATTCCACTAAAATGCAGTTAATTTGACCCCCACCTAAATTTACTCCAAAAATTAATTAATTTAGCCCCCCCCCCCCCCCCAAAAAGGAGCTATTCTTTTTCTGGTATATAGCTTAGTTGTTCAGAGGGTCATTCACTTATGGACAATTATCTCACCAAGAAGACAATTTGGGTCCTCTGTCATGATAATGCGTACTGCCCATTGTGGTGCCTGCATTGGGTCAAGGTCACTAAAATAAATAGAAACTCACAAGCTTTACACAAGAGCAACAATACTGCAATTAGCACAAGTCTCACATATTAGAAACAGTTTGTTGAAGACAGTTTTAGATATGCACTTAGAATTTTTACAGCCGAAATACTGCAGACTCGGCTTAAAAAATAAACAATCAATCATGAATAGATTTATCGAAAAATAATGATTTGTTTCACTGTTCATTGTTGTTACTGAGGAACATACTGTGTAAAATGCTTATGAAAAGAATGTACTCTAGATTTGTAGCTTAAAAATTAAATACTGTAGTTAGAATCTAATAGCAGTAATAAAAGGAAATACTGCAGTTCACGATATTTTCGCGATACCTTATTTTCGCGGGATAGCTATTTGGTATTTATAAGCGAGACAAAATTTCCCCAAACTGTGATTCTGTTGTTTATAATCCTTTACAATACAAATACAGTCAAACCTCATTATCTCAAACTTGATGGGACCGAGAAAAAACTTTTGAGATATCCGAAGATTCAAGATAATGATGGTAAAATACATAAAAGAATAAGTGGTTGGGATCTCCAAATCACTTCGACATATCTGGGGTACTGGAGATATCAGTGTTCGAGATACCAAAGTTCAACTGTATATGTAAGAAAAAAATTTTCGCTAGTAGACAGACTTGCGTTGCTATGCGAAAATAAAGTTCTAGCAAATAAAAAGTGATTTACAGTATGTACCTGTAACTCTGGTTTTCAACAATCATGTCCTCTGACAAGCTTGGCCAAGTGCATGCAAGCTGCATCTCACTAAAATATTATTTACATACAAATGTATATACATGTTCAAGGAATATAGAAAATGTATCAGGATTGTAATTTTTACTTCATACATGTTCTTTTTAATGAAAATAATAAAGCTTACCTTACTGGATCTTCGCATGCTCCAAATGGCAGATTCCCAAAATCAGAACAACCAACTTCATCTTCCATTGGAGATGACAAATCTTCAAAAGGATATTATTCAAATGACTAAATCAAATAATCAGCATAATAAAGAAGCAGGCCTCTAAGTAGCCTCTAAAATTTAGGTGCCAGCAGGCACCTCATCAAAAAATTTAGTCACCAATGCAAATTTTTAGTCACCAGGCAATTTTTTTTAAAGTGTCAACCTTAAAAGTTAATAGTAATCAATATAGGGACCCATGAAGTGACTAAGAAAACACGAAATGTCCATTGTTAAAAATAATTTCCTCTTCTTTTAAATTTCTTTTCACTTTTTCAGGAAAAAATGTTAAAAATGTTAAAATTTACAGAATCCAACGATCACCAAGTCAATTTAAAATGGTCGCCAATTTGGCGACTTATAGAAAAATTTTAGGCGCCATGGCAACTAAATTAGTCGCCAATTGGAGCCCTGAGAAGTGTATTTTTTCTCCTTCACTTGAGAAAGTAGATCCCATTTAAAAAGTTCTTTCAGTTAAAATGAGGTGCATGTATGTGAAGTTGTGTCAATCCATCCTATTTTAACTAAAAATATGCCCATAGGACATGAATGCCCTGCCCAGGGTTCATCATTAATGAAATATGAAAATTTGTGTATGAAGTTTGATGAAAATATCTTGAATACTTTCTTTAAATCTTTATACACAATAAATAGTAAAGCCAAAGGTCACTGGGAATGTCAATTAAGGTAAATAAATTTGGATACAGTTAATAAATTTTATCAAATTATGTATCAGAAAATATGCTTATATAAAAATATCTTAAATAGTTTGAAACTGAGCTAAATGTAAAATTAAGTAAGGTCAAGGTCATACATTTTGGATACAGTTGAATACTGATAGTTCTCAGCAAAATGTATCAGCATATAAGGTTTGATAAAAATATTTTGAATACTTTGAATACTTGAATGACAGAAAGAAGGAAGGAAGAACGACACAACAAACACTACCGGTATATGCCCTGGCCATATTCATGGTGGGGCACAAAAATGCCAAGTACTGGAACAATTTTATTGGCTAACTGTAAGCCTTATTAGTCACTTAGGAAATATCTCACTAATGCACAAGTTGACAAGTACATTCAGCCTTGACCTTAGGGAAAAATGTACTCAATAATACAAACAACTCTTTTAGAGGAAGATACCGATTCATTTAATGGATAATTCTTAAAGACAAAAGACCAAGAAGCAACACATTCCCTTGTAGTCTGACTTCATCTGAGAGCAGAAAGAAATAATAATATTGTGTTTAATACACTTTCAATAACTATCATTTCCTATGATCTTAATATCTAAAAAAAGATTTACATCGCTCACCTGAGCACATTACCTAGAAACTAGATATGTCATAACACCACAAATGTCCCCCGCATTCAGATAGACAAAAGTTAAAACTTTTATGAAGCTCATTTCAGTCCTAGACTCAGATCAGATACTAATTGCTAAATGAAAAAAATACCAGCAAAATACAGTATTTATCACATTGTACAAAAAGACCCTTATTTTCTGTAGTCACAAAGAAATAATCAAAATCTAACTTCGTCATGGGGTCATGATGCACTGCCTAAGGATGATTGCAGAGCAGTATGACTAATCATGACCCAGGCCTGCTGTTCTTGAGAAAAAAAAAATTTCCCAAGACATTTCCTATAAATTCCAACATAAAACTGATATTTTAATATTTGGTCTCTCTGTTGAGGAGTGGTTAAAGGCTTGGAACTGACATGTTATAAACTGGCATTCAAAGGGAAGGAATATTAATCTTAAAAGCTTCATCTAAAAAATTTACTGCAGCACACAGACATTCTGAAACCATGCATTATCTTACCTGTATAATTAAATTGTACTAGAAGTAGAGAAATACTACATATTCAAATTAAGCTAACTGGCATAGGCCTTTATCAGCGGCCTTTGTTTCATACAATTTCACATTAACCTACTAATGGGACAACTTTTAATTCTTGAATGTGTTTTCTTTCATTTATCTAATATTTCTATCTGCTCTAACTAAAAATATTTTTTTTCTAAACAATTGGATATTCCCACAAAAATGTTATTTCCATTAGAAACACACAACACATTTATCCAATTCAACAAGATATTATTTGACACCTAATAGATTTTAAATTAGGAGGGGGAGGGGGACAAAGAACCTTTGCTAAAAGATGAAATACACTGTTCATGTACTACATATATAATGGGAGTCATAATTGTATGACTTTTCAGGTCGAAGAACCTTGTTGCCATAGGACAATGCAATTCAGAGAGATCAATCTTAAAGCAATAATTGCACATGGTCATGTGATACTTATATTTAGTAACAATTTTAAAAGTGTACTTCTTTTAAAATTTGAAGCCAAGTTTACACTTCCAGATTTATATTATACATGTAGTTGCAATACCTGGTGGTTCCTGGGGCCATGTTGCATTATGCCACTCTGTCAATATATAAGTAAATCTTACTGCCACCATTACTGTCGGTCGAGGCATCACTTGTGTGGCCTATAAAACAATAAATTATGGATATTTCTTTTGACAAAATCAATGAGCCAGTCCTATGAAAATCATGAAATTTTACCACACCAGTTCAAGTCATTGTTGTTTTACTCTGATCTTTCACATAATTGAAAAGAAAAATGTTTTCCATTTGATTTATGATATACTTTAGCCTCTCAGAATGCAAAAATGTTGAAAAACTAGAATTGTTTAGGAGACCATCTTAGCCTTGAAGATATCTAGGAGTCCTGAGAGATGGTTGTACTGAGGAGGAGTTGTTTTAAGGTGAATGACATCAAAGTCTATGGAGGAGCCCGGTAACACACAGGCTCCACAAAACATCTGTCTTCTGTACTGCTGGACTTGTATGAACACTGGTACAGGACTAAAAATTAAAAATACTGATAAAGCAGAAATATTTGTGGGGGGTTAAATTTTGTTTATTTCGTTGTTAAAAATTATCAACAAAAAAAAAAACTCCCACACAAAACTGTTATATGACTATATATTGAATAGGGTTACTTTCGAAACAACGAAATTTAATGCCCACAAAACCTTTTTAGATGACAAATCAACAAAATTTTATCAAAATTTATGCCTCTACAGTAGACTTTCACAAGTACCTGGTAAAATATTTCTTCATAAGAGCTGTACACGCTTATACATAAAATAATTACATAAAATCAAGTATTATTTTGTGTTAATTTATCCCTGTTACAATTTCAGTATTTTGAGTAATATAATACATGTACACACTTTGGGGTAAGAAAAGGGTATCTATTATATACTTATACTTGAAGTTTTTTTTTGTCAGGTGAAGTTCCACTACAAGTTAGTCATACCGTAATGACATAGTCTATACACTTTGTATGTTGTTCACTGCTATTGTGTATAAATATTTTAAAAAGAGAAAATTAATCTCTTAAAAATTATTGCCTGAATTTAAAAAAAATATGAATTTATAATCTGTAAGAAATTCAAAATTATGATACATTTAATCAGTATTCTCTCCAATTTTCAGACTTAAAAAGAGGAGTGTGTATTTTACATAACATCGTATTATATTCAGCAAAATACAGTACATAATGTACTGCCTCACCTTCCTGTATTGTTTAGAGCAATGGAGACAGAACTGAGTAGAATCTTAACCCTGCTTTCTGAGTCTATGGCCACAGCTGACTGGGACGGTGTAATCACCAGAAATTCCTGTAGTCCATACCTGTAAAGGTCACATATTTATCACTCTGGAGTTAAATAAATCAGGATTTAGAAACTGATCAGAACTGGTGGCCTACCATCTTGAAAGACAGTGTGATTTTGATGGGAAGTCATTATCTAAACTCATCATGTCTGCCATCACGGTAGGTAAAGACTCTAAAAAAGAAAAGTCAGTAAATACAATTATCCATCAAAATAAATAATAGAAATAAAATTCTACAGTCAAACCTCGTTATCTCAAACTACACTGGACCTAGAAAAATCACCTTGACATATCCATGGTATTTGAGATATCTGTGTTCAAGATACATGTACCAAAGTTCAACTATATTTACCTTTTAACAAAGATTAATCAAATTCTTGACCCCCCTCCCCCTTTTAATCTTATCCTCTGCATATTCTTTATTCAGGCTTAACTTGAGGCAGTGAAATTGCCCGGTTATGTTGTAACTAGTCATTATATCATTTAGCCATACCTTCTGAGCTTTCTTTTTCCTCTGAATCATCATCAGGACTTGGTCTCAACTCTTCCCTGGATTTTGGAAGGTTGTCTCGCTCCAAATATTTGTATGTCACTAAAAAGTCAAAGTCTGCAAAGCTGATGGGTTCTGTCCTCTCACGCCATTTCCCTGTGGTAAGGCTACCCTAGCAATTCAGGAAAAAAAATACGATAGAAGTAATATATATTTTTGAAATCACTGGCCCCTAAGATATTGTGCTGGCATTTTTTAATTTTTCCATTACATTTTCCATTCCATTTTTAGATGACTTTATCAATAGTTTGAGACATAAAATAAAAATATCTGTTTATATTGATTTAAACTTCTGCCTCTCCACTTCTAAGATGTGTTCTTTCTCACCCTTGTGGCTGGGGGAAGAGGACTGTGGTTCACCAACTTCCATTCATGTAAAATTTCCTCAAGGCGGGCCACAAATCTACAATTGACATTATATTCCATAGTTAGTACTTATATCATTATTTCAGTAAATAATATCTGACACTGCATCTTAATAACACAGTTTAACTTTGTACTTATTTGTGAGTTTACAGCATTTTAATACTTTATTTAGTGATTTAGTGTCTTTTATGGGGAACATTTTCTTTCTCACTTATTGTGTTGCCTGCAGAGCAGAGCGACACTTAGGGATCACTTTACCCGGCGTCTGTCTGTCACACCTTATATCTCAGAAGCTGTAAGAAGTATGGATTTGATATTTTGTACATATATTGCTTGGCACTATGGCTTTTATAAATTACCATGGTTACCAACCTCATGACCTTTGATCTTTGACCTACTCTTCAAAATAGACTATAGTTCATAGTGCCAATAAACAGCATACAGTGTGTTTTTGACATTTAAGAGGCAAGTCTATGCTATTTAGCATGTGCAATGTTTTTCATAAAACATTATCAAAAATACCAGCATTACAGTCCACTTGACCTTGACTTTGATCTACTTTGCAAGAAATACTGAGGGCAGTGTAATTTAACTTACGACTTTTGAATTTTGAGAGGCAGGGTTTTGATAATTAGCATTTACACATGTTTATGAGTACATTATATTGTACTTTGAAACTGTATGATATTCAGTGAACTCATTATACTGTACTTTGAAACTGTATGACATTCAGTTACCACACAAACTTATATTTTTAAACTTTGAAAATACATTGGGATTGGTATTCCACAATGGATTGTGTAGACTGACAATTGCAATAAAATACAGACTGAAATCTCTTTTGGGGGATTGTTGGAAACACATACATGTATTAACTAGAAATTTTATATGTCCATAGGACATGAATGCCCCGCCGAGGGTATATTAGTAATGCAACTTAAAAATTTGTATTAGTGTATGATATTTGATGAGAATATCTTGAATAGTTTCTTTAAAATTGAAATTGAAATCTAAAAAGTTGGATATAGATGATATATTATGAAATTAAAATTATGAATAAGTGCATAAGCTTACATGAATATATCTTAAATGGTTTCTTTAAAATAAAGCAAAATGCAAATTTAAGAAAAGTGAGGTCAAGGTCACAGGAAAGTTCAAGGTCAAATGTTTTGATGCAGTTGAATAGTTCTCACAAATATGTATCAGCATATTAAGTTTGATAAAAATATTTTAAATGGTTCATTTAAAACTGAGCTAATCACTAATTCAAAATAAATGAAGTTAAGGTCAAAGAAAAGGTCAAGGTCAAAAAATGTCAATACAGTTGAAAAGGTTACATCAGTATGTATTAGCTTGAAGTTTGATTATACTATCTTGAATGGTATCTTTAAAACTGAGCTAAACACTAATTTTAGAATAGTGAGTCAAGGTCAAAGGAAAGGTCAAGGTAAAAAAAGTTGATGCAGTTGCATAGCTCTCATCAATATCTATCAGCATATGAAGTTTGATAGAAATATCTTGGATAGTTTCTTTGAAACTGAGCTTTGAACAGAGCTAAACGCAAAGCACGATTGTCAGATTCTAATGCAGTCTTGGATGGTTTTTTTTTGCAGCCAAATGCATGAAATATCATGCTAGTAATAAATAAATAGTTGACAACTCTTAGATTTATTTACATCTTTAATGAAGGTACAAAGCAGGCAACACATGTGTTCCTTGGAACACTCTAGTCTTATATGGTCATATTTTTCTCCAAAGGTCAATATAATGTAAACTTTACTCCACTCTTGTGAATATTGTAAAGATTACTTTTGTCTGAAGAATTAGAAAATGGCATAGATATTTCTGACATAAATTTTAACAAAACGTAAATCACATACACCAGGTACATATAAAGATTTCTGCTGTAGAGATTTAACCATCTCCCAGTATTTCATCACTTAACTTGCTGTGAAAGTCCATCACAGTTCACAGATGATTTCAAAGGAAAATCCTTATATAAATTCATTTTACCATAAATATTACATACATGGCCTACTTTTTATACAAAGATTTCAATCTTTATGACGCATGTTTCCATCAAAAGTGCCTGGGTTCATAAAATTATGTTCTTTTTACTTTACATATCCTCAAAATGTTACCATTTTCAACCAGAGATAACTTTTAATTTTAAAATTTCAGAAGGATATAAAAAAAACTGAACAGGACTAAAATGTCCTTTAAAAACATAAATTAACAATAAAATCTCTGCATTAATGTGGCATTTAACACCTAAGATTAATGTTACATTGAATGCCTTTTTTGATGGTTTGCGTAATTTAAAACAAATAAAAACAAGAGGCTCATGGGCCACAGTGCTAAGAAACAGTGGTCCTGCTGTTCTTCAGCAGACTTTTAAAATTACCAAAGGATTTTATTTTCTATTTCTGTTCAAGGAAAACTATTTCTTTTCAAGATCTCCTTACTTATGGTCAAGTTCTAGTAAATGAAGAGTGCCTACAGATTTCTCAAATTTAAGAAACAAATTCCTTTAATAATCTTTTACAATTGTAGCTAAATAAATTGAGGTGACCGTGTATCGGGGCATAATTTTTAGATAAACGCAACGAAAAAACATATTTTAAACTGCCCTTTTCAATGAAAAATGAAGAAAATCAGGTATAAAAATGGGAGTTTTCTCCATCTCAGACAAACAAAATGTATCAATATTGCTTACAAGTCTCTCAGTAAATGGTTTTTCATATCTTCTTGACCTCTTCTTTAAATTGATATCAAATTGAATATAGGTATCAGGGTTCCTTTCAAAATGACTTCAAATTGAATTCCATGAAAATGTGTTATTTTCTACTTAATTCTGTAATAGCCATAAAATACGGGAAAAAATAAGATTAAATAAATTACGACGTCATAATGGATCTAGCACCAAAAGACAGACTAAACTCATTTACTAGATCTTGACCTTAAGGATGCTTTGTGGCAAGTTTGGTTGAAATAAACCCAGTCATCCTTGAGAAAAAAGGAAAAAAAAATATGTGTAAAGTATACAGAAAAACTGATAGATTGAAGCCAGACAAAAGGTGATCAAAGAAGTTCACTTGAGTTTATGGCTCAGACGAGCTAAATATGATCAATATTTTTAATTATGTACAGTTCAGAAAGTATTTGTAACTTCATGGCATATTGAACAATCAAGTAAAATCACTAAAATGTATATATTTTATATATTCTTAAATAATAGAAAACACAACTCTCAATCTAAATGGGAAAAGAAAGATGTTTTAAGATAGATCTTTCCTGTATTTCAATAAAAACAAAAATAAATAAATGTGACATTTAATTTATACAATTATAGAGTATTATTGACATTGGGGTTAAATTACTGACATTACATAACAAAAGGAGGCCAGAGCACTTTTATCCAGCCTTTCTGCCATATAAGCCACATGATGTTTCGTCAAACATCTTCAAAAGATGTTTAATAGAAAAAAATTCTGTTAATGCATTTAGTGTGGAAATTTTTCCTTTGAAATACATGTATATGTCATTGCAGACAGGTCTCTGACGGGAATATAACTCCACTGATTTGGACTTGTGGAAGGATAAAGGGCTCATTTGAGCTTATTATATTTTGTCTTTATTCATAAATTGTGAATTACCGGTATCCAAAAAGAAAAAAAATAACATTATAATTTGAACAGCAGGTAAACTTAATGAGACAGCTATGAGCACCATTTAATTTTTTGATCAAAATTTATAATGTAAGAAAAAATTATAATATTTATCATTGTTAAGCAGGTCTGAACAATTTCCATATATGAAAATCAAGAATGGTTACTGCAACTTGCTATATTTCCTCATGCGTGAGACTTTTTTCCTGTTCAATCAGAATTTTGACAAATAAGCAGGGGCGTCGGCAAGTATTTGACATTGGGGAGGCGAATTGGATCAAAAAGGGGGGGGTCCTAACCAACTTTTTGTGACATAAACTAAATAATTAAAATTTCCGCCAGTTTAATCTTGATATTTTTCCCACTAAGTCAATAGCCTAGAGTCTAGACATATTTTCTGATTAAAAAGAACAATTAAACATGCAACCAAAAGAAATGTGTTTATGTGTTTTAAATAAAACCAGATTTTAAAAAAATGGAATATTTTAAATAGCTAGGAGCTGTTTTTCCCCCGAAACGGCATAGAAAAAAACTTTGAAGGGTTAATGATGAAGTAAAGATTAAAATACATATAATTTTCTATTATTGTATAATATTTAATTATTGTATAATAGGTCCCTGATAATATTTATCGTTATTTGCCAAAAGAATGCATAGTTATGAACTTTAAAATGAACAGGGTGATTAATCCTTCATAATCCATCCATTTTTGAAATGCAGAATTAAGTATGACATTATAAAAAAAATCAACTGAAGTTGTTTTAAAAAGTAATTTTTACCCAGTATTTTAGTATTTTGCTTTAATTTGATAGCTTTCAATGTCGATTCATCAAAGATTTCCAAACATCGATCGACCAATTCATTATATAATGAACAGGCCTGTTATACGCAGCGGAAAGTGTCAGGAAGGGGGTGGTGGCTCCATTTTTTGCCCAATTTTCCCACTTTTTCTCAGAGTAGTTTTTTTTTTGCTTAAGTTTCAATAGGTAAAAATTCATTTATTCAGACGCTGCTTGCCCAACCTCCCTTTCATACACACTTTTTGTTGCTGTTAGGTCGAACTCAGACAAATTCCAGCATTTGTAAAGAAAACAAAATTCTGGAAACTTAGAGAATCCCTACCCCGCTACCCAAAAATAGAATTTCCAAAAACATCGCTAGCTTTGTGCCTTGGAGAATTTGTAGCAAACTTGCACATAGAGTGATGGATACCATGCTTACTGTTTACGCATGCCAGGCACGGGTACATGTACATGTATATACACGTACATCCCAATATGTGTCTGTGTAAACAATAGCTTTCACACTTTGCCGCTCCATTGACCACAGATTGCCGTTATTCTTGCCACTCCATTGATCACTGTGACAGATATTGTCAATACAAATGTTGTAATTCTGTATTTCTCATTCAAAATTCATTTTTCTTTCATTTTTTGTTTTGTTTTGTTGTTTTTTTTTTGCAAAATTATTGGGGCGGCGGTTGCTGCCCCTTTGCCGAGGCCCCTGATAAGTAGATGTGAATAAATCTTAATTAAAACACACAGGGGTTTACATTTTTTTTCTTAAAAAAAGAATTTTTTGACAATTTTGGGGGCAATCAAATAAGAGAGATATTTTTCATCTTCTACCATGAACAAACTATGAATTAATTCACTTATTTTTTGGTCTTAATGTATTACATGTATAACCAAGTTATATATACACCCTAACAGTTATTTTTTTGATTTTGTCATTATTGATAGTTATTGGTACAAACCTTTCCCAATCAGAAGCTGTTGTGAAATCTGTAATCTCAAAGACATCAGCATCCTATTGAAGAAAATAAAGAAGGTAGTTTACATAATATTTAGTAGCTTGCATATTATGAACCTCTATGTAGGATTTTCATAGCCAATAAAATATCACATTTTTAAACAAGAGGCCCAAGGGCCTTACTGGTCACCTGAGTATAATACAACAATGTAAAGGATCCATAGAAATATAAGTAAAAACAGAGGAAATTAGCAGAGGAGTATATTATTAAAGTATTAATTCATTTTCAATATATAGTAAATAAGCCCACCCACCCCTCCCAATGGAACTTCTGACCCTGGGGCCATGAAATTCATAATTTTGTAAGAGATATCCTTCCTCATCATAACCATGCACTTAGTTTATTGATTTAATACCCAGAAGCAGAGGAGAAAATTTTCAAAGAATTAATGCATTTTCACTATCATTAGAGTGCCGCCCTAACAACAGAACCCCTGACCCAAGGGCCATAAATTTTACAATTTTGGAAGAGACACCCTTCTTCATCAAAAGCATGCACTTAGTTTATCGGTTTGATACCCAGGAGCAGAGGAGAAATTTTTCAAATTAATGCATTTTTACTATATAATCATTAGAGCCCCAGTTTAACACCAGAACCCCTGACCCAGGTGCCATGGAATTCACAATTTTGGAAGAGGCTTCCTTGCTAATCATAACTATGCATTTAGTTTGATTGCTTAATATCCAGGAGCAGAGGAGAAGATTTTTAAAGAAATAATGCATTTTTATCATATATTCAACAGAGCCCCACCCTAGCTCTAGAACCCCTGACCCTGGGGCCATGAATTTCACAACTGAAATTCTTTTTGTATAGAGCTCAATGCTTATTACAATCATGTCAACAGTTTGACTGCTTGATGACCAGGAGTAAAGAAGAAGTTTTTTTAAAGATTGCATTAATTTTGGTGGTTTTAGCTCCAACCATCAGGCCCAAGGGGGAAAGGGATCATGAAATTCACATTTTTGTTCCCCTTCACTCATAGATGCTATATCCCAAAATTGGTTGAAAGTTGAAAATGTTCAAATTAACAGATGACGCCAGACAAAATTAGATAGCAACAGGTCACCTGAGTGATATCTCAGAGTATTTTTTAAGTCCCATTGAGTTTGAGACAATGAAGTTTGACTGTATATCATAGAAAAAGAAGATAAAATTTCAACAAAACATTTTGCACAGGTTTTTATGCTGATAATCGACAAATTACTAAACTCTCCATTTTCACCACATCAAGAGTCCTGAGTTCACTTGTGGCCTTAAACCCCTTAGCCCTAGACAACAAACTTTGTTCAAAGGACTGAATGCAGAGACAACTTTTAGGGAAATTACAAATTTTGACTGTTTTTTTAATCTCTCAATCAATCACATTAAAAGGCCTGGGACACAGATTTCATGTAAATGTTTTCTAAAATTTTTGATATAATATCATAACTTACATGTTTTTAGAGCATTTCAGACAGATACATTACAAAGCACATTTACAAACTCCTTTTATCTGAACATTTCGCTTTAAAACTATGCATTTCAGGATGCGATTGATGACATAAATCCTTGCACTTACTTGAATTATAATTTATTCTTAGTATTTCAGACAAGAGGCCCATGGGCCACATCGCTCACCTGAGCACTGTGGCTAGGAAAAAAGCAAAAATCAGTTCAGTATTGAAAAGTTTAAATGTATAAGTGGTCCTGACCTACACCTAATAGGGGAATGGGGGTATGATTTGAACAAAAACTAAGGATGCTTACATATTTCTTTGATTAACTGTGGCTTTTTTCCCTATATGTTTGAACTTTCATTGTGGTCCCACCCTACCCCCGGGGGTCATGATTTGCACAAACTTGAATGTACACTTCCCGAGGATACTTCCATATAAATATGACCAATCATGGCTTTGCTGTTCTTCAGAAGAAGATATTTAAAAGATTTTTCCTACATATTCCTACATAAAAATTTGATTGTCCATTGTGGCCCCATCCTACCCCCTGGGGTCATGATTTGAACAAACTTGAATCTACACTATCTGTGGATGCTTCCATATAAATATCACCAATCATGGCTATGTTGTTCTTCAGAAGAAGATATTTAAAACTTTTTTCCCTATATATTCTTATGTAAAACTTTGATCACCATGAATCTACTCTACCCAAGGATGCTTCTGACCAATTATGGCTTTGCTGTTCTTGAGGAGAAGATTTTTAAAAGATTTTTTCCTATATATTCCAATGTAAAACTTTGATCGCCCAATGTGGCCTCACCCTACCCCCGGGGGTCATGATTTGAACAAACTTGAATCCATACTGTCTGAGGATATTTCCACATAAGTTTCATCATTCCTGGCCAAGTAGTTCTTGAAAAAAAGATTTTTAAAAGATGCCTTTCATTTTTCACAAATTTGTAATTATCTCCCCTTGGAAGAGGGTGTTGCCTTCAGCTCAGATGATCTAAAAAGTGGAAAACTTGTTGAGTATTAATCAAAAAATATTATAATTCAGGGTAGAAATGTTAGAAAACAAAACCAACACACCTGTTAGCATTGTTAGTTCATGTTCAGTGATGTGTGCCGAGTTAACAAATTGAACATACCTGGTAAAACATAAACATTAACAATAACAGAGCTCATGCCCATAAACACAGATGTCTGACCTAATGATATAAAGAATGTTGTCGTCACTGAATTGTAAGAATCTGTATGTAAGTTCAATTCATTAAACTGACATTATTTTTTAAATAAAATAGAAATTTAAAATTGTAAACAAAACAGCAATGCAACTGTGTCCAGGCCCCCTTTAAATTTTTTGATGAATATGTGCATTGAGGTGTCAACTGCTTACTTTCCGTTTATATTTTATATCAACTTATGAAAGCCCCAATCTGATTGGTGCTTCTCAAAGAGAGAAGCAAGTCTGTAGCATATAGAATTTATAGTTTCTCAGGGGTCCAATGGCCATGAGTGGACTCAACTACCCTTCACTTTGTGAGGATGTAATCTCTCAAGACTTTATTATACTTTTACATATTACATTGTTTTTATAGTATTTAATAGCGAGCCCAGCGATGCAGTGCAAAGCGCCGCTCGTCACTGCGAGCTCTTAAAGCAACGCCTGGGCGAAGAGAAAATTCGGACTTTGCACATTGATCCAAACGATTTTTTTTCCTGCAGTTACCTGTGGTCCCATAATGCTTTGTGAATTGCATCTCGCCACAAACTACATTCCCAGAAGTACCAAAAAGAAGTAAACTCACCTTGATTTAATGGATATACATTGTAGCATATTAATAGTATATTTAATTTAATTTTAATATTCTTTATTTAAATTAGCACTGTTCAGACTTTGTTTCAGTAATGCAACATTACATACGAAGTCATGTGACGTCAGAGTCTAGACATATCAAATATCACGTGCGGTTTGAAGAGTCCGATCTATAATTCAAACTGAAAAAGTATATCTGCGCTCGCCCTAACGGTCCCACCATCAACGTATTAAACAGCTGATAAAGTGATGAAATTTGTTTTTTTACTCTCTTTAGAGAAGTGGACAGGCTTTCGCCTACACCCATGGATGTAGGCGAAAGCCTGTTCACTTCTCTAAAGAGAGTAGTTTAATTTATAAATACGCCTTGCATCAGAATGAATGGTTAGGAGTTTATTTACATGACTTAAAATATTAAATCAAAAATATTGTTAAAATGCGAAATGATATGATAAAACTATTACTTCTAACAGCAATGTTATCAAAATTCAATCAGGATCAGGATAACATAAAATATTTCACTATCTTAATTTTGTCAACGTTTTTCAAATGTTTTCCAACAGACCTTATCGATGCATGATACAGGAGAAAAGGAGTTACACCTTTCTGTCTTATCGTAGTGTAAAAAGGGTCTAAAAACTGCTAAATACAATATAACAAGTCTGGTATTATTTTAAATTACAGTTATTATTATTTAGTTAAGACACTTACTTCGTCAGCTGCCATTGTATTGACAAGAAATAAAATGTATCTCAAACCCGACCGTAAGTACAAATTAAGCTTACACTCGAGATTGTCAAAGTTTTTCTTCAATAGTGAATAAAAGCTTTTTTTAATAACTCTAAATTTCAAATTATTTCATTCCAAATTTGAAATGCTTGTTTAATGATATAAAAAATAAAAAATATGATATAAATAAAGAAAAATTCTATTTATTGTTTCTCTCCAACTCCCAAAATGTTCCAGATTACAGATTAATACCAGAGACATATAAAAATGTCTCTGTTAATTAATACAAAATCAAAATGACGTGATAAAGTATCACTGTAAATTAAAATTATTATATAGTCTATTTATAGTCCCTATATAATTTATACAAACGCAAACAGTTCATAACACTACATATTCACTGGTTTTGAAGCCGTATTCACCGAAGGGTCGGTGCGCGTGCAGCGGCATTGTGACGTCACAATCAACATCTCAAACAACGTTGTATGGTTGCAACGGCAAGAGCCACTGTGTATCTGAGCAGGAAAAACAGTAGCCAAGCCTATCGCAGGATTATTTTCTAAACATTTTGATGTCTTACAAACAGCAACAGGAAAACACGGAAGCTATAACTTGTAATCTGGACATTTTTTTTTTCGTTATAATATAGATTTCTTGTAGTCATCTAGTTGTATTACAAAAAAAATCACAGGCATGTAGTATCAGGAGGCTGGAGGGGGGGGGGGGTTGAGTGTCCATCCCACTTTTTTTTTCAAACATAGTGTGTACTGATATTGATATATTTTTATCCAGATCTCGTTTGCTTTTGAAGTTTTTTTTTTCTTCCACAGAATCGACCACCAGAGTGAAAGGATTAAATCTGCACTCAACTTTGACGAAGTTTAAAATGCTAGTAAAGGAACCTCCTTAGATCACGAATAAAAATATTTCAAGTTTCTTTGAACTTGAAACTAATAGAAGTGCATTATGATATACATATACTATTTTATTTATATATATATATATATATATATATATATATATATATATATATATATATATATATATATATATATATATATATATATATATATATATATATATATATATATATATATATATATATGTATGTATGTATGTATATATATATATATATATATATATATATATATATATATATATATAATGAAAATCACGTGTTTATTTTCTTCCACCTAGCGACATATTTAAAATGCTTATTTTGCTTTTTGATTTGGGCCAGTAGACAAATTAACACTCCCAATATTTTTTTTTTATTTCGAGCGCACCCTCGAATTCTGACCAAACTATGCCTATCAGAGTATCCACTGTGTCATTAAAACATCAACGATCTGTAAATATTAAAAATAACAAACCACCCATTGAAAGAAAAGTTCAAAACTTTTGAAAGTAAGACGAAAATAAAAAGGGTATAATTACATTAGAAAAAGAAAAAAAATGTGACTAATTTTTCGAAGTCGTCGCTTCATTGGTTATTTTCGGTACATTAATTCACATAACTAGATTATTTACACTTTATATTTAATTTTACTTTCTGAGATTATTATGGGAAATGACGTCAAAAAGATACAATTCAGTATCCGTGTACTTGTGGTACGAAGAATAGGTATTTATTTATCCAAAATTATTTACACAGTGTTAATGGCCTGTTTTATAACTTACTGTATAAAAAAAACGTCACGCGTACCTGCGGTGAATACCTTCTTTTATTTGTGTTACGATTTTTCCAATCGTAGAAAAGTTTCGATTCCATAAATATTTCAGTATCTTAAGATATATATCTGAAACAGTGTATATGGGCTTTGTGTGGAGTGTGGCAAAGATGCAAACGTAATGCTTTTTTATTTGTTTTTCTTGAAGCAGTACCATTAAGAGTAAACAAAAAAGAAATAAAACAAATTTAACAATAACAATGAAATACAATGTACATGAAAAGGTAGTACATGTATGTGCAAGAAGTAAAGTGAAGTCTATAAATTGAAATATGAAGATAATGAACAATAATCAAACTCAAAAGTGCTCAAAAGTGCAATGGAACAATTTACAAGCTGGGAGCTGAGCAACCGCAGAGCTCTAAAATCATTAGAGGTGGGATCAGGTGCCATGGATGAGTAAGCATCCCTTGTCCATCAGCCACACACTCGTTGTGTGCTCCTTGTCAGGAAGTATAAAAACAAAACAAAACAAACAAAACATTGAATCTGAGGCTATCATGGTCGAAATACCTTTAAGTGCTTCACCCATTTCTTCACTCACAATGAACAAACTTTTGGTGTATAATAATTACTCTATAAAGGAATCTTAATTTAATTAAAATGCAAAAAACTAAGGCTCATTTGGGCGGAAAGGGGGGGGGGCACAACCTAACAAAAACCTGACAGATTTTTGACTAGCAAAATGCATAAAACATTAAACAAAAATTTTTTTTTTTTGGTAAAAGTCGTTTTGGATTGAGGTACAACCATAGTAAACTAGCTTATTTTCAAAATATAGGTATTCTGGTAAAATGATTGAAGGATTAAACTGTCAATTTGTCAAGTTTGCTAAAGCAAGTATATATTGGCAAAATAATGGGGAGGGCACCTCCGCGGTTTCTTCGGGTCTGCAATTTCAGCATAACTTGGGGGGGGGGGGAGGGGGGCAAAATTTGACAGAAATGACTGTTCACTTTGACAATTTCATACAAGATTAATAGGCACTCATCCTCTCATATCAGGTCAATGGCATCTAAGATCGATATATCTATAGGTGTAATCTATACAGTGTGTCATTCCCTGGTTTTGTGCTAAGAAAAAAACATCCTTAGATCTCAATTGCCAGACATCCTTTGAGGGATGTTTTTGGTAATGATGTTACATATTCTATGACATTATTCTGTGCAAATAATTTTCTTGAGTACATATGTTTTTGAAGTGTAAAGAAGACAATTTTATGTGAATATAAATATGAAAATTGAAATAGATTTAAAGTTTGAAAATCAATAAAAATAATGAAAACAACAATCGGGATCGATGAACTGTAATTTTTAAATGCGTTTTAAATGAATTCTCAAATGTGTTCACAACAATTATTTGAATTAACGACCCGCTTGATGCATTTGAGTTCATTATAATCAGGATGACATTAATATTTCCATTGTTTGCCTGTACATGTATATAATATTGAGGAGATGTCTGTAATCTTTGCTCTAAAACATGTTGAGTCATACTTTGATATATTTTGTCATCAACCGAAGAACTTCATTGGACAGAATATTTCACACGAAGGGGATACAGATATTTTGCATAAAAATCTTAACAATTAATTCTCACTATGACAAATCAAACAGAATATAAGTTAAAGTTCAAAACCAAATAGCGTGAAAAGGATATAAAATTTTGAGAAACTTGGTGTTTTAAACACTTTTAAACTATCATGGCTTACATCAAACAGAGAAGAAAGCCAATCATTATTCAATCGACGATTCTCTGTGTTTTCCTTTTACAATGTATTATTACGAGGAGTGCCAGCGGTAAGACGGAGTATTTTCTTTGTTTTGCTTTTATTTTATGGCTGGGAGGGAGTTTTAGGATTTTTTTTGGGGGGGGGGGTATTTTCCCATGTTTTTGCTTATCAAAATATTTCTAAATCGCATTTCCTTTGCTTAGGAATCCCCCCCCCTCTTAGAAAATTCCTGGATCCACCCTTGTTCACGTGGTTCATTCAAACCCTGTTTCGACTAACTTCACACTGAGTACTTCTGACTAACTCTTTTGTTGGTTAGTTGCTTTTTCAACAATTTAACAATATTTTAAATATCATGAAAAACCAATTGCTTATTAACTTAGATGTAAATACGAATTTACGATGTGCACCTAATTCAATCAATTCAAATTTTATTCCTTTGGACTTTACAAGACTATGCTAGTTAAACCCCCCCCCTTTTTTTCTTTTGATTGTACGACATCGCTGATTTTTTTTCTTTGCATCTTTGCATGTTGTTATATATTCACTTTTCGAAGAAATTATATGCTTAGAAAATAACGTACGGTGAACAAATCATTATAAAACAAAACACATCTTCATCGAGTCAGATTATGACACACTAACATATTTCACAACTGAATCAAGGTATCAAATAGATTATATACAATAGATGGGGTAACATAACGCCGAGAAAAAAGGTGCTTCTGGAAAGCGGTGATATAACGTTGGATGTCCTAAATAATTCTAGTACGAACTTTTGATACTTCTTTAGGTTTTTCATTTGACCTGATCGATTGATTGATTGATTGTATGTTGTTTTACGTCCCATTCGAGAATTTTTCACTCATATAGAGACGTCACCTTATACCGGTGAAGGGCTTCAAATTTTGACCTTTACTCGGCACTCAGGGCCATTGAGCAGTGAGGGATCTTTATCGTGCCAACGCCTGCCGTGACACGGGGCCTCGGTTTTTAAGGTCTCATCCGAAGGACCCGCAACTTTCACTTCAAAGTGCCGAGCGCATGGCGAAGGAACAGTTGCTACCTATTTTTTATCGACTTAGGTCTGTCGCGGCCGAGATACGAACTCACGACCTCCCGATCACGGAGCGAGCGCTCTACCGACTGAGCTACCGTGAACGGTTTTGACCTGATCGAAGATCCTATGTTAGAATATGGAATTGACTTTTATAGAATCTGGATATGGCCACTAGTTCACTATCACACCACCGCGCATCGATTTTTGGTCCGATGGCGCGAATGCGATGACGCAACCTCCGTTGCGATGATGCGAAGGTGTGAGACGATGATGGCGGATTTCAATGGTGCGATAGCACATTGGAGCGATTGCTAACATTGCTTCACCGCCATTGTACAACCTTGTCATCGTTATCTCGTTATTGCCATCGTAGCATTGCATGATAACGTTATCGCTCCATTGTGTCATCGCGCCATCATCATCATTTTATCACGCTGTTTAGCGTTATCGTTATTGCCATCGTAGCATTGCATGATAACGCTATCGGTCCATTGTGTCATCGCGCCATCGTCATCATATTATCACGCTATTTAGCGTTATCGACATCGATGTTATAAATACTCATAGAGTGATCAGCAAAAACACACATTCTTCTTTCTGGTGTCTGAACTCTCAGAACATTGATTGATTATATGTTGTTTTACATCCCATTCGAGAATTTTTCACTCGTATAGAGACGTCACCATATACCGTGAAGGGCTTCAATTTTAGACCTATGCTCGGCACTCAGGGCCATTGAGCATGCAGTGAGGGTTCTTTATTGTGCCAATGCCTACCGTGACACGGGATCTCGGTTCTTAGGGTCTCCTCCGAAAGACCCGTGACTTTCACTTCTAGTGAAGGAACAGTCACTACCTATGTTTACGTCTTATGTTTGACGCGGCGCGGCGAATGAGAATCGAACACGGGCCTTCCGATCACGAAGCGAACGCCCTACCACTAGGCTACCGTGACCGGTTCTCTCAATTAAAAGTCCAATTTATTCCACTATAGAAGACATGACCCCCTCCGATAAAGACCCCCAGACTTTTTCTATTTTTTGTTATTTTTTTTTTAATAGATTATTTTTTAATGACCTATTTGTAACCTAGTTCATACCATCCAATTGAAAAATGTCATAAGAATGAAAATCTTATAAAAATACCTAAAACTTTTATAAATTAAATTTCATAACTCCTCTCTATAACTCAACTTTATATATGGAGTGGGGTAGGATTTTTTTTTTCAACTTTATATATGGAGTGGGGTAGGATTTTTTTTCCCATAAAATCTTTGTTTAAGAGGGCTGGGTGGTTGTGGCCATTTTCAGACTATATTGATCTCCTTTAGAAGAAGAGCTCCATATGAAGATATACAAAAATGATCAAATTTGAAAACTAAAATGTATGAATTTTTTCTTTGCCAAATGATAGTTCACAGCTTAAGATATCATAACTAAAAATTAAGTTATATCTGATGGTTAATTTGTTGACCCCCCAGCCTCCTTAAGGCAAAATCTCGAATTGATGGTATGGGTTATGTTACAAATATGTAATTAAAAGATAAATTATGAAAACTATGAATAAGTAAAAAAGCCTGAGGTTCAAAGGGGTGGGAAGGGGGATCCTGCCCTTAAGCACCTGTGGTTTATTCATATCCAATTAAGTTTTACTTACGCAGTTATTAAATGGTGAAATGTTAAAAAGGGGGAACTCAGAGAGTGCAAACCATCGGAAATTTTCCACTGGTTTTGGTGGGGATTAACTTTTCGTTTTACTTCATAGTATACAAAGTGGCTCTTTTGGGATTGCTGAAAAAGAGGCCATAGGTAAACCAAAGTTCTCGCCTCGTGAGGTATCGAATGTGTGTCATCGACATTTTCCTTTATGTTGTGGAAAGAAATAAAAGACGTCTTGATCGTATAGTGGTTTATTTGAGACTTGTTATTATCTATAGTAACGTAAAGTATTAGGACGTCACAACAAAGTTAACGTTACATGAACTCGCGGATAATCCATGACACTCCGGGCACCAAAATGAATAGTAAAATTTTAAAAAGCTCATATTAAATTAACAGTTCCAGTGAAATAAAAAGCAAGTTCATAATCATTAAATTAAGAGGTCCATTCATGGATTCTTTCTTTGGCTTTTGGTTTTGATACTCGATCATCTTCTCTTCAGACACTTTATATTTCAGGTTTTGTATCAGAGTCTCAGTTTCCGAGTGCTTGTGACGTAGTTCTGTGTTAGCTCTCTCCAGCTCCATGTTCCGAGTCTGTAGGTTGTTGTTTTGTTTCTTTATCTCTGCCATGTCCCTGAAATTCTTTTTCGGTGACTTATCTTTTTCCTTCTCCTCGGCCACTTTAAGTTTTTCTATCAGCTGAGTTTTCTCCCTTAGTTCCTCATCACGAGTCTTTACAGAGAACCTATAATCTCTGTTCCTGCTATCTACGGAGCCCTGTAAAGTTTGCAGCTGATTTTCCAACCTCTGTACGTTGATCTTTAGATCACTTATTTCCTTTCGAGTGTAATCACATCGTGACTGAAGACTGTTGTTTTTAGCCTTGAGATGCTCCGAGTCAGAGGTGGCGGTTTTGAGTATGTCAACTTGGCCCCTTAATTCCTGAATCTCCTTATGCAGACGTCCGTTTTCGTACGCCAGTTTATTTTTCTGTTCCATCATTTCCTTCATCACATTCTCTACACGAGTCTGAAAATCCTTTTGTTGGTCGAATTGTGACACTCTCTCTAACAGGGTGGCATTTTTACTCTCCAACGCGTTCCTCCTTTGTGTCTGTGTCGTCAGCTCTGATTTTAATTTTTGTATCTCGTTAGTCAGCTTGTTACGTTCTTCTAGCATGGAGTCCATGGTCCGACTTATCGAAGAGATAGGCCTAGCTGTATTCAGTAAAACACTTGTAGGTCGATGTTCAACGTTCAGTACTGTGGTTTCTGGCTTCTTACTCGTTTCTACGATATTGACACTTGTTGATTTGGTGGGCTCGTCTCTGTCCCTCGTTAGTTTCATGTTGCATATACTTGTGTGGTGTTTTTTCTGACACTTTTTACACCTGTTGCGGGATTTACAATCTGAGGCGCGGTGGTTTCCCAAGCAGTTGAAACATAATTTCTTCCGTTTTAAGATGTCGAATCTTGCACTTACGTCTGTAACTTTCTTACAATCCCCTGGAAAATGATTCCCTGTGCAGCAATAAATGCATGGGCGGCTCTTCATCTCTGTTGTTTCAACATGAGAAATTGACTCTCTCGTTTTCTGGTTATGTGAATAACGAACGTTGTGTTGTTTCTTTGAGGCTCCGGTAAGAAACATTGCTGTTGCGTGAAATCCATCGCTGTTTTCAATCTGGCCTGATTCAAGGATTGTGACTTCTTTGCTGATAGCTTTACGAAGATTTTGCAGTGAAATGTTGTCACCATCGTACTCACGTGCAATGTTTTTCCTAATTTCAGTTGGTAGTTTGTTGATTATGACTGGAATAAGTAATGCTCCAAACATCTCTTGTCTTTGTCCTAGACACTCTAAACTCCTGACATGAGATTCCAAGAAGTCTCCATAATTTCTTAAACTAATTGCATCATTTCTGGGGGCAGGAAGTTCGATGAGTGCTCTCATATGAGCGTTAATAATTTTCTGTGGCTGACCAAATCGTTCTTTGAGCAAGTCTATTGCCGTTTCGTAATTAGCATTTGTAAGCGCAAATCCTGCTATTGTTTGTGCTGCTGTGTCGCGTAATTGAGCTTTGAGATAGCTAAACTTTTGAATTGGCGTCAAAGTATGATTGCAATGAATCGTTGATTCGTAGGAATCCCAAAATGTATTCCATTCTAATACATCCCCGTAAAAATGCGGAAGATCTAACTTTGGTAGTCGGTGATTATTCGTGGCGTGTTGGGATGTTAATGACAAAACATTTTCCTGGCTACTTTGTGCATTGAGATCAGAGGCAGGAACATTGTTCAAAATATTCTCACAAGCCGTTTCACTTGAGTTAATTGTAGCTGACGTGTTAACGTTATTATCATAAATTTCTGTGGCGGGTATGAAACACTCAGCATTGGCATTCAAAGTTTTACGTGGAATTTTTTCTGTAAATTTTTCAGTTTGCCTAATCTTACAGTCTAATTCATACATGTACTCATCTGTATTTGCGATTTCTGTTTCGATGTCCTCTTCAGATAGGATATCCAATATGCAGTCATTCAATTCTTGTAGGGTGTGCCTTTTCAGCGCGAGAGACTTTCTAATTATGTTGATTTCCTCGGTAATTTCTTCACTGGCTGGATTTTCCTTCAAGTCCAAAAACCGTCCAAATAACTTTGTAACTGCTGATCTGTTGCCGGCTCGTATAGCTTTTAGTCTTCCTTCCATTGTAAGTACTACGTAGAATTCCGTCGGTCACGGCACCAAATTAAAATGTTGTGGAAAGAAATAAAAGACGTCTTGATCGTATAGTGGTTTATTTGAGACTTGTTATTATCTATAGTAACGTAAAGTATTAGGACGTCACAACAAAGTTAACGTTACATGAACTCGCGGATAATCCATGACACTTTAAGCTTTATTAAAATATCGACTTACGTTCTTAAAAAAAAGTAAGATAGAAAGAAAAGAAAAGAAACCAAACAAGTTAAAAACAATAACAGGTGGTATGCTTGTCGAGTGCGGATAGATTTATCTGCAGCCTACTAGATCGTAGTTTCGAATTTGACATTTTGTATTCAGGTATTGAAAGTGATCCTAACAGTTAGTAATCCTTATTCTACTTTACCCTGACAAATACTTGCAGTGGTGGATCCATAGTTTTTTTCCGGGGTGGGGGTGGGTGTCAGACTCGAAAAGAATGGAAGCGCACAAGTTGACGACAATCCCCCTGCTCCGAGAAAAGTTGTATTAAAAATATATATATATATCAGTAACGTCATGGTTGTCATATATGATTCTTTTATTTTATTGAATAACTTATGGATAAATAATCCATTTTCACTTATGTTTTTAAGGTATGTGAAACGAAAAAAAAAGAAGAGTTTCACACATGATTCGAACACTCCCCAAAGCTCAGAGTTAATCGTAAGATTAAGCGCTTTTCAACTATGCTACAAAGTTTCCTTGTAATTGAAGTGTTTCTGTGTGCTTTAAATAAACGAATTTATTGAAGTATTTTTTATTCAAAAATGTTCGATTTTCATGAATGAGTTCAAACTCCATTTTTTGAAACATAAAATTGATTTTACATTCATTTTCCCGTCATAAAACGTTAATGTAGAATGGAGACTAGACCCATTCGTATTCAGAAATCATTTTTTATGTCGCCAATAAACCCATTTTCCTTTAAATATTAAGTCGAATGTTGACTGACATTTTTCATACAAATTGTTAGGCCATATTTTTTACACTGCATTGACTATACGGAGCTTCCCGTTTGCCCGACCATGACACGAAGCTCACGCGGCGGGTGTGACGGGTCGACAGGGGATGCTTTACTCATCCATGGTACCTGATCCCACCTCTGATGTTTTTAAAGAGATTTTTTTAATATTTATATTTCCAGGAGTGCGATATCCTATATCATATATAATATATATTCTATATAATATAATAAGGTACTCATGCAACGTCGTAAATTTGTATTTGGAAATTACCAGGGGAATTAATACTTAACATAAGTGCTTTAAATTTCAGCTTTAAAAAATGTCCTTGAAATTAAAATAAAAAAATAAATGTAATGAGAAGAAAACTGTATGAAAGACCCATTTAAAAGCTAACAATTTTATGGTTAAAATGTATGAATAAAACTAGAAATCCTAATAATTTTGTTTCCTAAATTCTAGATTTCTAAATTTCTAAAATTTTTAAAATTCTAAAATTCCAATTTCTTTTTTAACTTCTTATTTATAATCATTGAACTCTCGATCGAGATCAGTTAATAGCCGCGTAGTTAAAAAATCTGCGTTTTCATTTGTGTTGTTTTGGTCACGTTTTTGTAGAATGATCCAATGTAAAATTTAATACTTTCACTTTGTTATTATCCTTTCTTTGCGTTATAACGCCATGCATTTCAGTTTGCGCTGTTTAATCCCCCCTCCTGTAAATCATTTTACGGAAAATAAATTACTCCATTCCTGATTCTGCTTTATATTGACATCCGGTGCGGGAAAATTGTAAAAGTCAAAAGAAAATGATTTTCCTTAACTGTCAACTTGCGAAAATAATGAAAATTTCTGAAGGAAAATTAGTGTCAGATGTCACGACCGATAGAGAAAGCAATATAAACAGTTTTGGCCTGGATAGCTTAGTGGATATAGCACCTGACTAGTGATGCAGGGGCCGAGGTTTCCAGGTCCAGCCATCAAGGGCCATACATTTTCTCTTTTCCTGTCATATAATTTGGTGATGTTGGCCACCCTGGACTTGCGGGTAAAAGTCCTGCCTGGGGCAAAAAGAACTTAGGTTGTGTCTTCGAGGGTGAAGACAAATTTGGCCTAATGTGTTGACGGTGCGACCGTTAGGGCGAGCGCAGATACCATTTCAGTGTACTCAGGTACTGACCAGGTCTGGTACAATCACTAGATTTAGCTAAGTTGGTTGAATTACCTACATAGCTTTATTTACCTACCTGAAGTAGCTTTATTTAGCTACTAAATCAAACTTATTTCTTACATTAGCATTTTTCTCAGAAAGTGCAGAAAATTGCACTTTGGTGCAGTGATAATTTTCAACTTTGAACTCATCTGAAAACAATTCATGAAAAAATCACTCTTGGAGATGTGTCTTTTTCTGTATAGTTGCAACCAGAGTTCAAAAGTTTTATATACAACAGTTTTAAATTTGTGACCTAACAGTTACTTCTTGAGTGAAATAACAAAGAAAACCAGTTTTGGTTAACATGAGCACAATGTGAAGTAATCATACTTATCCAGGCCTCATCGCACACAAGGTGGTGTACAGTGACTCAGACAATGGTAGGGCTGTGTCAATATATCGAATATTCAATACGTATTGATTTTCAGGAATGTATTGTATCGAAAAAATAACTTCCAATACGTATGGGACAGGCAGTTTTCCTTATAATTCTGTAAAAAAGTTGGGAATTTCAGTTACCAAAGATTATTTTTAACTGTTTTGAATTAAAACTGGTCAATAATGAAATAAACATTAAGGAGATAGCACATCTTAAATAACTATTACAAAATACAGACAACTATATTTTAACATGTTATGTTAGACTCACCCAGTTTTTATGAAATTTATGCATTAAATGTCATTTACAAGACATTTGTGAAAGACTTAATAAATAATCCAATATATCGCATATCGCTTTAAAAAATATCGTATCGTATCATATCGAAATATTTTGCTCAATACACAGCCCTAGACAATGGAGATACATATTTTCCTTAAAAGTGTTCAAACACAGCAATGTTAAAACTATCTCTGCTTTAGATTGCTTTTTAAATAATACTTAGAATAAATTTTAGTAGACATTTACTTTGTCTTTTTAAAATAAGAAGCAAAATTGTGAAAAGGTGCCTTGAATAGCTAAATAAAGCTACCTTAGGTAGGTAAATAAAGCTACTATAGGTAATTTTAGCTACGTAGCTAAACATACTGATTGCACTAGACCTGCTGACATTACATGATGTCGTATGTAAGTTGCATTACCAAACCGAAGCCTGAACAGTGCTGATTTTCAATGAAGAACGTTTTATTTACTAGGCCTAAATCAAAGCGAGTTTATTTTTTGTTGTACTTTTGTTGTAATTCTAGCGAGAATGTAGCTTAACAAGCGATGCATTGTGGGTCCTGGCTCCGGGGCCATAAAACCTAGACGAGCTTACTTTTGATCTCAGTCAATCTGATTAAAATCAGATCCTCGGAGCTCCTTTTTAACGATATGTAGCTTACGAGGCATATCGTTAAAAAGGAGCACCGAGGATCTGATTTTAATCAGATTGGATCTCAGTCTCACTTTTAGCAAAGGAATTAATAGTGGAAAAGTGAGACTGAGATCAAGTGAGCTTGTCTAAGTTTTAAATTATGGCCTCGGGGCCAGAAAAATCATTTGGATCAATGTGCAAGTCCAAATTTTTTCTTCGCCCTGGCGTTGTCGTTAGAGCTCGCATTGCAAGTGGTGCTTTGTGCTGCTGGCTGCGCTCACTATTACAGAGTGCTTATTATAAGCATAACAATGTTATAACTATACCAATCAATGATTGTACTGCTTATTATAAGCATAACAATGTTATAACTATACCAATCAATGATTGTACCAATCATAACATATGGATCTGAATTATGGATTACAGACTAGAAATTAGGTATTTAAATACCACAAGCAATAATGCACTTTTAGCATCAGTTTTCAAAGAGGATAAAGAGCTATAAGTCTTGGCAAAGTAAGATTTTTGATCTTTTTAAACATGTTATTTTCCTTGGCATTGATGCTTTAGAAGATATCTAACAAAATTTTAGTTACATGTATTTGTGTTTATTTGAATGCTTGTATATTGTCTAAAAAATGTCTGAGTATCTGGTTTAATAAATCTCCTTAGATTGTTTTGGTATAATAAAACAGAAATGGAATGGGTATGATGGAAATGGCAAATTTATTGTTACCTTCGATAGGAAAGTATTTCCATTGCTGGCTTTGCTACCTCGGGAAGTAGTTTCCTCCCTCAAGGTACCATTAATTTGCTATTTCCCTCATACCCATTCCGTGACTGTATACTGTGGTACTGATCCCATTAAAGAAATTGTTAACCCATGTGATAACTACAAAATGTTCATGTAGCTATTTAGAAAGATGCTTTATGCCAAGAAAACAAATCCATAGACTCTAAAGAGTCATGTAAATTTATCTTGCGTGCTTTAGTCATTATGTAATAATATTTTTTCTTTTCCTTTTTTAAATATTTTTTTTTTGTGCTTTTAAGGTGCAGGTGCACTGAATTCCAAAGTATATCAAAGAAACATTGCCAAAGATGATCACCTAATAGAGTTGGAGGTAGGTTCATCGAGTCTAATCTGTAGTTATATAAATGCAATTTCTGACAAACAGTTAATTTTTAGCTTTTGTTGTGCAAGCAAGTAAGTATTCAGCAAAATATACATTTTTTTTTCAAACATTACAGATAAGCAATCCTGAAGGCAGGGCCAGGGTTGTACGCAGCCCACGACAGAGACGAGAAACATCTGCAATACAACAACAGTATTTAGATGCACACAATAATGCAAGAGCTATTGTCGTACCCACAGCAACTAACATGTTGAAAATGGTAAGGCACATTCAATTTTGTACTTTAGTTGACTTAAGCAAAAAATTAATGCATGGCATTTGACTGATTGCTGATTTGCTGCAAGGTTGCTTCATTGTCCTCAAAGACTTGCCTGATAGACAACTAACTAATAGTTAGAGTGCCTATTATGTTGCAGAACACATTTCCAGGACACAAAAATGAGATAATCATATTGCTAATAGGTTAAAAGCAAATTTGTTCATGCTATATATACGGGCAGTAAAGCAGTATAGTGTCTAGTTTAACTACAGCTGTGTGGCCCTTGATATTTAAATGTTGTACCATGAATCTTTGCCTAATTAACTGTGGTCAAAAATCCTTTCTTTGGTTGTTTATATTTGAGGCAGTTTGAATGCATTAAGTGATTACTGTCTTTATTTTAGAAATGGAGCAGTGCCCTAGCAACAGTGGCAGAAAATTATGCAAAGAAGTGTATTTGGGCACACAATGGGGCAAGGACATCTGAGACACAAGCTCTAACATCAGATTTCAATTATGTTGGAGAAAATTTATATGTAACCTCACAAAGTGAGTACATTTCAAATTTGACAATCAATGTACAACAGTTATTCATTCAAATAGTCTTTATAATTCTCTTTCCAGGAATCTTAATAAAATGATAGTATGAATATAAAATTAAAATGTTTTAATACATGAAGTTTTATATTTGTGATGCTAGAAGTGGTTTTTTATATACATTTTTTGTTGATATTAGGTGCAGCTAATCCAGATGCTGTGGTTCAGAGTTGGGATAATGAGAAAAATGACTACACTTATAGTTCTAAAGCCTGCAGTGGTGTATGTGGACATTATACACAGGTATAACCTCATATATAATTTAAATTCTTTTTCTTTGTTTTGTAAATTCCTTTCATTCTAAATCAGAGTTTAAAAATAAATCATTTATACCAACCCTGTTATCAATTTTCAACAAAATAAAAAATCAATGTATTATTTTCCTATTTGAGTAAAAGGCTATTATATGAATTTTTTTTGAAGGTTGTATGGGCCAATTCGGAATATGTGGGCTGCGCATCCCACACATGTTCCACATTCACAGGCTTAAGCTCTGCCTTCAATGGTGGGACAATTGTTGTTTGTAACTATGGTCCAGGGTAAGCATTATACACTGTAAGATACTTAAATATTGTAACTGCTAATGTTAACTAGAAATAATATTACTGATAATATTTCACAAGAAATGATATTACTGATAATGTACTCTGGACATCTTTAGTTAATTTTATATTGCACCAAAGATTTTACCAAATTGAAAGATAGAAAGAGAAAAGCACAGGCAGAGAATTGATATTCTGTTTACTCCTCAAAGAATGTTTCTTTAAAATCACATTATTTAGCACTGTTAAAGCAATTAGAATTATTTTTAGGGGAAATGTTAACAACCTGCATCCGTACCTATCTGGTCCAGCCTGCTCAGATTGTCCAGCTGGGTATACATGTTCAAACAACCTATGTATGGACGGAGATGCTAGCGCTGGTAAGTACTGTTATCACCTGATTTCTGTGTCATTTACTACGTTCATTTATATGAACCAGAATATAATTTGTTGGTTTGAGACATACTATTGTAGATTGGACAAATTATAGCGAGACTATTTATAGTTTGTTCTGGAAGTTTAGGAAAGTTTTTTTTTTTTTTTTTTTTTTTGAAAATAAGTGTAGATGGTTCCTTATCTTTTAAGTAAGAAAAATAGTACAGTCAGAAATGTTTGACAAAAGACAAACATTATGAAGAATCACACCCAGACTTTATGGAATGTTATTTGTTAGATTCTATAAAATTCCAGAAACTACAAACAGGAGAAGGGACCAACAAATGTAATGGCCCCTCTCTCAACTTTAAAAACTTGCAAGACATTAATTTCACTTATACTTTCTAATTTGAATGTCAAATAAAAACTTCATGTTTGTTGAAGATCAAATTACTGTTGAGTGCCTACGGATATTTTATTTTGTATTCTGTTATGTCTTAGGGCCTGAGGTTTTCTCCATTGACCCTCACTTTGGGAGTGCTTGCGGGGAAACAAGAATTACAATCCTTGGTAAAAGTTTTTCTCAGAACAAGATGAACGAAGGTAATAAGGTGGAGCTCGTCTCGGCTACTACTTCATATGAATGTTTGGTCAACAAAGACGGAACCATGGAAGATTCCATCATGTGTTACACTGTGTAAGTTAATTCTGTTTCTAAGATAGTTTTAAAAAATATCTCGTAATATTCCATGCAAGGTTTATGTAATGGCTGAATTAAGCCCTTATTTGAAATAAAAATATAAACACAGTTAAAATTGTGATAGTTTGCAATTTGAACTTGAAATCATGTTTGTTTTATAACCAGATTTGATTTTGATTCAAAGCATACACAGAGGCCACAAGAAGGTGCTAAGATGGAACATTTTACCAAATTTTCCTCACTTTTGATGGAACTTCGTCAAATCTGAGATATTTTTTACCTCTGAAAACATAAAGCACGAGCTGCCTTTCTGAATTTTCATATAAAAAATGTATCTAATACTGATGCATGAAATATATAAATGTGGTAGATAGGCAAGCTTGTGCTCTTTGTTTTTCTGAAAAAAATGTGTTTTAAAATTGATGAAAATTTGATTAAAAATGAGAAAATTCAAAAATTGACCAATTTTGTGTCCTTCTTGTAATCTTTAAGTGTGCTTTCACTAAGAATCAATACTCATTTTGTTACAAGGATGACAGCAGCTTTTTTTTAAATAAAGTATTGCACCGTTCTAAGAGAAACCCCAAACCAGGGGCAAGAAAGGGGTCTTAGCCATCTTGTCCCATAATTTCATATTACAATGTAGGTTGAAAGTCAGAAATATAAGTTCTCTATTAAGACTATGAAACATATATTCATTGCTTGCTGATCTTTATGTTATACATGCATTAATTAGTCGCTATATTTGACTCATTTAATATATAAAAAGGATTTAAATTGAGGATCATTCCTATTCAGGCCTGATATGGTGGAAGGTGTTTATACTGTTAAAGTAACTGTGGACAATGTACCTGTGCCTGATGAAAAATTGTGTAAGACTGGAGGCTCAGTAGATAGTGACTGCCAGTTTGAGGTAAGCATCATTGTGTAAGACTGGAGGCTCAGTAGATAGTGACTGCCAGTTTGAGGTAAGCATCATTGTGTTAGACTGGAGGCTCAGTAGATAGTGACTGCCAGTTTGAGGTAAGCATCTTTGTGTGTTTGAGTACAGTCTCAGGGGATAGTGACTGCCAGTTTGAGGTAAGCATCTTTGTGTGTTTGAGTACAGTCTCAGGGGATAGTGACTGCCAGTTTGAGGTAAGCATCTTTGTGTGTTTGAGTACAGTCTCAGGGGATAGTGACCGCCAGTTTGAGGTAAGCATCTTTGTGTGTTTGAGTACAGTCTCAGGGGATAGTGACCACCAGTTTGAGGTAAGCATCTTTGTGTGTTTGAGTACAGTCTCAGGGGATAGTGACTGCCAGTTTGAGGTAAGCATCTTTGTGTGTTTGAGTACAGTCTCAGGGGATAGTGACCGCCAGTTTGAGGTAAGCATCTTTGTGTGTTTGAGTACAGTCTCAGGGGATAGTGACCACCAGTTTGAGGTAAGCATCTTTGTGTGTTTGAGTACAGTCTCAGGGGATAGTGACCACCAGTTTGAGGTAAGCATCATTGTGTGTTTGAGTACAGTCTCAGGGGATAGTGACCACCAGTTTGAGGTAAGCATCATTGTGTGTTTGAGTACAGTCTCAGGGGATAGTGACCACCAGTTTGAGGTAAGCATTATTGTGTTTGAGTACAGTCTCAGGGGATAGTGACCACCAGTTTGAGGTAAGCATCTTTGTGTGTTTGAGTACAGTCTCAGGGGATAGTGACTGCCAGTTTGAGGTAAGCATCTTTGTGTGTTTGAGTACAGTCTCAGGGGATAGTGACCACCAGTTTGAGGTAAGTATCTTTGAGTAAGACTGGATACTCAGGGAATAGTGACTGTCAGCTTGAAGTTAGCATCATTGTGTAGGACTGGATTTTTAGGGGATAGTGACTACCGGTTTGAGGTAAGCATCATTGTGTAAGGCTGGGTACTCGGTGAATATTGACTGGCAGTTTGGGGTAAGCATCATTGTGTTTGACTACAGTCTCAGGGGATAGTGACCACCAGTTTGAGGTAAGCATCTTTGAGTAAGACTGGATACTCAGATAATAGTGACTGACAGTTTGAGGTAAGCATCATTGTGTAAGACTGGATTCTCAGATAATAGTGACTGACAGTTTGAGGTAAGCATCATTGTGGAAGACTGGATACTCAGTGAATAGTGACTGGCAGTTTGAGGTGAGCATCTTTCAGTAAGACTGGATACTCAGGGAATAGTGACTGACAGTTTGAGGTAAGCATCATTGTGTAAGACTTGATACTCAGTGAATAGTGACTGACAGTTTGAGGTAAGCATCATTGTGTAAGACTGGATACTGAGAGAATAGTGACTGGCAGTTTGAGGTGAGCATCTTTGAGTAAGACTGGATACTCAGTGAATAGTGACTGACAGTTTGAGGTAAGCATCATTGTGTAAAGCTGGATACTCAGTGTATAGTGACTGCCAGAATTCAATTCAATTTCAGGTCAGAAAACAAAACACTCCTCTGATAAACAGTGTCAAACCTGTTGCTTTTCCCCCTGGACCAGAGTCCATATTGGAGATGAGGGCTTTGATGTTTACAGACAGATATACGACTAATGTGGCCACAAGTTCAAATGGCAGAGAAGAAACTCTCAACCGGGTTTATGCAGGGCCTCTTCCATGTGATTTGATAAAAACTGGTGAAACTGATGAATTGTGAGTATAAAATTCATTATTTCCTATGTACCTTGTAACAGGAGTTGATTGGTTAGCAAGCTGAGTGTAAATTTCCGTACTCCCAGCTTGAGCCATGGGTAAATAATGTGACGACACAATACATAGTTTCTTTATCACAATAAAAGCAAATATCATGATGTCATGATGCATTTTAGCACAAAGTATATCGATAGTTTGAAATTCCATTGATATGACTTGGGTTTACAAAGAATTCATTTGGTTACATAGGAAATAAATCCTTCAGCTTCAGGGTGTATGGAATAAAACCGGGTAAATCCCCGTATGCCCTTGATTGAACCTGGATAACTAATACATGTAATATACTTTACATACAAGACATTTATGCCCCACCATGAAGATGACTGGGGAATATAGTGTTTATGCCTATCTTCCATCCTTCTGTTCTTCATCTGTCTGTCTGTGTTTAGCTCAGTTTCAAAGAAATTATTCAAGACATTTTTTATCAAACTTTATATGCTGATACATATTATTGATTTGCAAATGTTCCCATATCGTCTGGATTCAAATTAATTCAAACAAATGAACACTAGGGTTAGTATGAGGCTTTAATGGGGGATTAAATTTTACATAATACTTGGAAAATTAAAAAAAAATATCTCATGAACAGAAGACGTACCACATAGTCATATTGAAGTGCCCCATGTAGTGTGGATTCAAGTGTGGTAAAGTCATGACACAGTTGACCTAGTGTGAGGCCACAATATGGGGTCAAAATTTTTCATAGGAATTTGAAGGGAAGAAATCTTTTAAAAACAAGCTTTTGAAAAACAGCAGGGCAAGGTGACTCAGATGAGTGTGGTTACTCATGGGTCTCATGTGTTAGGTATTAGTTTCAGCTTTATTCAAATTCTTGTTTGTTTTTTAGGTATGGGCTTCAGCTATATTCAAATTCTTGTTTGCTTTTTAGGTATGGGCTTCAGCTAGATTCTGCTGTATCTGATTTTGGAACCATGAAGTGTAGGTACCAGGGAAATTTTATTGGTAAGTTATTAAAACATGTTTGGTCAGTTATGTTATCAAAAAGAGAGATCCAATGACATTACAGTAATTAATTGAATTAAGGTAAAGATAAGTATGGAGTAATGTCAAAATCATGGTTTCTGTGGAAAGCCAATGGGTTCAAAATTCCAACTCTGTAGTTAACTTGCCACTGTTATAGTACCCTCTTTTGTCTTAATAGGTGTAAGCATAAAGCAACTTTGCTTAATTTACAAGTCACGAAAGTACAATTTACATTTCACAAGTTGACAAATTGCAAGTCTACAAATTATACATGAGCATTGGCGAAACTTGCATTACATTTTACACTTGTCAAGTTATGTTGGATAGTTACAATTAACAAACTGGGATAGAACAATCGGCAAATTGTGAAATTATGATTTACAATTTATGAATTAAGGTTTGCATTTGTACATTTTAAGAATTACAGAGTTGGAATTTTGAACCTATTGGCATTCCATAGGTTACAAACTGGCAAACCTTTTTTTCAGTTATTCAAATGTGATTCTTAAAGTCAGTAAATAAGGAAGATAAAGTATGGGTATATTCAGTAATAAGGTACTCATATACCTGTTAATTATAAGTTGTATTTTTAAGTAGACACTTGATCAGTTGGGATTGATATATGGATGTATTATATTTATCTTTTTTTTTTTAAAGGTAATTCCAATGCAAGTTTTATAGTTGGTGGTGGACCATTTGGGAGGTATGAAGTTCATAAAACACCAGGGATTACAGAAAAAGGATCCAATTTTTGTTAATTAGATACCATAGGCATAGATGCATCTTCAAATTATTAAAAAGTAGAACTACTGTAAATGTTGAAATTTTGACAATATGAGAAGAAATTTTCAACTTGTCAACTTTCACACCCTTGTTAAAAAAGCTGTATTCTAGCAGATCATCAAAGTTTCCGCTCGCCTTATTTGTGAAATATCAAAAATGTCAAACTTTCAACCCCTCAATATAACACCTTTTACAGTAAGTTGATTCTACAGTTTTGTGTTTTTTTTATACCAACAATGAAGATATATTTATATTACAATGTAACACTGCAATAAAACACATGTAAGACTGCTTTAATGTCATATTTGTGTTTTGCAGAATCATGTTAAAATTGCAACAATAAGTTATCCACAAAATAACTGCTTAATGAGTATATTTATGGTACATCACTACTGCAAAAAATGTTCTTGATTAAAGATATTTTGATTTTTAGCTCACCTTGACGAAGTCGAGATGAGCTTATGCTATACCCCCGGCATCGTTGTCGGTGTTGGCGTCCCTGTTAAAGTTTTAGGAGCAAGTCCATTCCCAAGTAACTATAAACCCTACCTCTGGACCAAACTTTCATGGATGATGCATCTAAGGATGGACACTACCACACTTGCTTATGATGCTGGATCTGACCTAGATTTTCCACATGAGTGACCTGGTTAAAGTTTTGAGCAGATCCATTCCCAAGTAACTATAAGCCCTACCTAGATTAAACTTGCATGAATGATGCATGTAGGGATGGACTTTTTCACACTTGATTCGGATGCTGGATCTGACCTAGATTTTCCACATGAGTGACCAGGTTAAAGTTTTTGGAGCAGGTCTGTTCCCAAGTAACTATAAGCCCTACCTCGACCAAACTTGTATGGATGATGCATCTAGGGATGGACACTACCACACTTGCTTGGGATTCTGGATCTGACCTAGATTTTCCAGATGAGTGAGCACGTTAAAGGTTTTTGAGCAGGTCCATTCCCAAGTAACTATAAGCCCTACCTGGACCAAATTTCAAGTATGATGCATTTAGGGATGGACACTACCACACTTGCTTCAGATTCTGGATCTGACCTAGATTTTTCCACGAGTGACAAGGTTAAAGTTTTCGGAGCAGATCCATTCCCAAGTAACTATAAGCCCTACCTGGACCAAACTTGCATGGATGATGCATCTAGGGATGGACACTACCACACTTGATTGGGATGCTGGATCTGACCTAGATTTACCACATGAGTGACCATGTTAAAGATTTTGGAGTAGGTCCATTCCCAAGTAACTATAAGCCCTACCTGGACCAAATTTCAAGTATGATGCATCTAGGGATGTACAGTAACTCACCTGCTTCAGATGCTGGATCCAACCTAGATTTTCCACATGAGTGAATTTTAGCCATATTTTAACCAAATTAGCATGGATGATGTATTGAGGGATGGATATTTCCAGACTTGCTTTGGATTCTGAATCTGACCTACATTTTCCAGATGAGTGACCAAGATAATTTTTTGGAGTAGCTATATAATATTATGGCCTGTTATGATAAACTTTGTATAGATGATGCAACTAAGGATGAAAACTTCCAGACTTGCTTTGGATTTTGGAACTGACCAAAATTTTCTTGATTAGTAAACAGGTTAAAAGTTTTTGAGCAGGTCTATTTCCAAGTAACTATATGTCCTACTTAAATCAAGCTTGCATGGATATTGATCTTTGGATGTACACTAACTGGAAAAAAAATATGATGTAAAATTTGCATTACTTATAGATAACATTCGTCGAGGTGAGCTTCGTAATCTTTGATTACCTATGTTTAGATCTTGTCGTAATTTGGAGACACTGCTGGTAAGTGTAAACAAACAGATTTACCAGTTCCAGACCTATGCTGAAATCACAGGGGTGTCCCCGGCCACTGGGAGCACTTCAGGGGGAACAACTCTCAAAATCATGGGGAATTATTTCACAGGAAACAAAGAAGACACAGAGGTCTATGTTGGAGGTGAGCCATGGCCCAAATTGTCCAAAATCTTCCATTTTTCAACAAATGATGTAGTCTCCATGAACAACCTAAGAAGGAAAAGCATCCCATTTATGTGTTAATCACTCAGTTCATATAGAGTAGAAATCTGATAACCACTAAATGTTTAAGATATAATTAATATGTTTTAGGTGTTTCGTGTAAGGTCACATCAGTCAGTGATGCAGAGATACAATGTGTTACCCCTCCTAAACCTGCCACTTTACCCACATATTTCTGCGGTAAGTTTTGGAGAAGAAAAATCTCTGTTTGTTCAGCTGTTTTTATCCAAAATTTATTTAAGTACTTCCATTAACAAATGTGCAACCTACTGTAAATAGCTCACTGTTGATGTATTTCAGTAAGTTGATTAGTAGCTGAAACTTGAAAAGGAATTAGTTAATTTTTAATCATTTGACAAACAATGGTTTTACATGTGTAAAAGAAATTGAAATGGGAAGTTACATCACTGTTATTTATAACACAGGTAATCGTGGATTGACATTAGAGGTTTGGACTGGTCAGACTAAGGCCTACGCTGACCTAGGAGACATTGAAGCCTTGACCAGCTCTGATACTGGCTACAGTCTTCTCCAGACAGGACAGTCTTACTTTAGTCATTCAACCAGTAATTATGTATCTCGAGCACGAGGTTTCTTCACAGCCCCTTACTCTGGAGAGTATTCGTTCACGATTAAATCAGCAGATGTATCAAGTCTCCGACTCAGCACAGACATGGATCCAGCTAACAAGGTACACATTTATAATCTTGTTTTCCTAAACTCCAGTTCTATTTTTGCGATTAACACCTGTAACAACCAATAATACTGGTTATTCAGTTTATCTTTAGAAGCCAGTGACCTGATTAAGGTTCTCCATGCTAGGTTTTTTGTTTTTGTTTTCTAGGTGTAGATCAAATTCAATGTAGTTTTATTCTTAAGCTAACAAACAAAAATGTTCAGATAAAAATTATTTAAATAAAGGCCCTCTTGCTTATCATATGTAGGATGTATCTTCTTTTGAACACTCTATTGTTTGATGGATCACTACCAGAAATTAAATGGATTAAAAGTATATTGAAACTGTACATAGCTAGTGTAGAACAGACTGTTCTCGCATAATCACCAGTGTAAGATTGACTTGTCCGGTGTGAGACAGCAGTGTGAGATTTTTCTGTCTTACACTGTGTATTACTACGCCGCGAACGATAACGTAAACATTCCGTCTTTATATAAAGAAATTGTAACAATGTTAAAAAATATTACATATACTTAAAATGTTGTCATTTAACTTATTAAGATAAATTTATTTTCATTCAAAATATTGTCGTATTTTCACTTTTTAAATGGCACTACTTTTAGATCGCGGAAGGATTCTTCTTGAATGAATGTGTACGCTATCGAATAGATAAGTTTTTTTATTCCCAGTTTTTATCTATCTAATTAATTTACATGGACTGAAGTACATTTTATCAGTTTACACAGTGTGTAAACCATTTTCAGGTATGCTCTCTCGGATGGTGTATTTAGATTTTTAATTAAATGGAAAATTAAAAGAATGTATTTTTAGCCCTATCATGGCAACGTCATTGACAGGCCGTTATTTTGGATAAAATAATGCGAGAAAAATAATCATTCATTACATACTCGTGTGGGAATAGTGAAATTCCACCTCGGGGCCAAGATTCACGGTCTAGGACTCGGCAAAGCCTCGTCCTAGACCGTGAATCTTGTCCCCTTGGTGGAATTTCACTATCCCACACTCGTAGTAATGAATGATTCTATTATTCTTTATACATGCATAGCATACAGTTTAGACTTAAAAAAGAACAGGTAAACCATTAACAAAAGTGAACTGAAAAATTAAAAACATGTAGGAATATTTACTAACCACTTATAGATGGTTTACAAATGTTTCTGGATTTTCAGGTAGAAGTTGCTAAGTGTGAGGGCACCTGTCCTGAGTATTCATCAACACAAAGTCAGACCTCAAATAGAGTGATGCTAACTGAACAGCAAAAGTGAGTTATTATACTCCCTGCTTGAAAAGCTGGAGGTATATAGAGATGGGGGTGTCCATCCTTCTGTGCGTCCTTCTGTAGGTCCCTAACACTTGGGGGTACCCATCTCTTATGCGCAACCATAATATGGGGGGGGGGGGAGAGGGTTTACCCATCTCTTATCCACAACTCCTCCTCCTATACTGCTGATTCAAATTTTAGACTTTCACAGAATCTTCCTCACATAATGCAATTGTACTCCTCCTATTTTATGTTCTGATTGGACAGATATTTGAGGTTTCCCATAGCAAATATGGACTTTGCCATTATACACATATGGGAGCGGGGGTATCATTTTGTGAGCTCAGTGCTCACAATACCTTTAGTTTTATAATTGAAACAGAAGTCTACAAAGTTTGTTTGTGAATTCTTTAATATTTACATTTCCATCTGTTTTCTTTGAGATAACTTTAGTTATAAAACATAATTCTTTAGTTATTTAGATGTAGTCTCATAATTGCAACAGTGTGTGCAAACAAATTGAGTAACACTTGTTAGCTCGTTATGAAAATTCATTTACACACATCGTTGCAGTTATGAGACTGTTCAATGTGAGCATGAATTTTGATTTTCTCTTAAGACGTTGCACTTGCTTGGCGTTCAATGTCTGTAATGTCAAAATAAAAATCAAACTAAGCTCTTGACCTCCCTATCCATGTTATGGTGTTTGGAATGCCATAGCTTTCTACACACTTTATAAGCAAAATACATGTGGAGTGTAAATATTTATCTTTTCATTTTTATATCGCAAAGAAATGTAAATATAAGGAATCACTGTCTAGTTGTTGGGTATGCCAGGGACATTAGAAGTTGGAAACAGGCTTTGCGTCAGTTATGCAAATCATCCCTCCTTTCCAACTGTTGTGAATGCCCTGGCATGCCCAACTAACTAGATAGTAATTCCTTAAATAATGAAACAGCAATGCACTAGGTAATGTTTATCATTGCTGTTTCATTATTTAAGGAATTACGGGGCCTGGAGAGATATGAGTGAAATTTTCCTCAACTGCATGTGGACAAACAAACTTTGTCCACTCTTTAGAGGAATGAATATTTTAAAAGAAGACTTTTGTGATGAGAATTAATATTCAGAGTTTACTTGTTGATTTTTTTTTAGATATTACATGGAGATTTTACATTCACATGGATCTAGTGGGGATCCCTCTGTTCAGGTAGCAGCTCAATTCTATAACACAAAGTTGACCAACCAGAGCACAGGAATAGCTGATGTGGAACATCAGTTAGTGAAGGTCTGGTATTTCTTAGTTAATGCTTCATTGTCACTAAAAACAGTAGGTAAACATTTGTTAGATGAAGACATCTATAAATTTCATGTTCAAATCAAATGTTCAAATTACATTCAAATTTATTTCAAATAGTCTTCAAAGAAAAAATATATTCTGAATATAGCAAGCAGGTTCAGAATTGTAAAAGTGGTTGATTTTCTAATTCATTTTACCAGTTCTACAGTACAGTAAATCTCAGTGTTTTCCTTTTTAATAAGGTGACATCTACAGTTGTTCGAGAGGTGCAGAAAATATCGTTGGAGGTGGCTCCTGCTGTTGGTGCTATAACAAATGAAATACAAGTAGTGGAAGTCAAGGAACTAAGTGGCCAGTATTCAGATGCCACCTTCAGACTGGGACAGTATGGGGTTTACACAGGTATACTAAAGCTTTGTTAAATCCAATTTTTTAAGGCAAACTCAGATATTTACCTGGTTGTTCCTAGTGGCAGTTTGTAAATGAGTAGAAAGTGAATGGATATTGGGAGAGATCTTATTCAGTTATATCGAAAGTTTTGTCCTCTAAATAATAAACAGACATGATTTATCTCCTCCTCATACAGTGATATCACAAGTCAGACACAGGATTTATTTCCTCCTAATATATTGATATCACAAGTCATCTCCCCAGAATATATAGACATGAGTCATATCATCCTCATACAGTAATATCACAAGTCTTCTCCCCAGAATAGACAGACATGAGTTATCTCCTCCTCATACAGTGATATCAGAAGTCAGATAGACATGAGTTATCTCCTCCTAATACATTAAGATCAAAAGTCATCTCCCCAGAATAGACAGACATGATTTATCTCTTCCTAATACATTGAGATCACAAGTCATCTCCCCAGAATAGACAGACATGAGTTATCTCCTCCTCATACAGTGATATCACTTCTTCTACCTAGAATAGACAGACATGAGTTATCTCCTCCTTAAACAGTGATATCACAAGTCATCTCCCCAGAATAGACAGACATGAGTTTTCTCCTCCTCATACAGTGATATCAAATTGCCTCATACTAATAGTTTTGTAGACACTTAGAGGGGTAATAATAATAGTTATGTAGACACTTAGAGGGGTAATACAGAAATAGATGGGTTCCTTGTAAAAAAAATTTCAAGGCCCCTGTATATTTCCATATTACCCCTCATAATGTCTACATAACAAATTTATCCTCTCGAAGATTTTTTAATATCAGTACTTAAAGGTCATTTTCTCTGAGTTAAGCAAACCATTCCATAACTGTGACGTCGTTTGACATCAGTTATTAGGCTCCTTGCATGTTCAAATGAAAACAATATATTTAATATGATCTGGACAGTATAGCACATGGAGAGGGCACATTGATTTGATATGTGGTGGGTAGGTAGTGGAGGAGGCACATTAAAAGTGTAATGTCGGGAGGCAGTATAAGATGGTTTAATACAGTATTCTTCTCGACCAATGAAATTTCAAGATTTTTATCAGAGTCAGGATAAGAATTTGATATCTGGTCAGTAGGTATACATAATCAGTATCTTGTTGATAGGCAGCATAATATGGACTTTTACAATATTCTTCTCGATCAGTGAAATTTCAAGATTTTTATCAGAGACAGGATAAAGTGATATCAAAAGTCACCTCCCCAGAATAGACTGGCATGATCTATTCCTCATTAAATGGCGACATAATGATTTTCTTTCTTAAAACAGACTGACATTGTTGCTAAGCAGAATACCGTACACCCTTAAGTATGTCTAATTTATGCTCATTATGGACATTTAACATGATAAGTGTCTCATCAAGGAATCTTTTAATTGTATTATTAAAATTATGAAACATGGAAGTGTAATTTATTTAAAACTTAAGTTAAATAATTTTTAAAAATGCATATCTGATTATCGAAAAAAACAAAAAATGTCGTTAATGGCAGATTTTCATCCTGATTTTGTTTTTCAGAGGCTCTAAACACCAATATGGATGGCCAAAAAATAGCTGTGGCTGTACAGAGCCTTCCCTGGTATGGGAATGGTGATGACTTAGTAGGCGTTACAAAAACAGTCACAACATCTCCTGAATTCAAGGTTACACTAAGGATCCAGTTTTTCACCAGGAGAGGTAATGAATATTTAATAATCACTTGTCTCTTGATGGATTTTAGTACAATAGAAATTGAATTCTCTCTGGATGGGCTAAAACAGTAACTCAGAAAAATCAGAAACTTAACCAAAAAAATTACATTTCTTATGAACATGGTTCAAAATCATTTGGAACCAGTGTTTGCAGCTTAGCATTTTAACTCACTGATCCTCAGGACTGGTAACCATGTAAAGTTACTATTTATACTAAGATACATATTGGTGATTGTAATCAATAATAAAATGGAAAAGTCCAGTGGGGTGATCTTTTAAGATTTATTGTAAAGCTCTTGTTGGTTTATATACTTAAGTTGGCTGTATATTCCATGAAGACTCTGAAATTTCAACATAGTTAAAAGATTTGCCAAATGGAAGTTATAAAATTCTATTGGTTGTTCACAGGAGATATTCCGTCACTTCAGTATCTGGTGTCAGATGGCTCTCAGGGAGAAAAACTAGAAATCCAAGTAACAGAAGAAACAAAAGGGGGTCCAGAACCTTACACTGTGGCCCTCCAAATGGAAGGAATAATCTCACCTGTGGTTCCTGCGGGTAGTACTGTAAATGATGTACGTGTTACATTTTAGCTATTATTTCAAATGAACAGATTTGAGATTTTCCTGCATCCATCAGTAGGGGGATTGGGAATTTGAGGAGACTTTCATTTTCTAGCTAACAAACATTGCCTGTTCTAAATAAAAAAAAAGTGATGTTCATGTGAAGACATATGAATTCTTCAATAACAAGAAAAAACAAGATGTGTTTGTGAAACACTGATGCCCCTGTATGGCAACTTATAGTAAAGGTTAAACTTTCTCAGATGCAAATCAAATATGTTGGTACCCGAAGTAAGGTCTTGTCTCGAGGAATATACCTGTGAAATATGAAAGCCTTAGCAGCAACCATTGAATAGATATGAAAAAGGTTAAAGTTTTTCAAAAGTAAGTCAAACAGCAAGGTCAAGGTCAAATGGTCAAAATTAATGATGCCTAAGGAAAGGCCTTCTCGCAAGAAATATACAGGTGAAATATGAAAGCTGAAGCACCAATCATTCAAAAGTTATGACCAAGGTTAAAGTTTTTCAAAAGTAGGTCAAACTCCAAGGTGAAGGTCAATGGATTACAATTGAAGGTATCCAAAGGAAGGTCTTGTCACAAGGAAAAAAACATGTTAAATATGAAAGCCCTAGCAACAACTTTTCAAAAGTTGTGTCCAAGGTTAAAGTTTTTTCAAAAGTAGGTCAAAGTCCAAGGTCAAGGTCAAAAGGCCAAAGTTGTTGATATCCAAAGGAAGGTCTTGTCACAAGGATTATATATGTGAAGTATGAAAGCCCTAGCACCAACGGTTCAAAAGTTATGGCCAAGGTTAAGGTCTTCCATAAGTAGGTCAAACTCCAAGGTCAAGGTCAAAGGGTCAAAGTTGTTGATATCCAAAGAAAGGTCTTGTCACAAGGATTACATTTGTGAAGTATGAAAGCACTAGCATCAGCAATTCAAATGTTATGGCCAAGGATAAAGTTTTTCAAAAGTAGGTCAAACTCCAAGGTCAAGGTCAAAAGGTCAAATTTGTTGGTATCCAAAGAAAGGTCTTGTCACAAGGATTATACATGTGAAGTATGAAAGCCCTAGCACCAATTGTTCAAAAGTTATGGCCAAGGTTAAAGTTGGGAAAAATTTTGCAAAACTGGGTCAAACTCCAAGGTCAAGGTCAAAAGGTCAAATATGGTGAAACCCAAAGAAAGGTCACAAAGAATACACATGTGAAATATGAAAGCCATAGCTCTAACCAATCAAAAGTTATGGGCGATGTTTGCGGACAAACAGACAGACAGCTAGACAGACGGACGGACAGGGCAAAAACTATATACCCCCGAATCTTCGATACAGGGTCATAAAAATTCAGGCCATATGCTTGTCTTCTTTAAGAAGCTAGAATCTGTTGAATTTTGGCATATTGTTATAAACAATTATGTATTAGTTTTCTCTTTTACATATATCTGTATTAAGTAGAAATGGTTATACTATGTTAAAATCCTGAGTGGGTACTCGGTAAGAACTTATTTTGATATTTTTTCTTGATATGCACATGTTTTAAAGTTTAGTTATTTTATGTACCAAGCAATAGCTTTATGAAAGTGTTTTGTTTCCTAGGGTTGATTAATTTTGTTGAATCTTTAGACCTCTTACTTAATTTTAATCATTTCCCTGAATCTTGTCAGAACAACACCCATTGCATAAAGAAAACTGTTAATGTCCTACCCATTGACTGAGTTTATCCACAAGAAATAATTAATTTCAGAAAACATTTTATTTGACAGTTAATAAGGGAAATAGATCAGATGTTCACCACCCGGTGTCCTAAATATCTAGGAGAGACGGGTACAGTACATATCAGCTTTGAGACTAACACACCACAGGGCGGTCAGATAATAGATGATAAGGAGGCTTTTTGTGGGAGAAGATCTGTAAAGAACCCCTCCTATCTGTACTTAAACAATGACGGATTGTTACTGGGCTCAGCTGTTAATACAGTAAGTTTTTTATTAGCTCACCTGAGCCAAAGGCTCAGAAAGTGAGCTTTTCTAATCAAAAATTGTTCATTGGTTGAGCAGTCTATCTAACTATAATGTATCTTCTGTTATGAGTAAACTTTTCTCATTTTCAACTCTTTTCTTTTGCTACAGACTGTTCACGGTAGCTCAGTCGGTAGAGCGCTCGCTCCGTGATCGGGAGGTCGTGAGTTCGAATCTCGGCCGCGACTGACCTAAGTCGATAAAAAATGGGTAGCAACTGTTCCTTCGCCATGCGCTCGGCACTTTGAAGTGAAAGTTGCGGGTCTTTCGGATGAGACCTTAAAAACCGAGGCCCCGTGTCACGGCAGGCGTTGGCACGATAAAGATCCCTCACTGCTCAATGGCCCTGAGTGCCGAGTAAAGGTCAAAATTTGAAGCCCTTCACCGGTATATGATGACGTCTCTATATGAGTGAAAAATTCTCGAATGGGACGTTAAACAACATACAATCAATCAATCTTTTGCTACAGTGCCAGTTTCATCCAAATTTGGCACAAGGTATCATTGAAATTTGTTCATATGAAAAGCCATGCTCTTTTCAAGGACGCATAATGAAAAAGAAACCCAAAAGGGTGTGGTTGTTTAAAAGTCTTCTTCACAAAAACCACTGGGCCAGAAAAAGGCAAAACATATGAAAATTTACTTACTGAAGGTGGATTCAATTTTGGTGAAATTGAGGCCCTGGGAGTATGACTGGGCTGGGTGCCTGGGTTAACATTGGGTTTTATAGAAAATAATCTCAAAAATTCTCTGTCCTGCAAATAGGAGGACCAGAATTACACATAATTATGCTAAGATCCACTGGTTTTGTACATTCATTTGTTGAAATCATAGTCCCTGAAATTAGGGTAGGGCTATGATAGATGGTCAAAGTTTTAGTTGGTTAACGAAAAGAGTATAAAAATAATTGTGTCAAAAATACCTAGGCTATAGTTAGTTGTATTAATATATGAGCATATTCATGCAGTGTAGAATCAGTTTAGCTCAAATTCTTCTAGGGCTAGGGTAGGGCATAAAATAAATGAAGATTTTTTTTCTGAATTGCATATGAAAAAATAATCATTTATATGCTAAGTTATTAAAGCTAACATGATTGGACCTGGAATATTTTAACTTCAACTACTGTATACAGGGATATTTGGTCCCTATTTTTCACCTCTTCTGCCCTTATCACAAAAGTTAAATTAAAATGGGGTCCATTAAAGAAAACAGCAATAAATTTTTTAAACAACTGTTTCTGGGGGAATTCAATATTTTTTGCAAGTGTAAAGGAGCAAAAATAACTTATAACTCTGTATATGTATCCCAAAAGAAAAAGGATTGGACAGTAGGCATGAGTACTTACGCAAGTTCTCTCACTAAACTGCATAGAACACACGAGTGTGAAGTCAATGGATGGGGTATGATAGTTCACTATAGATGAAAAGAATTATGGTACTATGATTTTATGAATTTATTTACTAATATTAGAATGTTCACGAGCTTGGTAAATGCAACTTAATAGCATGTTTTAAATGCACAGTGAAGTGGATGGATTTTTTTTATCAAGTTGCACATGATAAAAATGGAAAAATAGAGCATTGTGCTTACTCCTGCATGTTTAACTTATTTCCAGGGGAAATCATGCTTAGATTTTAATACTTGAAATAAAGATACAGAAAAATTGACCTTTTGTAGATATGTTTTGCATACCATGGAGCCATTGCAGGTGCTTTAATTGTTAAGTATTCCTACAAGGCTGGGGAAGATATGACTAGCGTAGATAACCAGTACAAGACATTCTCTATCAACATTGCAGAGGAATCCGAAGAGTAAGTGTAGATAATCAATACAAGACATTCTCTATCAGTAACACAGAGGTATCAGAAGAGTAAGTGTAGATAACGAGTACAAGACATTCTCTATCAGTAACACAGAGGTATCAGAAGAGTTAGTGTAGATAATGAGTACAAGACATTCTCTATCAGTAACACAGAGGTATCAGAAGAGTAATTGTAGATAATGAGTACAAGACATTCTCTATCAGTAATACAGGGGAATCAGAAGAGTTAGTGTAGATAATGAGTACAAGACATTCTCTATCAGTAACACAGAGATATCCGAAGAGTAAGTGTAGATAATGAGTACAAGACATTCTCTATCAGTAACACAGAGGTATCAGAAGAGTAATTGTAGATAATGAGTACAAGACATTCTCTATCAGTAATACAGGGGAATCAGAAGAGTTAGTGTAGATAATAAGTACAAGATGTTCTCTATCAGTAACACAGAGGTATCAGAAGGGTAATTGTAGATAATGAGTACAAGACATTCTCTATCAGTAACACAGAGGTATCAGAAGAGTAAGTGTAGATAATGAGTACAAGACATTCTCTATCAGTAACACAGAGGAATCCGAAGAGTAAGTGTAGATAATGAGTACAAGACGTTCTCTATCAGTAACACAGAGGAATCAATAGAGTAAGTGTAGATAACGAGTACAAGACATTCTCTATCAGTAACACAGAGGAATCCGAAGAGTAAGTGTAGATAACGAGTACAAGACGTTCTCTATCAGTAACACAGAGGAATCAATAGAGTAAGTGTAGATAACGAGTACAAGACATTCTCTATCAGTAACAAAGAGGTGTCAGAAGAGTAAGTGTAGATAATGAGTACAAGACATTCTCTATCAGTAACACAGAGGTATCAGAAGAGTAAGTGTAGATAACGAGTACAAGACATTCTCTATCAGTAACACAGAGATATCCGAAGAGTAAGTGTAGATAATGAGTACAAGACATTCTCTATCAGTAACACAGAGGTGTCAGAAGAGTAAGTGTAGATAATGAGTACAAGACATTCTCTATCAGTAACACAGAGGAATCAGAAGAGTAGGTGTAGATAATGAGTACAAGATGTTCTCTATCAGTAACACAGTGGAATCAGAAGAGTAAGTGTAGATAATGAGTAAAAGATGTTCTCTATCAGTAACACAGAGATATCTGAATAGTAAGTGTAGATAATCAGTACAAGACATTCTCTATCAGTAACACAGAGGAATCCGAAGAGTAAGTGTAGATAATGAGTACAAGACGTTCTCTATCAGTAACACAGAGGAATCAATAGAGTAAGTGTAGATAACGAGTACAAGACATTCTCTATCAGTAACACAGAGGAATCCGAAGAGTAAGTGTAGATAACGAGTACAAGACGTTCTCTATCAGTAACACAGAGGAATCAATAGAGTAAGTGTAGATAACGAGTACAAGACATTTTCTATCAGTAACAAAGAGGTGTCAGAAGAGTAAGTGTAGATAATGAGTACAAGACATTCTCTATCAGTAACACAGAGGTATCAGAAGAGTAAGTGTAGATAACGAGTACAAGACATTCTCTATCAGTAACACAGAGATATCCGAAGAGTAAGTGTAGATAATGAGTACAAGACATTCTCTATCAGTAACACAGAGGTGTCAGAAGAGTAAGTGTAGATAATGAGTACAAGACATTCTCTATCAGTAACACAGAGGAATCAGAAGAGTAGGTGTAGATAATGAGTACAAGATGTTCTCTATCAGTAACACAGTGGAATCAGAAGAGTAAGTGTAGATAATGAGTAAAAGATGTTCTCTATCAGTAACACAGAGATATCTGAATAGTAAGTGTAGATAATGAGTACAAGACATTCTCTATCAGTAACACAGAGGAATCTGAAGAGTAAGTGTAGATAATGAGTACAAGACATTCTCTATCAGTAACACAGAGGAATCCGAAGAGTAAGTGTAGATAATGAGTACAAGACATTCTCTATCAGTAACACAGAGGAATCAGAAGAGTAGGTGTTGATAATCAGTACAAGACGTTCTCTATCAGTAACACAGGGGAATCAGAAGAGTAAGTGTAGATAATAAGTACAAGATGTTCTCTATCAGTAATACAGGGGAATCAGAAGAGTAAGTGTAGATAATGAGTACAAGACATTCTCTATCAGTAACACAGAGGAATCAGAAGAGTAGGTGTAGATAATCAGTACAAGACGTTCTCTATCAGTAACACAGGGGAATCAGAAGAGTAAGTGTAGATAATAAGTACAAGATGTTCTCTATCAGTAATACAGGGGAATCAGAAGAGTAAGTGTAGATAATGAGTACAAGACATTCTCTATCAGTAACACAGAGGTATCAGAAGAGTAAGTGTAGATAATGAGTACAAGATGTTCTCTATCAGTAACACAGGTTTATCCGAAGAGTAAGTGTAGATAATGAGTACAAGACATTCTCTATCAGTAACACAGAGGTATCAGAAGAGTAAGTGTAGATAATGAGTACAAGATGTTCTCTATCAGTAACACAGAGGTATCAGAAGGGTAATTGTAGATAATGAGTACAAGACATTCTCTATCAGTAACACAGAGGAATCAGAAGAGTAAGTGTAGATAATGAGTACAAGACATTCTCTATCAGTAACACAGAGGAATCCGAAGAGTAAGTGTAGATAATGAGTACAATATGTTCTCTATCAGTAACACAGAGGAATCCGAAGAGTTAGTGTAGATAATGAGTACAATATGTTCTCTATCAGTAACACAGAGGAATCCGAAGAGTTAGTGTAGATAATGAGTAAAAGATGTTCTCTATCAGTAACACAGAGGTATCAGAAGAGTAAGTGTAGATAATGAGTACAAGACATTCTCTATCAGTAACACAGAGGTATCAGAAGAGTAAGTGTAGATAATGAGTACAAGACGTTCTCTTTCAGTAACACAGAGGTGTCAGAAGAGTAAGTGTAGATAAAGAGTACAAGACATTCTCTATCAGTAACACAGAGGTATCAGAAGAGTAAGTGTAGATAATGAGTACAAGATGTTCTCTATCAGTAACACATAGGAATCAGAAGAGTAAGTGTAGATAATGAGTACAAGACATTCTCTATCAGTAACACAGAGATATCCGAAGAGTAAGTTTAGATAATGAGTGCAAGATGTTCTCTATCAGTAACACAGAGGAATCAAAGTAGAACAGTGAATTGAACACACAATGTAAAGTACCATTTGACCTTTCAAAGTTACCATAGAGATAGTAAATGACCAGACATATATTACACCTTTTCATTCCATGTCAAAGGTGAAGTTACCATGAATACCAGGTGGACATGGTTGTGTAGATTCATACAGTCTCAAACTTACTTGATAGATGACCAGAGAAGCATACCATTTTCATTTGTATGTCAAAAGGTCTAAGGTCAAAGATAATGATTCATTATGTTGTGAACACAATGAGAAAATTAAACTGTCCTCTGTTATTCTAAAAATGAAAGTATGAGGGCTGCTTTACTTGTACCCTTATTACCTAAGTATTAGCTTTGACATTTTGTACATTATTTTACTAGCAATATTTTTTTTTTTCATTCTGATAGGTGGAAATACACATGTTTTGACATGCTGACAGCACTCACTAACCTTGTTACTGATGGACAACTATTCAAAGTACATTATATCAGGGCTTCAAGAGCGGGAGATGTATACATAGATGAAGTATATATTGGTAATGGACCAAGTACAAACGATCCAGGTATTTAGCCAAAAAATTTCATTTATCAGGATATTTAGACAATTTACATTTTATTTCACTCCTTAAAGTTGTTCCTCGATTCTTTTCACAAAATTCATTTTTACTTGAAGAGAATGTCAGCTTACTGCGACTTAAACCAGTGAAACCTAACGGCCATGTGATACACCACACTGAGGGAGTGGTAACTTCTAATGGACCGACAGTGTTCACTGTAGAAATCACATTTATTCCTCAGGAATGTGGATATGACTTCCCCCTGTTTAGTATTGTCTCAGGACAGGTTTGAATGAACTTTCTTCACTTTAACTTAATTCAACTGAAATCAAATGAATCACTCTGATTTGTTTAATATCAGAAATGAGACTTAAAAAAAAATTATTTCTATGTAGCTGAATATGGGTAGGACACAGAGTTTTTGTCATTATTTGTTTTCTGTGTCATTTTGCATTTAAATATGATTAAATATAAGATGAATTCTATACACAGACAAGTCTTGTTGAGAGCAGTGCAGCTGAGTCCATTTTTTATTTACCTTTTACCATCCTAATTACCTTGATCTCACTCTTCCTTATGTTGTATTTAGAAATTAAGAACAACTAAATTTTACAAACATTTTGTGACTTTGACTCTTCCTATATAACTCATTTTCTTGAAATTGTTTGGATTGAATTCTCTTAATGTATACAGGCCTAGCAAAGAGAATGCAGAATAATGTCAATGAGTGTAGGAATTGATAAGCTTAGCATGGTAAAGAACTTGAAAAGTCAATGAATAATTATTGATCTGTGGTGACATGATTGATATGGAAAAAAATATATGTACCATAAAACAATGATTGGCAATTTGTGAGAAAAAAAAAATCTTATAATTCAAAATATGTAGTCACTGAGTTGACTTCCTGATTACCTAATTGATACAACTTAAATCATTATTTTGGAACCATTTTTCTTTAAAAGATAATGAACAATAATATTTCTTTTGTTTAAGATCAATGCCTTGACCGGAACAGTAGAGCGTGTGAAAGCAGCATCACCCCCAGTAACAGGGACCTTTACTCTGAACTTTGGAGGAACTGAATCGGCTGGTAGGTATTGTCAGTAATGGTAGAGTGTGTTAAGGTGGCATCAACCTGAGTCAAATGTATCCTCATTCTAAATTTTGAGGGAACTGAATCTGGTAGAAGGTATCGTCAGTAATGGTACAGTGTGTTAAGGTGCCATCAGCCCAAGTAACATGGACTTTCACTCTTAAGATTTGAGGCAGCTGAATCTGATGGTAGGTACTGTCAGTAATGTAGATTCTCTTAAGGTTGCATACCCCCCCTCCCCCCTCCCCACCAGCCATCACAGAAACTGTTCCCTTTGAGCTTTGAGGGGGCTGAATCTGCTGGTAGGTACAGTCAGTTACATATACCATAGAGCTTCTTAAGGTGGCAGCAACCCCAGTAACAGGTACCTTCATTCTAAATTATGAGGGGCTGAATCTGGGAGGTGGTTAGCATAGTTATAAACTGTAGAGTGTCTAAAGGTGGCAGCAACCCCAGTAACAGGGACCTATACATTCTAAATTATGAGGGGGCTGAATCTGGGAGGTGGTTAGTATAGTTGTAAACTGTAGAGTGTCTAAAGGTGGCAGCAACCCTAGTAACATGGACCATCACTGAATTTCAAGGGGAGGATAAATCAATTGTTAAATATTAAGGCCATGAGAATAGATGTATAGGTTTATCATTATAAGATAGAATAGTTCTATGCTTGGCATCTTTTTGACATGAAAAATGCTTGTAATTTGAATACTAGGCTAATTCTCATCATAAAGAAATATTACTGTGGAGTAATCATAATTATCAATGAATTTACATTCCCACAGATGATAACTGTGTCAACATTTGGGTTTTGAATCTTCTGTTATAACAAAATGTATGAGTTGTCTATTTCCCAACTAATCGGTAAAATTTTTGTTGCCCACAAATATTGACCCGCAGGAATTAAAATGATACCACTGTATAAAATGTCCTTAATTTCAGCCATCTCTCCTACTGTGACTAGTGAGGAATTTAAGGAGATTCTGATGTCAACTGTGCCAGCAATGGGGGAAGTGTACACCTATAAACATGGAGACTGTGCAAACTTTGACCTCAGTGTAGCATTTCTGTCCAAACCAGGTGATCTTGAGGCAATCCAGGTAATACAAATATAATGAGTAAGTTTTAATTATGAGAAAGCTGGAATGTGATTTAATATCCATGTATAACAGCAATTCCAGCCAGTCAGTACTGTTATTTAATAAGTTAAAAATGATCTATTTAATATCTTTTCACAAAGAAAGAAGAAATGATGACCTGGAGATATTTTGTCATGAAGTCTGAATTGGCTTGCCACTTGCCTTTTACCTTTCAGTATACGAGTCAGTTGTCAGGGGAGAATGTCACTATAGAGATAGAAACAGTGGTTAATGGAAAGCTGAACTTGGATCCAATTCAGGGAGACATGTTGTGTAGTTACAGCACATCACCTCAGGTGGCAGTCTTCAATAATGAAATTCCTACACAGTGTGCTGGAAACTTAGCCACTAGCTGCTCTTTTGTCTGGGAGGCTGCTAGTACCCCGGTTATAAACTCCTGCACTGGTGGTATGTTAATGATCTTGATTTTACCAAATTATCAAGTTAAAGAGGTGTGTTCTGTTTCTGCATTAAAACATACACATATTTCGATTCTAGTACAGCTTTATTACACTTTATGTTTGAAAATTTGTAGCAATGATTTGTTTAGAGCACATATGACCAATTTTAAAGATTCACAATGAAAATGTTATATGTCAATTTCTGTTTGTAATTAATACACTGTTTAGGCTCTGGCACCTTTACTATTTCTGGAAGTGGATTTTCAACAAATCAAGTTGACAACATGGTGACAATAGCTGGTGTTGAGTGTACAGTCACATCCTCTTCTGAAACAGAAATTACCTGTACCCCAGGACAAACACCCTCAGGCACCCATACAGTGGACGTCATTGTAACAGGCAAAGGGAAAGCTGCCATTACATCAGGAGCTACATGTAACTTTGTGTCACCGATGACAGTCTCCTCTGTGACACCTGATTCCTGTAGTATTGGAGGTTAGTGTACGGTTTTTATACAAATCAGACTGAGATTTAAATTAGCCATCTACAGAATTTTGTATGTTTTACTGAATACATTTTACAGTTTTATTTTATTCACTGTCTGCATACGGTTCTGTATACATAACTGTAGAATGCTAATTTTGATCAACTCCTTGTATACAAATGAAATCCAATCCCAGATTCTTTGAGGGTTTGCTTTGTTGAAGTAAAAGGAAAGTATCAGAATTTAGAAATCTAATAAAACTTACAAATATGCTGTTGTAAATTTAGTGTAGCTATTGTGTAAATAAGCAAATATATTCTCTGCTAATGCGTTAATTATTACATGATGAATTTGAGAGCAGAAGCTGATTTTTTGCATTTAGGATTTTCAATGAACAGATTGTAATGAGAGGGGGTTTTATTTCAGGAGGATGCGAGGTCAGTATTCAGGGGACGGGGTTTTCTTCTGAGGCCAATGTCTCTGTGGGAGGAGGGCTCTGTGAAGTCCTGTCGGCCACGTACAATCAGATAACGTGTGTTGTTCCAAGTTCAGTAAGTGAATTTAACTGTATATAGAACTTTAACATGGTCTACAGGAATGTGCATGACCATTACATTCAATTCTTCCTCAGGTCCACATGGTCTTTCAATTGCAGTGTAAAAGTCTTCATTATTTTTTTCTATACAGAAAAAGGCCTCATATTGAAAATTCAAAATCACCTATAACATTTTTATGGCACAAATTATTAGGGATAGACATATTGCAAGATAGGATTCATCCAGCTTACTTTTAAGCTAATAATGTATACCTGGCTGTAAGAGGAGTATCCATTTCTTTGTTTTAGACTACAGCTGGTCAGCAGACACTAACTGTGTCCTTAGATGGGCAGTCAGCCACCGGCTTCTTCACCTACAGTGCAGGTCCTATTGTTGATGATGGCAGCATTGCCCTAACACAAGAGACTGTGAACGGAGGTATGTAGTCTTTTACTAGTCCATGACTTTTATTAGTCCCCTACTGGTGAAACCAGAGGGGACTATAGGTTTCCTGTGAGTCTGTCCATCGGTCTGTCAGTCTTTCTTTCTGTCTGTCCATCTGTCTAGCTGTCCCTCTGTCTGTCTGTCAGTCTGTCCCACTTGGTTTTCCGCACTTTTTTCTAAACGCTTGCAGATATTGAGCTGATTTTTGGTATGTGAATGAATCTTGATGAGTTACAGATCAAGTTTGCATTTCATTCCGCTTCAATGATTTTTGATGGAATTATGGCATTTTTAATTTTTAATGGGGGCCAGATTACCTTTGCTGGTAGGGGACTAGTATTGCTAATGCAATACTCTCAGAATGCTTGTTATTCAATGTACCTACAGTCATCAAATGCTCCTGAGAAATTTTTTAGTGATACAAAATGTTATGAATCTCTCAAGTTTGTTTAATTTGACAATGAAAATTAGTGCTTAGTAATCATGCTATTTGTGAAATAATATATGTGATCTTTTTTTACTTGTGCAGGTCTTGTTCATAAGTTAACATTAACTGGAAGTGGTTGGGGAGATCCAGATAATGTAAAGCTCTTCGTAGATGGAAAAGAAATTACCCCCTTAACACTAACAGCAACCACCCTGGAGGCTACTTTTCCTTTACTCTCCCCGGGTACTTATCAACTCTGGCTCCTCACTGATACAGGATATGCCGTTGATAGGTTTGTGTTACACACTCTGATTTAATTTACTGTTTATATATTTACAAATTGGTTAGGTATTTTGTATACACTCGCTAGATATAGATTTACTGGTTATAATCATGTGTAATAAACGGTCATGAATCCCATTTGACAGTACTGGCAGTATACCCAGTATCTCGGTACAGGTCCGCGAGATCACCAATGTGTTCCCAGCCACAGGATCACTACGAGGCGGTACCACATTAACTATAACTGGACAGGGATTCAGTCCTGTGACCTTGGAAAACAAGGTCAAGGTGGGAGATCACAACTGTGATATAAAGACTTCAACAACGACGGAACTAAAGTGTCAGATAGCAGACACTGGAAAAATACACCATATTACAAATGAAGGAATTCATCCAGGTAATAATAAAGATAAATGTTTGAGGTAAATGTAATTATAGAGTACCCATTGTCTAATCCAAAACCCCTACAAACAGGCAAGTTTTAACCAAAAGAATAATTTTCCCAAAATTCCTGTCTAATCTCATGACTGTCTTTTCCAAATGTTGACAATTTTTGTTGATACAACTTAATTAGTGCATTGTTTTTACACCTGGGCAACATAATTCAATTGCAAGGATGTTAATTTTCCTGATTTGAGCATTGAGGTCACAATTTTACATGCCTAATTCCCCACTAGAGATATACAGCTATAAACATATGGTGTGCAGTTTTTCACGTTAACTTGGATACAATGCAGATCCCAAAAATTACGGCTTATATGAGGGATGATCAAAAAGTTCGCGAACTAATTTACTTCCATAAAAGAAATAAAATTAGGTTTCAGTGTGTATTACTTTTTAAAGTAGTCCCCTCTGGTTTCAATGCACATCTGCCACTGTTCTGCCCATGCGCGAAACAAGTGGTCCAGACTGTCACGTGACATACTCTTTAGTGTTCTGTTCACAACAGCAGAAAGATTTTTCCGAGTCTTATAATTATTACCATGCAGGTTATTTTTTATAACAAGAATAGTCCATTTGTCACAAATTACCAAATCTCGGCAATAGGATGGGTGGATAAGGATATCTTTCACCAGAATGAGCATGGTGACCAGCACAACCTGTGTCCTCTGTCTTAGTTGCCTCGTTTTTTTTTAATGTGAATCAAGTATAGGCGTGTTCTCTTAATCATATCTGATATGTTTAAAATCTAAAGTAAAGGATATTTTAGGGATTTAATAATTATTTATTGTTAAGATATTGAACTACCTTTCTAACTGTAACTTGGCGATCTTTCATAACAGATTGCTCAACTACGAATACATCTCTTTCCCAGCATATTTTCAATGGGCACCAGAACAAACATCATTTTTAACTATCTCCCTTCCTTCACTAAAACAATCAGTCCAATTAATGATTGAACTTCTTGCAAGTTCTTTGGCTTCATAAACATTGTACAAATTCTTATATGCCTCTGCAAAGGAATTTCCAAGATATACATTGAACTTTACAGCCGTTCCATACTTGAGTAAAACTGAGTCACCCATTTTTGTCACAAGTCATCTACCTATTGATGTCATTTTCACATTGTGACGTCATAAACATGGACCAAACATTTCTTAACAGGTGCTATTTATAGAACGTTTATGACTATTTGTGTGCCAAATTTCATTCTGATCTGAATTGTGGTTTTGTAAATATAGGGATAGTTCGCGAACTTTTTGATCACCCCTCATTTATTCTATAAAGGATGATTATTTGATGAAATTCACCCTTAGAAGATGACAAGATTTCTCATGTTCCATATTGCACATTGTGCATTTGTAATTAAAATCACATTTTAATTTGGCTATTTTTTTTTTTTATCAATCAGACTTTCGTATTAGTGGATATGCCTGGAAACCTAAACATCTTGAGATTAGTGTTGGAGACAGGGTATCATGGAGCTGGCAGTTTAAATCATTTATTCAGGGGATGAAAGTAAGAGTGGTACAGGTTAAGGAACTGTTGTCCCAGGAGGAGGTGGAGGGGGGATTCAACAGTGGTCCTGCTACAACAAGAGGTAGGTCACTTCTACACCTGGTATTGCTGCTGTATTATACTCTCTCTCTGAAATCCAAATACTGAATCTCCAGTATCACTTGATTCACAGCCATGTAAAAAAATACATGTTCCAACATGACAGTGCAGAGTAAGATTTCATTTGCATGAGAATTTTTGTGTATCCTCTTGTTGATTTGTATTGATATCACCTGGCCAGACTTTCTGTAATACCCCTGTTTTGTAATGAAATCTGTATGGGTTGCAGGGGCATACCAGTTCCAATTTTTGGTGCCTGGAACTTACTATTACTGGAGCGATTTTGTTGACTTTTACAAGACGACCCAATTTTCTGGAGTGATAGAGGTACTAAGTCTGGGTTCTTATACAGCAGAGGTTCAGGTGATGGTTCAGGGTATTGAATTCAGCCATGTTAAACCAGGTAATTTATACTGAGATGTAAGAGAATATTAAACTGTCTGCCTGATTGTCCTAATTTCTATATGCTAGGTTTTTATGGTTTATTTGTTGTAAAGTTTAACTCCTTAAGTGAGCTGATAATGACTGCTATTATGTCATATTTTTGTTTATATTTCACTGGAAATTGATTATTTTATATGCTAGAAAAAGATTTTTTTTTCATTTCTCACTTGACTATTTTCATCTTTTATAAACTTAAAAAAAGAAATAAACAATTACGTAACTTTGTAAAGCAAGTTTTCCTTGTTAAAAAAGAATCAAGTTTGAATTCCTTAGTAATACACAAGGATAAATGAAACTATGATTTTTTGTTTCAAATCACTGATTTATTGATAGGCACTGCAGACCCTTCACCTGTAGGACCCTGTCCCGGGGGTACTGGTGACCTGGGATTCTGTAACACCCCTACCCCTCCTACCAGCAATGCTAACAGATGGAACTTTGCATTCTGGGAATGTGCAACACCCACAGTCACAGGGGTATCTCGGAATGAAGGAACAACCTTTGACACAATAACAGTGACTGGTCAAGGAATCAGTAACAACATTTGTGAACTAGAGGTTAAGTTTGGAGACAATGTATGCAGTGTGAAAGGTCAAGGGGATGGAAAATTTGACTGCTGTATTGATTCCTCAAACAGTCCAACTGTTGGTCTTTTGCAAGAAATTTCAGTACTAGTGAAAAATAGAGGGTTTGCTCTGCTACAAACTGAGAAGAGATTGGAACGTTCATTTGCTCTAGTACCAGCTGTAAAAACCATATCTCCATCTTCAGGATCCACAGCTGGGGGAACGCCAATCACAATTACAGGAACCGGGTTTACTGAAGACAAAGAGAGAGTTGTAGTGACCATTGGTGGATATATCTGTCCTGTGAAAAGCACATCATTCACTCAGATTACATGTTTATCTTCAGCTCAGATCGTAGGTACAAAGACAATCGAGGTTAAAGTCATTACAAACACTGGCATCCAGGTTATGGCAATTTGTAAACATACAAGTGGTTCATGTGTGTTTTCTTATGCTACTTCCATGACACCAGAATTGACGAGCGTAAATCCCGAGTCTATCACAGGGACCAGTCAGACAACCTTGACCTTGACTGGTACAAATTTGAAGTCCACTGTAGTGGGAGCCACAGTCCACATTGGCAATGAGGAATGTGCTGTCCAGTCACAGACAGTGGACACCATTACATGCACCATTACAAACCTTCCCCTTGGTCAGAATGCTGTCCGTGTCTCTGTTTCTGGCTTTGGAAGTGCTGTGTCATCACTTGAGGTAGCTTCACCGGCAGTAATAAGCAGTTTAACACCATCCTCTGGCAGTGTGTATGGTGGAACAGTGATTCATGTCCAGGGAAATGGCTTCACTCAGGATGCCAATATTACTATAGGAGGTGTAAGTTGTCAACTTATTAGTGCCACTCTGTCTGACCTACAGTGTACAACAGGTGCTCATGCAGCAGAAACCTCCCAAGTTGACATACAGGTGGGTTCAGAAACCTACCCACAAGAAACATTTACTTACAGTGAAGGAATATCACCAAAGATAACCAGTATCTCTCCCAATCAAGGTAACCATGGCGTACAGGTCACAATTAGTGGCCAGAATTTAAGTCCTGTCCAGAGAGTGACCATAGGGGAGGCAGAGTGTACTGTGGTATCTTCCACTGCCACTGAAATAACGTGTACCACCACTCCCCATGCAGTGGGACCACAGAGTGTGGTGGTCCACACAAATCATGGTATTTCTAACGGTGACATCCAATACGAGTACACTCTGGGACTCTCAGCTGTTAACCCTTCCTCAGGTGATTACTGCAGTATATTTTGTTTTCTAAAGACAATCATATTAAGTAATTTCTCTAATACCTTTGAAGGAATCTTCTATATATTATTTGATCCTATGCCATTTATACAGATATTTCATTTCATGGGATTTTGTTCTTATTGATACATTAATGGTTGTATTGAGAATTGGAGAAGTTGACCATGTTTCTGTAATGACAAAGATATATCCATGTATTATTTTTAGTAAAACAGATAGAATAATTACAAAATAGCCCATATTAATATTTGCATTTCTAGGAAGTATTTATGGGGGTCAGACGCTGACTGTGAGTGGATCTGGATTTGATGAAAATGCTGAACTTAAGATCTGTGATGAGATTTGCCCTATTGAGTCTAGCAGCCTCACTCCAACAGAGTTCTCGTGTTTATCTCCTCCCTCACCTGATGGTAAGATCATTGTAAAGGTTAATGGCTGTATTTCTCATTAAGACTCCTATTTTAACTTATGTTTCCATTTAATGTGCTCAAATTATAAAATTCCTGAAAGCAGAGAAAACTAGTGTCCATATCTTTATCAAAAGGCCATCTTTATTGATAACTCAAGTTTGTTTAATGAAAAACTAGATTTGATTGCTGTGTGAAAGTTATGGGGTAAAAAGTCTTGGCTTCTGTTGCTTAAAATAGATGTTTAGTTTCCATTATTCTTTGATTTTGTGTACAGGATCAAAATTTATATTTGTTTCCTGAGAAAAGTTTGAGCTGGGATGTTTGTATTAGACATTCAGCTTTAATGTAAGTGTTGTGGGCAGTGGTGGTTTTAATAATTTTAAAACTAACCTTTGTACATGTATTAAATTGTGTCTGTTTTTTTCTATATGTAGAAAGTGTGAAAACATGTGATGTTGTCTTGACATCAAGTGGTGAAGTGCGTACACTAAGTAGTGGTTACAGCTATCAGCAAGCTAAGACAGCCACATTGACAGGCTTGTCTCCCCTTCGTGGAGGGACAGGAGGGGGCACACCTTTGACAATAACAGGCTCGGGATTTGGCAGGTAAGTTTATCAGGTGAAAACAGTATGGGTTTGTATACTTATCACTCCTTTGTTGAAAGAAAATAATTAGGGCCCCACTCTGTGGGTGCCCTTTAGTGATCAGTCTGTCCGTCCGTCCAAGATCTCTTGTCCGGAGCATATCTTCTCTCTCCTTGGCCCAATCTGGCTCATACTTGTAGTAAAGGGTCTGCAGTGACCTTGAACCATGTTTCTAGGTCTAAGGTCAAGGTCATAGCAGAATTATATGAAAAATCCTTGTCTGGAGTATATCTTCTCTCCTCTTGATCCAGTGTGGCTCATACTTCACTCACAGAGTGCCACTGGTCAATGGATGTGCAGTGACCTTGAACAAAGTTTTTAGGTCGAGGGTCAAGGTCAAAAAAAGCCTCTCTGTTTAAATTTTTGTCCAGAGCATATTTTCTCTCTCCTTGGCCCAATCTGGCTCATACTTCTGTAACGACTAAAGTCAAGTTCTTTTTATGGTTCTTTATTTTAAATTAAATTATCAAATTGGCAATGAGCTACAAACAAGCAAAAATATATACACACATTACCAATAGAACACACAAACAAAAATAAAAGAATTAATCAGTATATGAATTTGAATTCAAACGAACACATACCACCAAAATATGGCAATGCCACACCCAGTCACTCACTCATACTTTTACTGCGCGTGTGGTCTCTACATTTAAATAAACAGAATTACCGATATTTATTATATTAACGATAAAAAGATATAATAATTAGTATAATTCAAGTGTAATAAAACACAAGATTAACAAACATTCTTACCGTAACACGCATCACTCTCAAACTCAATCGAACACGTTCAGTTCATAACGGGGGCGTCAGCACAGTGAGTATTAATAGATAACTTGACAAACCAGTTTAAATCTTAGAGATTTACTCAACAAAATATATTTTTATAAATTCAAATCACTGCACTGAAAAATAATTAGAAATAGATAACAACTAAATTAATATTCAAATAGAATTTTTATAAAGTTTTTAATAATATAATCTCTAAATAAAATTAAATACCTGGCGCAAGGACAGAAACTCTATAAATAGACAATCGGCTAAATAAAGTATGGTGCGCGTTTCGTGTTCTTTTAGTATGCGCAAAATCAACCATTACACTTCACCCACAGAATGTCTTGTGGTAAAGGGTGTGCAGTGACCTTGAACCATGTTTTAGGTCTAAGGTTAAGGTCATAGCAGAATTATATGAAAAGTCCTTGTCCAGAGCATAACTTCTCTCCTCTTGATCCAATGTGGCTCATACTTCACTCACAGAGTGCCACTGGTCAATGGATGTGCAGTGACCTTGAACAAAGTTTCTAGCTCAAGGGTCAACTTCAAAAATAGCCTCTCTGTTTAAAATCTTTGTTCAGTGCATAATTTCTTTCCCTTAACTCCAGTCAGCCTCAAACCTTACCAATTGACTTAGGGTACGGATCATTTGTGATTTTCCTTCCATATTTCTGATAGAGGATATGCAACGATTTTCATAGAGGATATGTGGCATTCGTGATTTTTGTGCCGTTTTTTGATGGAAGGTGTTGAGCACTCGTGATTTGCGTGCCATTTTTTATTATAACGAGGATAACATAGAAGCCCTTTAGACTCAAACAACACATCCCTTAATAGTACACAAATGTTCCTCTTCAAAATAAACCCTTTTCAGCTACCTTACATTTCCATGTTCATTGCTGAAAGCGGGGCCCTTTGAGATGGCCACCATCTCAATGATATCTAGTTAACTCAACTTTGATATGATGTTTTTGGAGAATTTTACCAAGTATTAAAATAGTTTCTTTTGTACTTTATTCACCTATTAAGGCCCCGCAAGAATTTATGGGTGCCCAATAGTAATTACTAATTCTGTCTAGCTTTTATACCACAAACTTCCTGTTTTTCCCCTCTAAAAATCTTTTCCTTTTTATGCCTAGAATTATATATGTGCATGAAGATATTTGTGTTACTTATAGTAGGTCATTAGGATATTTATGTTGTTTATATTAACATATGTACAATGTAGTATATCACAGTTTACACATGTACTTGTGTTGTTTATAGAGTTATTTTATTTTAGTAATGAAGAACAAGTTGTAATAAATGGCAGCAGTTGTTCTGTGACAAGTTGGACAGATACCCAGATTGTATGCAATACTGACCAACACACAGAGACTGGCAAGTACAAAGTCAGTGTGACCGTACCTGGAAATGGACTGGCTAATCCAGTAAGTACAGGGATCAGTAGGCTTACTCAATGGATATACCCCAGTACTGTGGTTTTGTTAATGTGCTGTTTAGGTCACCCGAGCCGAGGTTTCCATCATTTCATCTGTTTGTTTGGCTGTTTTGGCATCAGTAAATTTATCAAGTTGTCCAGAACTACTGGGCTAATTTCAACCAAACTTGTTACAATGCATCCTGGATAAAGGGGATTTTAATTTTTTTTAAGCTTAAAAGCCACACTCCTTTTTAATGGGGGAGATAATTGAGAAATATTGGAAATAGGGTTAATTATTAAGTTTATTTTCACCTTGAGCACCTTTTTCACGATCATTTTAGAATGCAAACATACCCGTGTTGATTGATTGAAATTTGCTTAGATCATGGTCCTTGGGACAAGTTTGTGGCAACTAGTAGGGTTCAAAGTTTTACACAAAAACCTATACACTGTCAAAACAAAGAGGCTACAAATTGTAAACTAGCTGTGAATTAGAATTGTTGATATCATGGACTTTGTGTTTAGACTACTAAAAGTTTTAATTTCATAAATACACCTGTTTGACAGGAAGAGAAATGTGATCCAGGTGAGTGCTCTGATCCAGGAACCTGTTGTTTTTGTTGTTGTTTTTAAAATCAGTCATCTGTCTTCTTTACTACTGAACACCTAATAGCCAGGACTGTTTGGATTATCAGCCTTAGGATTACCTTTTTACAAGTATTTTCAGCAGTTGTCCAATTTTTTTTTTTGCAGAATTTTGTTGATAGGACAAATTCACAAAAATTACCATCGCAAAATATTCTCCTGTCATGATTCTCCAGACATTTTTTTTACTATCATCTATGCTTGTAGATATTGAGCTGATTTTTGGTCTATCTCTTGATATAGATGAGTTACAGATCAAGTTTAAAGTTTTATTCTTATTGACCCATTTCATGAAAGTTATAGCCCTTAATTACTCTTTGAAAAATTCTAATAGTTCACCGTTTTGCTGTGCTTGTAGATAATAAGCTGATCGATGTTTCTTAATCTTTTAATATTAATGTTTGGTATGTCTCTTTAAATGATAACTCACAGATCAATTTTGAGTTTCCCATGGATTGACCCATTTTAATGAAATTGATGGCCCTCAGACTTTGAAAATATCTAATTATTTACTGTTTTCTAGGAATTTTTTTGCTGTGCTTGTTGGTTATCACCATTTTTACACAGCTTAAGTACTGTATGTGTACTTTAAAAAGTGGGCCTCATATTTTAGTGACTTTGGCGTGGGCAATGATGCACTAATTCATGAATACAGCTAAGAAATGATATATATATATATAATATATACTGCATGGACGTGTGTATTGCTAGTTCATGACTACGCCAACAACTCCATACCCAGTGATTGCGCTAAATTTTGAATACGCCAATTTATGTACACGTACAGTATGTTGTAAAGAAAAAAGGTTCCATAAAACAAAAGCATCAGCATGATATTTTTATGCCAGTATCACTTATTTTATTTTCATACTTTTGGACATTCACATATTTAAAGTTTTTTTTTAAAATTTTGTCACAGGGAGGGTATGAGTTCTTTTATGTGGACATTTGGTCTTCAACATTTACCTGGGAAAATGGTATACTTCCAAAAAAAGATGAATTAGTTGTCATAAAGGAGGGGCACACCGTTTTACTGGACATCAGTCCTCCTGTCCTGGATACCTTACTTATAGATGGTAAGTTTCAGCTGGTATTGATTACTTGCAAGATTTATGTCTTCTTATGGATGGTGAGTTTGTGGAATAAATATCAAAATCAAGATTTATGTCTACTGTACTGACTGAGTTAATGTGGACTAAAATTTCATGAATATATCTGCAAACTTATGGTGACTTCATGGGATATTAGTATAAGGCTCATGCATCTTCTCTTTAATAGTAAGTTCATGAGGTTCCTATAAAAAAGATTATATCTACTTAGTGGTGAATTTATTCCAAATGTATAGATATCGAGATTTATATCTATTTACTGATTCTGCTGTCATTGAGATTCATTATTTATTATGGATGGTGACTTCAGTAAGTTCTCATTTTAATTATCATTTTTTATACACTGCAGCTAAGATAATATTTTTGGAAACAATGCAATTTGGGTTTTGTATTGCAGGAGGGAATCTTGTTTTTGACACAGCAGACATTGAGCTTCAGGCCCAAAGAATCCTAATAACTAAAGGAGGAAAGTTACAAGTAAGCATTCAAATATTAAAGAATTCTAATAACTAAAGTAGGAAAGTTGCAAGTAAGCATTCAAATATTAAAGAATTCTAATAACTAAAGTAGGAAAGTTACAAGTAAGCATTCAAATATTAAAGAATTCTAATAACTAAAGTAGGAAAGTTACAAGTAAGCATTCAAATATTAAAGAATTCTAATAACTAAAGTAGGAAAGTTACAAGTAAGCATTCAAATATTAAAGAATTCTAATAACTAAATCAAGGAAGAAGGTTACAGGTAACTTAAAGTAAGCATTTCAGTCTTAATTTGGCACATTAATATTAGGCACTACATGATTTTGAATTATTTTTAGCCAAAATGTTAAACATTGTTGGATCACAGATCAATGATGTCTGCATCAAAATGTTTAGCTGTAGCATTTGTGTTTGTTGTGTATGACTTCATTTTAAAACTTCACACAGAGATAGATCAAGATACTGCAGATGTTAACCTTGAACTTGATGTGTAACCTTGACATTAGTAAATTTATCTTTGATAAGGATGGCATATTTTGATTAAAGGATAAAGCCTATTTTGTTTCCAAAATTAATTATCTCTAGTATATAGGACTTGGTAATAAAGCAGGCTTAGCCCCTGTAAATTTGATCATTATCTTCTAAAAACCTAAATTCTGGTAAATGAAATAAAAGTAAGACACATATAGGATGCCAAGTCCATTTTTATTATGTTGTTATAGGTAGGAACTACAGATGCACCATTCCCAAATAAAGCCCAAATCACATTACATGGACATGTTAGGTCTAAGGAGCTTCCTGTGTATGGGACAAAAATGATAGGAGTGAGAAACGGATCACTGGAATTGCATGGTATATCATACCAGAAGTTTACAACAACTGTCTACATAGAACTTAAAAAAATTTTATCGTGAAATTTTTGCAGTTGTACAACTTTGGAAAATCAGCCACTTTAAATTCGGTCTAACAGTTAAAATGTGTATGATGAATTTCATTTTTATTCACAGAAAGTTTAACACCAGTCACTTAAATTTCTGATACTAATTATGCATTCACTTCATTTATTCTTTAGTTTATATTAAATATCATACAAAAGTTATAGCTTGTATGTATTCTGTGAACAGGACAAAGAGTTGTGACAACCTGGACACGTCTGCAGACTACAGCAGCTGCTGGGGCCACGGAAATAGTTCTAACACATCCAGTGGATTGGAAGGTGAATGATGTCATTGTCATAGCAACAACTGGTCACAGACACACACAGCAACAGACAGAGCAGCACACGATTAGTTCTATCTCTGCTGATGGAAGAACTCTGACCTTGACCCAGCCACTGGAGTATGAACATGTCGGGGTACTGGCAAGGTACGGTGAACAAGACATAGAACTCCGAGCTGAGGTGGGGATCCTCACACGAAATATTGTAATACAGGGGACCAATAACGAAGAATGGAATGATCCTATTGAGGCCTGTCCAGATGGATTTGACACTGGTAAAGTTTCTCATTCTTCATTTCAATATGTTCTGATTGATTTTACTTTATGTTCTGCTATTTTTGATCATTTTGTAGTTGATGAAAATTGAAAGAGGCATAGTGAAATCATAAAAAAAATTGAAAAATGTTTGTTATTGGATTGGCAATTGCAAGAGAGAGACAGTGCTTAACTTATGATATTTTTTTGTTATTATGACTTCAGATGAAAAAATGTACATATGTTTTAATTGCAGGTGAATTTGCTAGGCGGCGCTGTTTCCAAGGGCTGTTTGGAGAGGAGATGGGCACTGATCAGTTTGGAGCTCATGTCATCCTTCATGCTCCAAGACCAAACACTGGTAGTGTAGTAGCCCACATCGAGTATGTGGAATTCAATTATGTAGGGCAAGCTTTTCGTTTAGGACGTTACCCTGTGCATTTCCACATCAATGGTAATATGACCGGGTCCTACGTCAGAGGCTGCAGTTTCCATAAATCCTTCAATCGTGTTGTCAATGTTCATGGGACTGACAACGTACTAGTGGAGTACAATGTGGCGTACGATACAATGGGTGGTGCTGTGTTCCTGGAGGATGGAATTGAAACAGGAAACACACTGCAGTATAACCTACTGTTGTTTGTGAAAGCAAGTTCAAGTTTGCAGAATGATGATAATAGCCCAGCTGCATTTTGGGTAACAAATCCTGACAACACTGTAAGGCATAATGCAGCAGCTGGTGGCACTCACTTTGGATTTTGGTATAGAATGCATAAGCACCCATCAGGGCCTTCATTCACCACCTCCATTTGCCCCCAGAATGTTCCTGTTGATATATTTTTCAACAATACTGTTCATTCCAATGGATGGTTTGGTCTTTGGGTTTTTCAGACATTCACACCAAGAGTTGATGGGAGCTGCAGTTCTAAGACACCTCAGGAATCCTTGTTTTCTAATCTCACCGTGTGGAATTGTGAGAAAGGTGCTGAGATTGTGGAAGGAGGGTCAGTAAAGTTAAAAAACTTTGTTCTTTTGAACAATGAATTAGCTGGTTATGAAGGCAAGATGGTAGCAGAAGGAAGTCAGGTAATTGAAGATGCTTTGATTATCGCACGTGCCACAGAGCTTAACAGCACAGGACAAAAAAGTACCAAGTTTGGTATCAAACTTCCTTATAAATATAATTTCCATGTTAGAAATGTGCAATTTGTTAATTTTGATGATGACGACTCTGCAGCGTTTGGTGTGACCAGAATTACTGGAACATGTTCTGTTAATTGTGGTGGTTACTTGTACACGACTGAGGGGTTGACTTTTGTCAACTCACCCAACAGGGGGAAGTTTTTTTGGGCATGGGAAGCTTTAATCAAAGATTTAGATGGATCCTTGATATCTAATGGTCCATCAGTAACAGATGCAGGGAAAATTGTTCTCCCAATGGCTGGCACTCTGCCACCAACCTGCACATCATTTCCAGCCTTCAGCTTTGGCAGCAGTGCAGCTGTGGTCTGTCCAGATAATCTCAAATTCCACAGATTTACATTTAACAAAGCTCCAAGGTCTCTAGATGGCAAGGATGCAATATTTACCAACCAGTATGGTAGTACCAATCAGCCATTCAGATCTAAGGCAATCACTCACAAACAGGGTTGGCTAATGGTCTTTCTAGATGGTGAGGAATACACAATGGAATTCCAAGATAATCCAGGATTTACTAACTTCTCCTACAAAGGGAGAATTGACAATTTTGAGGTAAATTAATGGTTCAAGTAAGAGCAGCATTGTTTAATATATCAATGTATTGCTGCTTATAATTTATATTATTGAATTATTCTTAGTGTTGATTTAGAATTTAAATTTAATACATAAAACAGAAATAAAACACTTCTTAAAAAATTATTTTTGTTGGTTTAAAAAATACCTATATGTTTTAAGGAAGCATGGTATGTTTCTATCTTTGTTGATTAGGAATTGTTTCTGTTGATACAGAAGGTAAAATGCCCTTTGAAATATTTTCAGACCAAGGATGAGTATGTAATAATTAAGCAGTCCCTTGATCAGCAACCTAGCCGTGTGTTTTTTGAGAGTTCTAGCCATATTCCAAAGCCTGATACAGCCATAGATCCTGTTTCGAGCAGCCATGGCCACTGGGAATATGTATCTTCCCAGTTGAAGTATATAGGTAAATTCTTATATCATAAACTCTGAATAAGTTAGCCAGTTTTCATTAATTTTTGTAAATGAGAATAAAACAGTTTAAGTTTGTATGTGAATGTTTGGATATAAAGATTTATGTTTATTGACAGACAATTTAAAAACACCTTTAGCTTTTAAAATACGCAGACCAGTGTTGAAGAAACATTAATTCAAAGGAACTCTCTGGAGAAATGTTACATGAATTCTCTGTTATTTCTAGTTAGAGGACATGACCCATCAACCACTGGAGCCACTACAAATAAACATGTAAACATAAACTTTAATGCATACAAGTGTTTTTTCCCCAACTGTCAACCACCTCCTGACCCCAACACGGTTCCCCCATTGGAGTCTCGCCCAAACTATGCTGTGTTGTGGTCCGAAAAAGAGACATGGGCAGATGCAGAGGAGGGATGGGGTGGGAATAAAGGAAATGGAACATATGACCTGCCAGTGGATGGGGATAGTGTCAAGATACCAAAAGGTAGAGTATGACTTGACAGTAGATAGGGATAGTGTCAAGATACCAGAAGGTAGAGTATGACCTGCCTGTGGATGGGGATAGTGTCAAGATACCAAAAGATAGAGTATGAGCTGACAGTGGATAGGGATAGTGTCAAGATACAAAAAGGTAGAGTATGACCTGACAGTTGAAAGGGAAAGTGTCAAGATACCAAAAGGTGGAGTATGACCTAACGATGAATAGGGATAGGATCAAGATACCAAAAGGTAGAGTATGTCCTGCCAGTGGATGGGGATAGTGTCAAGATACCAAAAGGTAGAGTATGACCTGACAGTTGAAAGGGATAGTGTCAAGATACCAAAAGGTAGAGTATGACCTGCCAGTGGATGGGGATAGTGTCAAGATACCAAAAGGTAGAGTATGATCTGCCAGTGGTTAGGGATGGTGTCAAGATATCAAAAGGTAGAGTATGACCTGACAGTTGAAAGGGATAGTGTCAAGATACCAAAAGGTAGAGTATGACCTGACGATGGATAGGGATAGGATCAAGATACTAAAAGGTGAGTATGACCTGACAGTGGATGGGGGTAGTGTCAAGATACCAAAAGGTAGAGTATGACCTGCCAGTGGATGGGGGTAGTGTCAAGATACCAAAAGGTAGAGTATGACCTGCCAGTGGATGGGGGTAGTGTCAAGATACCATAAGGTAGAATATGACCTGCCAGTGGATGGGGGTAGTGTCAAGATACCAAAAGGTAGAGTATGACCTGACAGTGGATAGGGATAGGATCAAGATACCAAAAGGTAGAGTATGACCTGACAGTTGAAAGGGATAGTGTCAAGATACCAAAAGGAAGAGTATGACCTGCCAGTGGATGGGGATACATGTATTAAGGTAGAGGATGGGGATATTGTCAAGATGACTAATGGTAGAGTATCATTTGCTAGGCCATAGGATAATTTAAAGAAACAGTTAGGCAGAGTATTGCATTTCATTGTAATGTCAGTATAATTTAAGATAGAGTGTTTGACATTGGACGGGGATAGTGTCAATTTACCCAAAGGTATGTCTTTTTATTGTTTTCAAAAATATTGAATTGTAGGTGTAGGAGGACCTGATGGATTTATTTCTTGATTTTATACACACAAATCAAAACCCTTGTGCATAAATATTCATGGCTGATGACAGTTCAAAATACAGTAATCATGATGATGTTTTGAAAGTAAAAAACATAACCATACAGAGTGTTATTCATTGTCAGGTTTCAGATACTGCATTTTCAGCCAAAAATGGACAGGCTCCAGGTATCGGAGCAGGTTAAAGTTTTTTGAGCAAGTTAAAGTTTTTGGACTAGGTATCGTTCCCAAGTAACCTTAAGCTCTACCTTGACCAAACCTGCATGAATGATGCATCTATGGATGCACACTAACACACTTTCTTTGGATGCTGGATCTGACCTACATTTTATGGATGAGCAACCAGGACAAAGATTTAGGAGCAGGTGGTATTCTTACATAACTATATAAGTCCTATGGTTACCAAACTTGCATGGATGATACATCTATGGATGGATACTACCAGATGTGTTTGGAATACTGACCTGACCTACATTTTTCAGTTGTATGATTAGGTTAAAGGTTTTGGAGCAGGTCCATTTCCAAGTAACTATTAGCCCTTTGGTGACTAAACTTGCATGGATACTGTTTTAGTGTGCATCTCTTTGTTTGGATGCTGGATCTGATCTATATTTTCTGGATGAGTGCTTTTTGGAGCAGGTGTCATTCGTAAGTAACTAAGCTTACATGGATGTTGCATTAATGGATGCACACTACCGGATGTGCTTGGGATGCTAGCTCTGACCTACATTTTTCAATTGTATGACAAGGTTAAAGTTTTTGGAGCAAGTCCATTTCTAAGCAACGACAAGCTCTTTGATGATTTAGGGATGCACACTACAAGACATATTTTTCAAATGATTGACTAGATAAAAAGTTTTTGAAGCAGGTTTATTCCAATGTAACTATGAAACCTGTCTGGATAAACTTGCATGGATGCCACATTAAGGGATGCACACCACCAGACTTCTTTGGAATGCTGGACCTAGCTACATCTTCCAGAAGGGTGACCACTGACCAGGTTAAAAATGTTTAGAGTATCATTCTAAACACTTCCAGACATGCTTCAGGTGCTGGATCTGACCTTTGCTGAGTGAGTGATCAGGTTAAAGTTTTTGGAGCAGGTCCATTCCCAAGTAACTAAAAGCCCTTCTGTGACATCATGGATGATGCATCCAGGTATGCAAGCTACCAGACTTGCTTCAGATGCTTGATATCTGACTTACATTTTCCAGATCAATGAACAAGTTAAAGTTTTTGGATCAGGTTCATCCCAATGTAACTTTAAGACATACCTGATCCACACTTACATGAATGATGAGGGATGCATACTCCAGATATGGAATCAAATGCTGAATCTAACATTTTCTGGATAATTGAACAAAAAAGAATTTGGAGGTTGCCAATTCCCTAGTACCTAAACATCCTACACAGACCAAAATTGTATAAATGTTGCATCTAAGGATGCTTATTAACCAGAATATTTGTTAACTGAAACTTTACCTTACTTAAAGATAGCATTCATTAAGGTGAGCTCTGTAATCTTTTGATTACCTATGTTTTTTTTCCTTTCCCTAGCTATTATTGTGTATCTTTGATGACTGTCAAAAATTATAATATGTTTTGTAGATAAATGGGTTGTTGGAGACATGACACTGCCACAAATGGAAAAACTGGTTCTCTATGGTGTGTTAGAATTAGATGATGATAATGGAAACAGAGACTTTGAGCTCCGGTGTAAATACATTGTAATTTATGGTGGACGACTAATTATTGGATGGCCAGATAAACCTTTCCTTGCCAATGCCCTGGTTATTCTGGAAGGTGATAAACAGACAGAAAATTACAAACAAGACAGTGGTCCGACAATAGGTGCCAAAGTTTTAGGTGAGTTTTGTAAGCACAGAGGTTCTCACAGTATATGGGCACAGGTATATGCATTATTTTTCAAAGGAATATAAAAATCTATTTATTAAAAAATCTTCTGAAGAACCACAAGTATTAGATGAGCATTGTGGCCCATGGCCCTCTTGTTAAAACTCAAGTTCACCAATTGTTTGATTTTCTTAAGCAATAGGAAGATTGTGCTTAATTTGAGTGGGCTTATGCATGTTTACAGTATCTAATGGGTCTTATTGTCCTTACATTTGAGTGGGCTGATGCTTGTTTACAGTATCTAATGGGTTTTATTGTCCTTACATTTGTGTGGGCTGATGCATGTTTACAGTATCTTATGGGTCTTATTGTCCTTATGTTTGTGTGGGCTGATGCATGTTTACAGTATCTAATTGGTCTTATTGTGCTTACATATAAGTGGGCTGATGCATGTTCACAGTGGGCTGATGCATGTTTACAGTATCTAATGGGTCTTATTGTCCTTACATTTGAGTGGGCTGATGCCTGTTTGCAGTATCTAATGAGTCTTATTTTCCTTACATTTGAGTGGGCTGATGCATGTTTACAGTATCTAATGAGTCTTATTGTCCTTACATTTGAGTGGGCTGATGCATGTTTACAGTTTCATCCTTACATTTGAGTGGGCTGATGCATGTTTACAGTATCTATTGGGACTTATTGTCCTTACATTTGAGTGGGCTGATGCATATTTACAGTATCTAATGGGTCTTTTTATCCTTACATTTGTCCAGGTGAGCTTTGTAATTGTTCATTAACTGTGTATGCTTATTTCTTATGATAGCCTTGTCTTCCTTTTAATTTCACACAGTATGCTCTCAGACTGGGTGAACTTTTTTTTTCACAGTAACTCTTTAAAAAACGTTTATGTGATTTTACTACAGGATCAAACTATTAGTTAATCTCTTTGGACAAAAATAACATGGGTAAAAAATTTCTCAAAATACATTTGTTTTCCTAAGAATATAAGTGTAACCATTATAACCTTAGCAGTATTGAAATTCCATTTCATTATCAGTAGTTTATGGTAGAAAACTATTAACAGTGGTCTTAGCCAGCTTTCAGTGTTTAATTTTCACTCATTTTCAGCTGCTTTTGGAGGAGTTGACATGCACGGTTTACAAAAAAATGACTCTTGGACCCGTCTTGCTCAGACCGCCAGTCCTGGGGACACTCAGATCACCCTGGACTCCACTGTAGAGTGGGTTGAAGGGGATGAAATTATCATTGCCCCCACAGGATACAAACTGGAAGAAGTGGAGAGATTTACAATCACAGGCATCTCTGGAAATTCCATTACATTAGATGGTCCACTACAGTACAAGCACATTGGTCAGTATTTGTGTCACAGCTTGTGCATTATTGAAATTGATAAGATTTATACTATTGTGGGCCACTAATTTGATGGATCTTGGTCTACAATGTATACCATTAAATTTGGCAGGTATAAATTTTGGTGAATACTATCCCATATAATTGAAATGCATTGTTTTTGTGTATGCAACTGAATTTTATCTTTTGTCAGCTTTAGCAACAAAATAAAGTCAAATATGAAAAGCTTTTATAAAATATTTACAAATGTATACATGTATATGTTCATATTCACCATGCAGAGACATAAATAAGAGATTTGCAACTCTGCCATTCACATGTTTATTTTTGGAAATTGTGATGGTCCAGCATTATTCTTAAACATACTCTTTAATGGTATTATATTTCAATTTAAAGTTAAATGAATATTAATTCTGAATATACGAGTGTAAAATCTTTTAATTTTTAAAATTATAGATTGATGAAAAAAGGCAAACAAGGCAGATTGATTAGGTCAATGATTGAAAGTTGGCAAATTTTCCAAGAAATGACTGACCATGGGTCACTTGCAGCTTTGTCAAATATTTGCATTGTCATTGTATTTAATGAAACAATTGTGTATATGAAACATTGTAATAATCCTTGATTTCAATTTAAAGTTCGACTTTGTTATACTTGATAATTTCAAAGATTTATTTGATATAAATAGAATGAGATTTGAAAAAAGTAAACATTAGGAACCAGGAGATTTTAAACTGTTGCAAACCTTATTATTTATATCTCTAATATTTACACTTTTCGGGCATCACTTAAGATACTTTCTTGATCATACACTGCAAACCAAGCATATACAAGAGTAAACTTAATGATTTAAAAAAGTAGGCAAAATTATTTCCCCATCAGAATAACCAGCTGTACAGTAAGTTTTTATAACCTATTTTTAACAAAACTAATGACTATTAGCCACATGTTTGTTTTGTTTTTTTTTAGCACACACACATATTGCCAATGGTAAAACTAATGACTATAAGTCACGTGTTTGTTTGTTTTTTTTTTTAGCACACACACATACAGCCAATGGTAAAACTATGACAATGGCAGCAGAGGTGGGGAGACTGACGCGGAACATTCGATTTGAAGGAGCAGTTTACCCTGACATACAGGAGGAAGCCTTCGGAGCCAGAATGATGGTGTCCAGAATGGTCAAAGATGGACAGCTTCACATAGGTACCTAGATAATTCTGTCAGTTTATAAGGGAAATTCAACTGAAAGTCAGAGTATTTTTCTAAGAACATCAGTATGTATTCAGTGTGTATCTCTTGCTTCATTCAAGCTCATAAAATAAGATTTTAAATGTACCAGCACTGTTTTTAAAGAAAACTCTTTAAAAAAAAATCCCCATGCATATAATATTGTTTGATATTCTGGCATTAGATTTAGAGAATTGTTTGCTTCAAATTCAGGATATGCCCGACTTAGTAATGTGGAGTTCCGGTACACAGGACAGGAAGGGTATGTAGAGCGGGGAGATTCTCGGAGTTCCCTGGCTTTTACAGATGCTGGGACTGTCAGCAACATAAAGCCATCAGCTGTCCAGAGTTGTTCCTTCCATAAAAGTTTTGCCCCTGCTATCACCATACATGGCACAAACAAGCTACCTGTGGAATGGAATGTCATGGCAGACTCGGTGTGGTTTGGTAAGTACAGGGTTTGGCTGACTTTAGATTCTTTCTGACCTGTCTATCTCTGTATTAGATTTTCCTCAGGTTCTCTGTAGTAAAACTGACTTGAAGCTGAGTAATGAGTAGACTGACATTAAAGTTCATTGAACACTTTGTCATTAAATATACAAAAATAAGTACTGTTACAGTGAAACTTGTCTAATTCGAATGTTGTGTATTCCAAAATCTTCCTAATACAATGTCAATTTCAAGTCCCTTTCAATAAATTCAATTGTTAAAAAATGTTGTCTAGTAAGGCCAATTTCTATGGAACCAGTGGTGTCTGGATTGGACAAGTGTCACTGTATAACAACAAAGGGAAATGATCCACCATTGTCATTAATTAAAGGAAAATACACAAATACTAAGACACTCAAATCCTTCAAAATTACGTTGTTTTAGTCTTGTTATGTTTTAGTACATGGGAGTATGACTTATGTACTTTTTTTAAATGTTTTACTATAGTGTATGTTACAAACATATCTTATTTCCTTGTATTATAGCTCTGCTGGTCAGAGAACAGAAAACAACTTTTGCAAGGTGTCTGTCTGTCTGTAAACAATTTTTCAAAATGCTACTCCTAAGTTTTTGTCCAATTTTAAAAAGACATGCTAAACAAGTAGTCTATACTACAATACATAATATATCTGTTTTTGATTTCTGCAATGGTATTGCCATGGTTACTAAAAATAGATTTTTAAAAAATTCTCTCAAAATGCTACTCCTCCTAGAGTTTTTGGTCTGATTTCAATAAGACTTCTTACACAAGTAGTTTAAACTAAGATACATAATTATGTCCATTAGTTTTTGATTTTGAAAAATAGAAATTTCTTTGAAATTCTTTCAAAATGCTACTATTCCTAAACAGTTTTGGTCTGATTTCCTTAAGACTTGGTACACAAGTAGACAGTGCTTTAATACATAATTCTATTTTTGATTTCTGATTTTGACATAAGCCATGCTTACTTAAAATAGAATTTGTTGTGAAATTGATTCAAAACATTACTCCTGCTTTAGTAACAGTCCAATTTCAATAAGACTTGGTTCATAAGTAGACTACTAAGATACATAATTCTATATATCTTCTTTTGATTTCAGTAATCATTGTTGCCATGGTCACTAAAAATTGAAATATCAGTATAATTGATTCCTCCTCCAACAGTTTTTGTTTAATTTAAGTAAGACTTGGTACACATATAAACTATACTAAGATACATAATCTGTGCATTGATTTTTGATTATGACAAACTGTGTTGCCATGGTTACTAAAACTAGATTATATCAGATATACGTTATATAGATTATACACAGATTCTGTGTATTTCCTCCTGCTACAGTTTATAAGACTTGGTACACAAGCAGACTACACTAACTAAAGATACATAATTCTCTGTATCAGTTTTTGATTTGACAAATGGTGTTGCCATAGTTACTAAATAGAAATTTCTTAGAAATTCTTTCAAAGCATTACTCCTTCTACAGTTTAGTTGGATTTCAATTAGACTTGTTACACAAGTAGACTAAGTTATATATATATATCTCTCTTTAATTTGTTATAAGTATACACCAGTAGAGCTACAGTCTCTTTTTATGAAGTACAGTCTTAAATTCAGAGAATATATCAATTCATATTGATTCAGACAGAAAAACAAGCAGTAGTTATTTGTTTTGTATTTTGCCTTTTTCAGCTTTGGAAACCACCAGTGCTAAGACCAAGCTGTCTCACAACTTTGTAACAAATGTGCAATGGGAGGGATGTTTTAATGGTCGATTCGAAGCCTTAAATGTGCGATACAATGGTGCCTTCAATTTGAACCATGCCAAAAACTTGGTATTGGAATATAATGCAGTGGGAGGGGCCCAGAGGATTGGTTATAACATACTAGGGGAGGAGTGTGGGGAAACAGCGGTCTGGAAAAACAATGTGGCTCATACTACACTCATAGGGGTAGCTAATATCCAGTTACAAACTCCTATTCCAGGTAAAAAGAAAGTTGTTATTACATCAGTCTAACAGTTGAAATAAATGTGATGTGACATTGAGTATAACTTATACAATCAAGTTGTATTAAGCAACCTATCAAGGGTAATTCTAAAACTGGTCACATATGACAGGTAGTCTCTCAAAACAAAGATTGGCATTCTAGCAAATTTTGAAGTATACATCATAAATACTAAAAAGTAATACATATTGATGAGAACTATTCACTGCATCAACATTTTGACCTTGACTTTTTGTATGACCTTGACATTTTTCTTAAATTTGTGTTAAGCATATATCTGCACATTGGGGTAGGAAACTAAACATTTTATTGATCGAAAGCAGGTCTAAATGTTGCTACATTCAGGATCTTTAACTACTATAGGACTGAAAATGACAGTCGCATGACACATTAGACAAAGAGTCACTGAATGCAGGAAAAAAGAAAAATTCTCGTGTGGAATTTTGTAATGGTTGCATATACCGTATAACAGATGGTTGCTATATACATGTATAAGGTGGTTGCTGTGACAGGTTTGACTGTATAGAGACAGAGAAGTTATTCTCTTTGCATGTTGTCTTTCTGTTATAAACTTTAAAAATATTGTTGATACAGCTGGTATGGACTGTGTTCAAATAAACAACTTTGAAGTATGGAAGAACCTGGACTATGGAATTTACTACAATAACTTGGTAAACACTGTCATAAAAGGAATAAAGGCAGCAGATAATGGGGTCAACATCTTCCAGTTCATCATTGGACCACATGCTGTACAACACCTGTATGAAGACAAATTTGCCAAAGTTGAAGATGCCATCATCATAGGTACCTCAGATGCTTTTGATTGCACTACAGATGTCCCCAATACCAATGACTGTAACATCAAACTTAGTAAGCAGAGCCGCGCCCACAGTGGGTCAAGAAGACTTGGTGTTACCATGCCAACATTTTCTTCGGGAGGTAATAAGGCAACTGAAAAACCATTAGCTGGCATTAAGGCCTACCAGGCAATTGGAGGAAGAGCTTACGTGTCAGGTATGTATTTATAGCTTGATACATTTTAGGGGACAGAGAAATATGTTTTTCTTTTTAAAAATAAAATGTCCATTCATTAATAAATCTTTTTTCTGTTGAAGATGTTACTTTCTCTAAATTTGGTGACCGCTGCTCAAATGGAAGAGATATAGTCATAGCTCCGAATTTCAAGAATGATGATGGGAACCACAGGATGGAGACCACTAATCTGGTGTTGGTAGATGTTGAGGAGGATTCAAAGGTCTTCTATCCCAGATCAGACTTGGGGTATGTTTTTCTGAACTCTTTACTAAGTGGAGACTGGAATCAGCTTTTCCATCTGAACATGTGCACCTAGTATTTTTCTGATTTTTGAAAATTTACAATTTATGGCTTTTTAAAGATTTCTTTGCACTTAACTTTAAATTGAAATGAACCCCTTTGATTTTGTAGATTGATGATTCTGTAAATGTACCAATTACAAGTGATACCATAAAGTAAATTTACTAATTACAAAGGATTCCTCATAGTAATGTACCAGTTATATACTTGTAGGAAGATAAATCCCTCAGATTGTGTGGACATGGCTTGTGATGCTAAGATAAAAACACTGCTGGTTGACAAAGATAGCAGCTTCCTAGAACAAGCAGGTGCCGTCATCCCCCAGTCAGAGTTTCAGTGGAATGGAGACCCAGCTTACGGATTAGGGGACTATAGGGTTCCTAAAGAAATGCAAACCACTTTAGATGGGGAGAGAATTTCCATTGATACATTGGCTCCTCATAAAGGTAAATCTTAATTATGTGATGATTTTCTGTTACTGTAGATGATCACAAGTGTTATAAGGAACTAATGAACTGTATACACTGCTTTCAGGTATCATCCGAGACAACAGCTGTAGCTATGTCTCGGCCTGGCAGGCTTACAAGTGTCCTAACTCTAAACACTACACACTGACCATAGAGAGTCTGGACAAAGACACAGAGACAAGACGAATCTCACCTGTCGCTATCCTGGGAAATGGTTACCTTGACCTAATTAATGGCCCACAAGATCATGGCTGGTGTATGGGTTATACCTGTAGAAAAAGACTCTCTACCTTCCAGGCCATTGTGTCTCTTAGTAAGCAATGTACCGGTACTTCAAACTCATCTCAACTGTCATATCAAAATCTTTATTACATAAATTTCAGGCATGCGACAGTGTTTTTTTTTCTCTCGCTTCTAAGTTCTTGCACAGTTTTAAAATGTGTATTTATGTATGATAATCGTGAATTTATGAAATAAATTAAAGTTTGTTATTATACCCCCTGCAAACGAAGTTTAGGGGGGTATATTGGAATCAGCTTGTCCGTCTGTCTGTCCGTCTGTCTGTAGATGAGATTTTGTCCGGACCATTTCTTGGAAACTGTTGCAAGGATTTGTCTGAAAATTTGTACACTTATTCTTTGCCATATGAAGGTGTGCACCTGGTATTTTCATCATGATTGGATAATTTTTTTTGCATTTTACAGGTGTTTTTTTCATTTTTATTATGTGGTTTTGTCCGGATCTGTTCCCAGAGACTATTGCATAGATTTGTATGAAAATTTGTACACTTATTATTTACCATATGAAGATGTGCACCTGGTATTTTCAACATTATTTGATAATTTTTCTGCATTTTACAGGTGTTTTTTTTTTCATTTTTATTGACTTAGTCATTTCGGGTTCATGTCAAAGGTTTGAGACATAGAATCGAGAACATCTGTACAAAAATGTGAACTACAGCTTAAACTACTCATTAGAACTAAAAAAAAAATCACAAAGTATTAAAAACAGTTTTTACATGACACAGCAGATAGTGTAAATCCATTTGTCCCTTGGCAGTAATGAGTGGACATGCATCCAGTTAAAGATTAATTAATGAGTTCAGTGTGGGAAGCTGTTAGGGCATCTCTGATCAAGCAGGTCTTATCTATATCTCTGGGGAATTGGGCAGAAAGAAATAAAGATCTCTGTTGTTTAAGTCTCTTAATTGTAATTTATGTCTGTCAAAATACATAGTTACTGGAACCAGCCTTTTATTTTTAAAATGAGTGTGATATAAAGGTATTAAAATCAATTTGATTTTGTATAATTAATTATGATTTTTTTTTTTTGTCAACAATCAATTTGCAGAGTGTCATGTCTCACAAAGATGGCAGATAGTTGCAAACTATTTTTTCAATGTAATAAAAAACACTGTATTAGTATTGATGTTTTATTAGGCTGCACCTTAGTTTCATTCATTAAATAAAGTGCCCCACCACAGCATGATACACCCATCAAATATTTTTAAATTATCATAAACAGTTTAGATTCAATTGTTCGAATGACATCTTAGTGAGACAAGGCAGTCTGCAATTTGTTGTAAAGATATAAAAATTAAAATAAAAAATGTACAATAAATAATTAGTTTAAATTATATTATACAATATCATATAAGTTTTGATTATTATATACAATATCAAATTAGTTTTAATTACATCAAATTTATCTTGAAAGTAAGACTAGCCAACAAGAACAATTAAGAGACTGATTCCTTTTGCTCAATTCCCAAGAGATGTAGATAACACCTGCTTGATCAGAGATGCTCTACCAGTTATCTCCTCACACTAAACTCATTAATTTATCTCTAATTTAACATGCAATTTTCTGCTATCAAAATTTTCCTTGACCAGTGCCTGATCATTACACCCATGGGAGAGGTGGAATTTTTCTTGTTACAGATTGCTATAAAGAACATAATGAAAAAAATAAGACTAGTGTTTTCTTGATTTAACACTTTTTTTTAATAAAGATACTGCAATACTCTGACATCTTTTGGGATTGTGTAATTTAAAAGTTAAAAGACATAGTTTTTTGATTCTAAGTCTAATGGTTTTCTAGTTATGATTTTTCCATATTTGGCCATAGCGTCTTTATTAAAGGTCAGAGCGACCTGGTTTTAATGTGCGACACACCTTCTACCCTAGATGTATCAGCTGACAAAGTTTGATAATTCTAGGCCTAACAGTATTAAAGTTATGAGCCGGACATGAAAAAGCTAACAGACGGTCGGACATGAACGCTATAACATAATACGTCCCGTCTTAAGACGGGCGTATAAAAAATATAATGAGTAATTAAATTTTCACTGTAAATGTGTAAGCAAATTGTGAACACCTCTCACATCTAGAAAACATAAGTGATTTGGTACATTCTCTGAAAAACCCAGCGGGGGGTATTTGTCCCTTTTGGACAGTTCTAGTTTACCATTGTAAAAATGAATTGTGAAGAAATTAAACATTAGACGTTTACTATTTTCTTTAAAGATGCATCATATCATTTCTATTACAGACCAGAATTATCTCTTACATTACACTGGTACATCTCCTCAGAATTCCCGCTTTATGATGCTGGATGTTGAACAAAATGACTGCATTCAGCTATCCATCTGGTACTCTCAGCCCTGGCGTTTAGATGTCTATCATGAAAATGTGTATATCATGCCAAAAAATGCTAGACATGTTGGAGATATGAACACCATTGTTTATGATCCTCCCCCGGTAGGGGAACCAGACAAATTTAAGCCCAGTGCTGCCACCTGTGTAGATAAATCTGGGTCAAACTTCTATGACAGAGATGCTGGCGTACTAACCATCCTCATTAAGGGTCCTAAACCAGTGAGTATTGTCACCGTGGACTCCATCATTGTCTCCTTTCAGTTTCCTCCGATGACGCTGGATGAGTTCTACGGTAAAAATATCATCATGAATCTAGCAGCTTTCTTGGATATTGATCCTAATTTTGTTAGAATCACTGACATCCAAAGGGAAACTCAAGAGAGACGAAGGAGAAGAAACGCTAATGAAAATATTGAAGGAGCTACCATTGAAATCAGCAACCCACCAGGTAATGATTAACATCATTGATTCATTTGTATATATGCTTAAAAATTTCACCCTCAGTTTCATGTGCACTGTTTGCAATTATCCACAGACATAAAATTTAGAAATCTTTTAGATAAGGCAATATAAATCTTTACAAACAAATCAGATTAAATAGAATTTAAAAAAAATAACATTAAATTCATTTGTTAATTCAATTTAGGGGAAATATGGAGGGAAATTTGTTTGTGCATGATGTGTAGAATCCTTTCATTTGATCAAAGGATGTTAGCATAAATTAACAGGCAAATTACTGATATGGAGCTATCCCTTATTGTTTGCTTCAGGTACTCCTGTTGATTCTAGCAGCTTGACAAGTGACGATTTACAAAAAACACGCACTGATATAATCAACGCTGTACAGCTGACTAACCTCACCACAGACACTCTCAGTTTGAGCTCCGGTACTTCTGTCTCTGTCTCTAGAGAGATGCCGGTGTCTGACAGCCCAGAATGGCAACAAATGACTGGCAACGGAACCGACGGCTACGTGGTGATACAGAAAGCAGATCACATGACCTTCCACACGGAACTCGAACCTCTACATGAAGGGACTCCATTTAAAAAACAACCAAAGATCCAAGTTAGGGATAGTCAGGTAAGATAAGCAATGTAACATCTTTTAAAGATCAGCAAAATCTAGTCCATGAAAACTGTTTTTATTAAACACTTAATTATGACACATAGATTGTTTATCTGTCTTAAACGAAACCTATGCTTGCAAGAGCTTGAAGGGTATGGAAATTTGGAAAAATACTTAATATCCACCCATGGGGCTCAGAATCTCTATTTTTAGCTATTATGTATTTTTACCCTATGGATGTGGAAAGAATATGTGTTTAACACATAAAAAAACCTTGATACATGTAGTACTTAAATCAATCAGCATGCAAATTATGATGACCCTGTCCACTTCCATGCACCAGTATTTGAATAAATTTCTGTACTGTTTAATACATGTATATACTGTAAATCACTTTTTATTCTTGAGAACTTTATTTTCCCGTAATTAAATGAGACAGTCTTCTTGCAGAAATTTCATTCTTGTGAACTATTTTATTTGTGTAGATTATATACAAAAATAACCACAATTTGTGAAAATTTTGTCTCTCTTACAAATACCAAATACATATCTAACAAAAAATAAGGTGCTGTGATATTTTGTGATCTACAATAGCATATGCACTTGTTCATTTTTATTCCCCGCCATGAATATGGCCAGGGCATATAGTGTTCGTCATGTCCGTCTTCCGTCCTTCTGTTCCTCCGTCCTTCCGTCACACTTTGCATTTAGCTCTGTTCAAAGCTCAGTTTCAAAGAAAGATATTTTTATCAAAATTCATATGCTAATAGATACTGATGAGAGCTATGCAACTGCATCAACATTTTTTGACCTTGACCTTTCATTTGACCTTGACCTCACTTTTCTTAAATTAGTGTTTAGCTCAGTTTTAAATATACCATTCAAGATAGTGTAATCAAACTTCATATGTTGATACATACTGATGTAAGCTATTCAACTGCATCAACATTTTTTGACCTTGACCATTCCTTTGACCTTGACCTCACTTTTCTTAAATTAGTGTTTAGCTCAGTTTTAATGAAATCATTCAAGATATTTTTATCAAACTTCATATGCTGATACATGCTGGTAGAGCTTTTCAACTGCATCAATATTTTTGACCTTGACCTTTCCTTTGACCTTGACCTTACTTTTCTTAAATTAATGTTTAGCTCAGCTTTAAAGATACCATTCAGTACAGTATTATCAAACTTCATATGTTAATACATACTGATGAGAGCTATTCAACTGCATCAACATTTTTTGACCTTGACCTCACTTTTCTTAAATTAGTGTTTAGCTCAGTTTTAATGAAATCATTCAAGATATTTTTATCAAACTTCATATGCTGATACATGCTGGTGAGAGCTTTTCAACTGCATCAATATTTTTGACCTTGGCCTTTCCTTTGACCTTGACCTTACTTTTCTTAAATTAATGTTTAGCTCAGCTTTAAAGATACCATTCAGTACAGTTTTATCAAACTTCATATGTTAATACAAACTGATGAGAGCTATTCAACTGCATCAACATTTTTTGACCTTGACCATTCCTTTGAACTTTTAAAGACCTCACTTTTCTTAAATTAGTGTCAAACTTCATATGCTGATACATACTGATGTAAGCTATTCAACTGCATCAATATTTTTTTTTTTACCTTTCCTTTGTCCTTGACCTCACTTTTCTCAATTTGTGTTTAACTCAGTTTTAAAGAAAACATTCATAATATTTTTATCAAACTTCATATGCTAATACATACTGATGTAACCTTTTCAACTGCATCAACATTTTTGACCTTGACCTTTCCTTTGACCTTAACTTCATTTATTTTAAATTAGTGTTTAGATCAGTTTTAAATAAACCATTCAAAATATTTTTATCAAACTTAAATATGCTGATACATATTTGTGAGAAGTATTCAACTGCATCAAAAACATTTGACCTTGAAATTTCCTGTGACCTTGACCTCACTTTTCTTAGATTTGCATTTTGTTTAATTTTAAAGAAACCATTTAAGATATATTTATGTAAGTTTATGCACTTATACATAATTTGGCGAGAATTTATCATCTATATCCAACTTTTTAAATTTCAATTTCAGTTTTCAAGAAACTATTCAAGATATTCTCATCAAATTTCATACACTAAAACAAATTTTCATGTTGCATATATTCGATTTCTAGGGGGAGATAATCACAATGCTGGGGGCAGAGGAGAACACTTGGAAGATTTCTGCATCAATCCGGGAAAACACAGGAAATCCAGATGCTGTTCTTCTGGGAACTACAACTGTTCAGTTTGTCAATGGCATGGCAACCTTCACTGACCTTGCTATTTCCCATTTTGGCACAGACTACATACTTGACTTCGCGGTCAACGAACCTGAAGTGGGAGAACCTTTTATGATTGCATCCCAGGCCTTCACTCTGCCAGGGAGACCTATTGTAGGAGCTGTTAAGTCGAAGCCCCCCATCATAGTGGAGAGATCGTCGGCTCCTATCACACTGGAACTAAGGGACAGAGTCACAGATGAAATAATTAATGATATTGACTGGAGGGTAAGTTCCTTGGGAAAATCAAGTGGTGTATAATTCTTGTACATGTTTTTTTTTCTCTGCTTCTCTCTCTCTCTCTCTTTGTAGTTAGTATGAATTTTCAAGAAATTACAAATTTCCAGGTAGAATGTTTTCTTTCTTTTAGGGTCATTCTTGGACAGTTGCTGCAGAAATTGGAATGAGTGAATTATATGATGAAAATATCATGGATCCTAAAACCACCACTTTTGATGTAAATTCTGGACAGGCATCATTTAATGACTTGTTATTCTTCACCTCTGGTGTGTATGTAATCAGATTTAACATTACATCTGATCCAGCAGACTATAACATTGAGCTCCAGGAAATAGTGGTTGTCAGGGGCATCAGTCAGCAGGGGATAACCACAGACACTGTGAAGGAAATAGGACTCAAATTTGATGCCAATTTTGATAACATTGTTGGAGAAAGCAGAACCAAATACTTTTCTGCTATGGTCCTGAACTGGGTGGCCAACAACTTTACTACTGTTATACCAGAACCTAAATTAGTTTACAAAGGTAAGGCTTGCATTTCAGTTATGATGAGAGAAAGACAGACATTAGAAATTCTCTAAAAAAAATTTTGCAAAATACTAAAAAGTTAAAGTTGCAATCACTAGGAAAGCTGAATTTGAGAATATGTTGAATTTGGGTTTATATCCTTTCTTTTCAGGGAGTATTATGGTGACCTTCAATCTAGGTGGTAACGAGGTCAATGTCACATCGACCATCAGTGACTTATGCATCGCTATCCAAAATGGCACAGACTTTATATTTGTTGGACAGAGCCTCACCCTCAGTGGCTACATGACAGTAGATGGAAATAAGTATTACGGAGTCTCGTGTGGGGTGGTATGTCATCTTATCTATACATACTTTAAAATTACTTGTATTACGCAAAACATAAAATACAATACTTATGAACTGGAAATTCTCCAACAATTTTTTAATCTGTTTTAATGTAGTTATAGAATTTGTAAGTATGAAGATTTTGTTTTCTTTCAGATATCCTCCAATGATGGTACAGACAGCGCGATCCCAATCATAGCTGTGGTTGCGGCGGTTGGTGGCCTTCTGCTGATAGCAGTCATCATCTTAATAGCCTGCATGTTGCATAAATCCAAAGTCGCCCCAAAAACCAAGACACATGACCTTAAGGAAGTTCTCTATAATGAAAAATCCTTTACGAGTATTCGCAAACAGTATCCTCCTCATTCCACCACACTGACGGGTGAAAAACGAACTGCAGCCGATTACTGGAAAATGTAAAAAAAAAAATCAATGGACACTGAATTCTAAGAGTTCAGAATCATGATTTATGTCTCTTTCATTACATACCTAGAATTTTATTTCATACCTAGACATAGTAGTTGCCAAGGAATACTCTATGCATCATTAGGTACATTTACAGTCACAGTATGAAGATCATGGTGTAAAACTTAATGCTGGCCTGTTTTATGAGATTTTAACAAATACTACCAGTACTGACTTTCTCAAATTATTTTCCTTTTTAAAATGACAAAAGATGGATTATTGACATTTTAATGTCCATTCTTGCAAAATACATTCTCCGTCCTTGCATTAATTTTTGTATTCTTTCTACTTGTTCAGTATTAAATAATAAAATTTTGTGAAATTACATTATATGATACAAAGGATTTAATCTGTGATATTTTTTGCAATACATGTATTAGCTATGTTCTTTGTTTAATGCTTTTGCATTTGCTTGCAATCTTCTGTGAATACAGAAAAAATGTCTGTGATCTTTAATTTGTTATTCTTAATCATTGTTCCTGCATGTTTACAAATCTAGATAAGTAATTTATAGATTAAATGTCTTTTGTATACAAAACATGTATGTTCTAATTTTAATTTTTACGGTAGGTCTTCTGATTCACTCAGATGATCTATTGCTATCTGTGTTCGTCCTTCATCGTGGGGCATGTATTGTTTGTCAGTCATAAACTTTTGCACATTTTCAGCTTCTTCTTTTAAACCACTAAACTAATTTCAACCAATTTTGGCATATAGCATCAATGGGTGAAGGGGTACAAATTTTTTAATTTCATGGTCCCTGTCCCCCTGAGGCCTGAAGGAGGGGGCTTAAACCTTCAAAATTAGTGCTACCTTTAAAAATCTTATTCTTTACTTCTGTACAACAAGCAGTCATACTTTTGGTATGATTGTTATAAGCATTTAGCCCTTTTCTGATATTATCAAATTCTGTTACCAAGTACTAGTCCACTGTAGAAGTACTTGGCACTAATTTACTCTATGTACGCGGTCAAACATTTTCTGAGGACATTTGCCCCAGTGTACTTAAAGTACATTGAAGGCATATAGTGGCAATCTAAGAAATCAGTGTAATTTTCTACCTGCCGATTAAACAAAAATTGCAATTCCACAGAATTATAACCTATGCTGTACTTCCAGTACAGACATCCCAAGATCTCCTTTCCATGGCAGAAGTTTTATGAGCAGCTCCTTTCTCAATGATTATTAGCACTACCTGGACAAGATTCACATGGATAGTGCATCTAGGAATGTGTGCCACTGGTATTTTTCCCAGTGCCACATCTGCAAGTGGTCAGCTAAGTTAAAGTCTTTCTCATCTACAAGGATCAAACTTGCATGGATGATGCATCATACCACCAGACTATTAATGGTGTATCCAGACTACATTTCCCAGATATGTTACTTAGGTAAATCCCAAGTAAATACTTACTGTCCCCAATTAGATGAAACTTCCATGGATTGTATGCAGGTACAGAAGCATACAACTGTATCAAATTTTTTTTACCCTGACCTTCCGAATTTTACTTTGCATTTAGCTCATGTCAGTTTCATAGAAACTACTCAAGATATTTTTATCTAAACATATACCAATATATATTGGTGAGAACTGTGTCCAAACTTTTTCAGGAACTAGGCTAGTGAGTAAGAAAAGTTGAAACAATTGAAACTTTCCTGACATAGTTTAAGTTTCAAATTTGTTCAAATCATGGCCCCTGGGGCAACAGTGGCTGTCAGCTATCATCCGCAACTGTACTCGGCAATGTTGGTACCGGACATCCATGACTGTACCTGCTCACTAATATCAAAAACAGAATGTCAGAGCAAGATTTTCCTCCCCTGGGATGGGATGGGGTCACTGAAGAGATCAAATATTACATGGAAATATATAGGAAGAAATCTTTTAAAAATCTGCAGGGCCTTGATTGATCATACATACATGGAAGCATCTTCAGCTAGTGCAGATTCAAGTTTGTTGAAATTATGACCACCGGGGTTAGGGTGGGGCCACAATGGGTGATTGAAGTTTTACATAGGAATATAGAAGAAAAATCTTTGTCTCAAGAAAAGCAAAGCCTTATTTGATCATATTTATATTTAAACAATGGGAAATCAAAGTTTTACATAGGACTTCATAGGAAAAATATTCCTTTATTCCTTCTCAAGAACTGCAGGGCCTTGATTGGTCATATTTAAATAGGTATTGCAGATTCAGGTTTGTTCAAGCCCCCAAGGATAGGTTGGGGCCACAAGAAGGGATAACATTTGCATAAAAAACTTTTAACTTTTCCTCTTGAGAACAAGGTCATGATATGCTAGCATCCGCAGGTAATGTAGATTAAAGTCTGTTCCAGTCATGGTTCTGGGGGAGAGTGGGGTCACAAATGGGAGTCAATGAAGGAATAAGAAAAATCTTTTAAAAATTGTTTGCATGAGGGTAGGTGTGGGTGTCATGTATTAAAATTTCTAATTTCATTTACTCATGAAGTTAATGCAAGCAAACTGCATATAAAGATTAATCATCAAACTGTAAAATATACATGACGTCTTGGCCAGCGTTTCAGGTGGGCCCAAGTGGTCATGGCCTGAAAACCTCGCTACTCAGGTCACCATTAAGGCTCATGGGTCTCGTTTTACTTCTTTATCCAGATCTTGTCCTCAATTTCAATCAAACCTTGCTGAAGTTTTATCCCCTGCTTTCATGAAAGCCCAAGGAAATTCTTATTCATATGTCTGTCACAAAACCTCTCTTTTTAACTTTTCAGCGAGAAGAGAGCTGATGTGCATTATTTTCAACACTTATTTCCAAATGTTTAAAATTTCTGACCTCATGACCTTGAAGTCTTCCATATCCAAAATGTGCATTACTAGTGACATGACATTTCCAAATGTTTTGGACCTCATGACCTTGAAGCTTGACGTACTTTTTGCTTTCAAAATCTTCTTTCTACTAGTGCATTTAAACTTTTGTAGTTTTCTTTAATGCTATTAAACTGATTGGTACTTTCTAAATGGTGTTCACAATGACACACACAGGACACACTGAGAAACTTCCTACACCCAACATGTTTCAAGGAGACAAGAATGAAAGAATGACAAGAAATTATTTGTGGAGACAAGTTTATTTAACTAAGCATCCTCTCCTTCATCACCCTTGGTCATTCGTGTATAGATCAGCTGTGAGTGGTGCTTGGACACCAATCTGATTTTACCTACAACAGAAAGGTGAATCTTAATGCAGTATATAATTCTGTTTATTTTTCATACTCTGATTTCATACTTTGACAAAGATTTTTATCCAGAAATTCAAGCATAAAATTATAACACCATCATGACTTAGTGCCCAGTCAGCCTTCTACCATCATTTGACAAAGCATCTCATTTCATAAATCATTAAAAGAGCAAATTATCTTTTCATTTTGTTACACTTGTAACTGGAAATGAGAAAATGTATGACCGGACCAGAAATCGAACCTGGGACCCCTGCATTATTGGTCAGGTGCTCTACCAACTGAGCTATCCAGGCCGATACCTATGGCCCAAACCATTACATATTCCTGTTTACTTCCATAACCCTCTGTGGATGACTTGTGTTATATAACACACCCCCCCCCCCCCCCATTTATCACAACATTATTAGGCTAACCAACCAGAAGTCTCTGATGAGACTGTAGCTCTACTGGTCTGTTTGTATAACAAAAGAAAAGTAGCACTTGGATTTGAAACATTGCAACATGCAACAATGAATAGAATTATGTATCTTAATGTAGTCTACTTCTGTGCCAAGTTATATTGAAATCAAATAAAAACTGTAGGAGGAGTAGCGTTTTGAAAGTATTTCACGGAAATTTCTATTTTTAGTAACCATGACAACACCACTCACCCAAATAAAAAAAACAGAAATACATATTATGTATCGTAGTGTATTCTAACTGTGTGCCAAATTAGATTGAAATCAGACCAAAATTGTAGGAGGAGTAACGTTTAATGGGAATTTCACAAAAATTTCTATTTTAAGTAACCATGGCAACACTGTCTATCGAATTCAAAAACCAATGCAATAAATTATGTATCTTAGTATAGTCTTCTTGTATGCCTAATTATATTAGAAGCAGACTAAAACTGAAGCAGGAGTAGTGTTTAAAAGGAATGTCACAGAAATTTCTATTTTTAGTAACCATGGCAACACCGTCCATTGAATTCAAAAACCGATGCAATAAATTATGTATCTTAGTGTAGTCTACTTGTGTGCCAAGTTATATTGAAATCGGACCAAAACTGTAGGAGGAGTAGCGTTTTAAAGGAATTTCACAGAAATTTCTATTTTTAGTAACCATGGCAACACCGTCCATTGAATTCAAAAACCGATGCACTAAATTATGTATCTTAGTGTAGTCTACTTGTGTGCCAAGTTATATTGAAATCAGACCAAAACTGTAGGAGGAGTAGCGTTTTAAAGAAATTTCACAGAAATTTCTATTTTTAGTAACCATGGCAACACCGTCCATCGAAATCAAAAACCGATGCACTAAATTATGTATCTTAGTGTAGTCTACTTGTGTGCCAAGTTATATTGAAATCGGACCAAAACTGTAGGAGGAGTAGCGTTTTGAAAAATTGTTTACAGACAGACGGACAGACAGACAGACAGACAGACAGACAGACAGACGGACGGACGACGGACACCTTACTATCGCATAAGCTCTTCTGGTCCCTGACCAGTAGAGCTAAAAACACTGCTTTCACTGCTCATTTGTAGTGTTAATTATAATCATGGATATACAGGAACAGGAAAAGAAGATGTTATTTATCAATGTTTCACAATTATCCTCTAAAAGAATGTAATTGCCAAACAACTAAAGCCATCCTTAAATTTTACAGGTCTGATAGAGTACATCAAAACAAGCAATTTTCTTTGTTGGCCTGACTAAGTGAACACTAGATCAAGTGATCATTAGAATAGTAGAAAAATATGTGTATTATTTTACAGAACAAGGTGGAATGGTTGTTTCCTGATTATTGAGAGGGTCACCACTTATTGACAATTTGGACTATAATGTATCATCACAATAGTAAGGCCATGGTCACATGAACCATTCTGGCTTTCATAATCACTGTCAGGGTATTGAAATACATCTCAACCACTGTGAAGTAATTTAAATACATTTCCTCCATTGTGAAGTAATTTTCCTTTATCTTAACCAAGAAAATGGTTCAAAGTTGTTTTCATTACAAGACAAGGGTGTGCAATTAAGATTGCCAGATGCCTGGGACTTTCCCTTTTTAGGGCTGGGCTACTAGTTTTCTGCAAGGAGCAAGCCCTTGAGCTAGAAAAAAAACAAACTACCCATGTTATGCACGAAAAAGCAATACAGGTATTTTCATCCCATTTTTTGCATGTAAATTCCCAACCAATGAAAAAAAAAATCCAAGCACGATGGTCCTATAGTTTGTAAATCTCCATCATCTAACCTTTTTTGTAACTTACTTTTAATCCTAATCAGAATTTCCTCCATTCTTTATATATGTTGATATCCGAATAAATTATTTCCTCAATCAACTAAAGAGTAAGTATTACGTGATATTTCCAGTGCATTTAATTATTTAATATGACCCCCCCCCCTTCCAAAAAAAGCTATTCTAATGACCAGAAAAAAGGAAGATAATTTTAATTAAATTCATTTTTTTCTATGATTATTGGTTTATATAAGACAAGATTCAATTTTCCTACCGAGAATTAAACTTTAATAGAATGGCCTTAAGACACCAACTTTTTCCAACAATAAACTAACATCCCCCATACCTTTGTGCTAGTAACTTTTTACTTCAGGCTAGTGATTTTATTGCTGCCATTAGCCCCTAGCTAATTCTTAAATTGCACACCCCTGAAATGTGTACCCTTACCATCCTTGCACAGAGATCTGAGAGCCTGCTTTGCCAAGGATCCTCGAATCTTCATTCTTTCTGACACTACAGATGGAGTGATTAGTTTGTATGTGGGTACCTCTTTCAGAAATTTGTCATATGTAGCTTTATCAAATAAAATCAAGTTGTTCAACTTGTCCCTGACTTTTCCCTTAGACCACTTCTGCAAAACAGGAAATATATCGACTTTTACACACAGGTTAAGAAAATACTTGTATAAATATCTGAAAATTTATGAACTGGTACACCAATACATCATTGTTCTTCATTACATAGGGCATATTCTCAATAATCCTAACTGCAGGCAGGCATATTTTAAGCTGATTTCTTACTGCATTATAATGAAGAAGTCAAAGAAATCATCAAATTAAAATATGACAGGTAAGAAAAGTATTCATCAGAAGCATCCCTCCAATATTATATCAATCATATAATTTATCTTTCAATGAAATTTGCACAGGCATCTGAAGTGTGGATAACATCTCTCTTCAACCCCCCCCCCCCCCCCCCCACTTCAAAAATATAAAAAATATAATGAATCTCTATTTTCTCCAAAATATGTGATTTCTCTGTCAATTCCATCTATTAGTCATTCTGTGCAATTGGTTTGGATTAATACAAAGAATGACATATAGATGGAATTGAAAAATAACATATTTTCTAGAAAATACAAACTCCTTATATTTTAGAAGTGGGGTGGGTAGTTATGAAATAGATAGATGTATCTTATCCATGCTTCAGGTGGCTGTGGAAAAATTGAAGATAACAGTTTTATTAGGTATGCACAACAGAGGATAACAAATGCCCATTTTATCCTTTCAAGACCTTAGTCAACTCTGATCGTTTGAAGATACAGATAGATGTTAGAAATACCAAAGTTCAACTATATTTAAATTTCAAAAGCACCTGCCTATTAACTCATATGCATCTATGATGAAATAGATTACCTTCTTTTTTGCTTTTCCTCCACCTCCCTCCTTCTTTTTAGCAGGGGCTTTCCCACCCTTTGCCCCTCCTTTGGGGTCAGCTTTCTTGGCTCCCTACAAAAACAAAATGCCAGTCTTACTCCTACTTCATGCATTTACATGAACATGCACATATACCACCTAAATCCATATTAAACCGGAACTGTAAATCACTTTATATTAAAAATCCATTTCTGATCATCTGCTTTAAAATTGCTTTATTAAAGACATGATTATCAATCCTAGCTACTGAGGGTGAGTGCAGTTGCCCTTAGCCTCTGGAATCCAAGATAAACCCTGAGTTAAGTGCAGTTGCCCCTAAGTTATCCGTCTTGGTTAAGATTCAAATAATTTTAAGAGAAGTTTTAGACTTGTTTACGATTTCGTTTCCACAAATTTCACCAACCTCTCTTTTATTTGTTTAGTTCAGAGACACTGATACAAATTGAAATTCACAAAGGACTGAGGTAAATTCTCTGTAATCAGGTCAAGTCCAAAGACTTTTTCTACCTATGTAGATAGTTATAAGGCCTAAAAAAAATTATGTTTGTTTCCTGCAACATTCCCAAAAAATCAAGGGTCGGTAGGTCGGGATTTTTTTTTTTTTTTTTTTTTTGCTTATGGATAATGGGGTCAAACATCCCCGAACTGAATTAACCAGGTATTATATATAAAGTGGACACCCAACATGGCTTCCTAGCGGCAGAAAATGAACTTCAGAAAGTTGTGGGTGGAAATTGTTGTTGCAATAATGATTACTCTTTATATTCAAGGTAAATGTTGACTAGGATGACATATTTTATATCTCAAATAAAGCTACAATTAATATTTTTTGAATAAATGGAATCAGCTGATAGATCAAACCAAAGAGCAAATGCAGATTTGGCAGAAAAAAAAATCCGCCCGGAGATAATTTGAATGGGTCGGTCGGGTTACAGGAAACAAACTTATTTTTTTTTTTTAGGCCTAACTACCAAGGTTTGGCCAAAAGTGGGAATGGCGCAATATCGTGAGTACCAATTTTCATGATACAAGCACACTGACAATGAATACAGCAAAAATTTTGGCCATAAAATGATCACTTTTTAACTTATCAATTTTGCATCAATAACTACATCCAGCTCCATTTTCTAGTGTCTAAGGATCAAAGCCAAGTGGCAAGAAGCCTAAAATGAATTACAAATCTGAATTAATTTTAAAACTTGTCTTCATGCATTCTTAGATAAAAGGTTTTGTGTCGATTTTTCATGCATCTCCTCTCCATTCTCCACCCTTGTAAAGTTTTTTTAATTAACATTCCAAATTTTGCTTTGCAAATGCACAACATGACAAACAAGTCTGACCTATTTTAAAGATGTGCCATAATTCTTATTTATTTCTATTTTTAAAGACAGGTAAAAGAAGGCATAAGTAGCTACTGCAAGTAGATTTAAATACCTATGTAGCTATTAATTAGATAGAACATTCTATCATTTAAATGATATTGTCCTACGGACCTGGTTTAACGATAGAATTCGTTCCGTGTATTGGCAATGTTGCAAAATAAACACGGGCAATAACTCTTACTCTGTGCATTTTCTATGAAAAATCCAGAGAGTTCCGAATGTCAACATGGCGTTAAATTTGAAGTGAGGAAAAAACGTTGAGAAAATGAGATTAATTTTTAGGTTAAAAGACATATACCATTTCAAAAAGGTTTGTTATGATTAATTTGGTAGTTATTTTCAGTGCAACTCCTTTTGTATTCTTCAAAATCATTTCGGAGTGAATCCACTGCGATTTGCTACATTGCAAGTATATGGGATGTATTCTAACTGTAGTGAGGGCTTGTCCTGAGACACAGTTAGATTATTCCAACTACTATTAAAAGCAAGCGCAGTGAGCGGCATGAAGCGACACTCGCAATGCGAGCTCTAACAGGGCTTTCACATCCATTTTTGTACTGGGGCCGGGGCCAAAGGAATTGGGAAAAAAGCGTTGTTTTTATAAAAATTGGGAAATTTTTTACCAGTCATAATTTTAACTCTTGAAACAAGAAAAATCAAATAAACACAGAATAATCATAGAAACTGAAAACAACTCATCTTATTTATTCAAGGTAGATCTTAATTAGACAAGTAATTGGCTGTTCAGACGTTTAGAACTTCAAAATAAAATGTTTGCCTTAAGATGTCCTGAAATGCTCTAGGGCTCTGGTCAGAACTTTAAATGTTTGTCTTTGGATGTCCTGAAATGCTCTAGGGCAGGGTTTCAGTAACCACTAACTCAGAATCAGAATCTGTTAATTGTAGAGCGGCAGTTTGTTGTTTAAACAAAGTGTCTATTTTCTTACATTTGTCAGCTGTCTTAGTAGAAATCTTTTTTCTATAGTATTCGCATTATGCAACATGTTTGTGAATAAACAAGTCGTACCTAAGAGAATTCGTAATTTCCTATAGTTGACTTTCGCTTTCATATTAAACTGGTTCCAGCATGTATACGAACTACCAGTTTACAACACGGAAGTGTTTCCTTCATATCTTCACAGTGCTTTTACGACAGTCAAAGATATGCTTTTTATTTTTTTTTTACAGTAATAAATTTTAAGCAATCATACATTGGGAATTTTTATAGTCAAATTTGGGAAAAAGGATGCCTTTTTCACGTTGGGAACGGGGCCGAATATCGGCCCCAATTAAAGAGAATCGAGTGCCCTGTCTAACGACAACCCCTGGGCAAAGAGAAAATTCAGACTTACACATTGATCCAAACAAATTTTTTTCCGCAGTAACTTTTGGACCCACAATGCATCGCTTGTTTAAGCTACGTTCTCGCGAGAATAGCAACAGAAGTTTAACAAAAAATAAACTCGCCTTGATTTAATGAATATATTGCAGATAAATAGTAAATAAAACGAACTTCATTAAAGTCAACAATGTTCAGGCTTCAGTTTGGTAATGCAACTTAAATACAACGTCATGTGACATCAGAGTCTAGACGGACCAAATGTCACATGCAGTTTGACGATCGAGTGCAATCTAAATTAAACCTGAATAAATATCTGCGCTCGCTCTAACGGTCGCACCGTCAACATTAGCTACATAGGTTGAAATAGTCTTTGGACTGGACCTCATGGTTATCCTTTCCTAGATTTCCCTGATGCAATGATAAGTAAATTATGGTAATATGCTGAAATTAATTGAAAGTTTTATCTGAAAATAACTCAGTGTTAGAGGCTGTAACACACAGTATACAAGGTTTTCCTTGACATTTAAGTAATCAAATGCCAAAAGCAAAGTTGTAATCATTCCATGTCTCAAACCATCTCCTGTAGATCTTGCAAAATTAAAAAGTTCAGAACGTAATTAATTTATTAAATTTAATGAAATGCACATCCTTTTGATTGTGGCCATAGAACAGACCTAACATAATGCAGATTTGACGTTTCGGATTCAATACCACTATCCCCCCTTTTCCTTATCACTTGTCATTCAATCTCGACCATTAAGATATAGGTATTCAGACACTTTTCAGGCCATATTCATAAGTGTTCGTTCTTCCTGCCAAAGAAAAATACTTGAAATAGAGAATAGAGTTATTAGGCAAGATTATGAGTCTCAATATTTGTTATACCATGCTTCTTGTTGAGAACCACGTGAAAAAGAGGCCAAATGTGGCCCACAATGCAGTAGCTTTTTTTCCGGATCCTTATATCAATTAAAAATGTTTTCTTTGATACCACTTTTGAGACAAAAAACGCAAGTTCCTTATTGTTTTATTGTAATTTTATACAAATCTTACATTGAAATGATAAACGAATTACTTTTATTGCTTATAATTGTTTTTAAATATTTGTTTCTATTGATATTAGCAACAAGCGCAGAAAATCTGCGCACTACAACAGTCAACACACAGAGGGAGGACAAGGGGAGCTGACGAATTAAATACCTTGAATGAACCTTAATTATATCACAGATTAATATTGTACAGTCGTAGGTATATTCTATTTAGAATGACTGAAAGACACACCTAAAGTCGAAGGATGGCCGATTCCACAAAAGAAATAATCAATGGAATAATTCAAGGATTTAGAGATAGCATTTTAGGTAAGATTTTTTTCATCATGACTATTACTGTAAAACATACAAAGCATGTAGATATGTGTAAGTTTTAGGCTGTAAAATGCCTGAAAAATAAATTTCATTACAATACAATACAATAGAGTTGTTCATGTTGTTTTTATGTGTCAAAGAAGTCATCAGAAAAGAAGTGTATTGTGTTCAACAGTTGTATACAGGACAGATGGAAGAGATTTGCTGTACCTGTAGAGTCAAACTGTATTTAAATGCCAAATCCATGAGCAGTTACTACAGTCATGTTTTCTGCAAACTGAAACAACTAATACTTAATGCCAACTTGTAAAACAGGCTGAGGCTCATAGAAGCCAAATGCTCCAGTGAGCTTTTCTCATCAATCACTACCATGGTCCCCATGATAGTGATAAAAATTTTACATGGGAATATATAAGAAAAAATGTTTAAAAATCTTATCAAGAACACAAGGGCTATGATTAATGATAATTGAAGCATCCCCAGGGAGTGCAAATTCAAGTTAGTTCAAATCATAGCCCCTGGGGGTAGGATGGGGCCACAATAGAGGACCAATATTTTAAAAGGAAATATATAAGGATTTTATTTAAAACAACTCTCCTGAAAAATAGCAGGGTCACATTAAATTGCATTCATATGGAAACAATCCCAAGTTGTGCGGTGGATTCATATTTTGTTTTCTAAATAATTTGGGATAGATTTGAACTAAAATCAGGGAGCAGTTTTTACCTCATGTGCATTTACTCATTCTGCAGAACAGCAAGGCCATGATAGTTTAAATGATATTGAGGCATCCTTAGGGTGTGGGGAATAAAGTTAGCTTGTGTTGTCTTGGGGCTAAGATGGTGTCAAGATATTGAGTAAGAATTTTTCATCTGAATTACCAGTAAGTAGTAAAGTAATTTTTTAAAAACTTCTGATGAAGAACAGTAGGGCCAAGGGTTACTCGGGTGAGTATTGTTGCCCATGGACCATATTTAATTTTTGTATGTTTTCCCTAATATTTACATTTTCCAATGCTTTGTTAATAATAAATACAAAAGGTCAAGGTCTCAGACACATGGGCAAGTCATATATTATTTTAATAATTCCTCAGAAAATTAAAAATAACATCGAGTATTAGTAAGAGTTTTTTTATGATATCTTGATGTGTGAAACATATTTGTGAGTAGAATCATTATTATCTCTTCTATTTTAATTACATGATATCATATAACAGAATATGTTGATGTTAATGGGGATTTAAACTACCAACAGGGATGCTATGTTAACTGATCAACTCTCCATTGTTGGTTCATATATCTTTTGCTGCTAAGGATGAAAGCAGTAGAAGGAAAAAATTCAATCAAAATTAACAATGTTTATTCTTATATAAACTAATATTTTTTTCAGGTATATTGAAAATTTTTAGATATGAAGCAACTGATTCAAGTAGTGATGGTGAGCAAAAGAAAACTGAACCAAAGACAACTCTGGCCCGTCGGAGAGCAGAAAAACAAAAACTAAAAGGAAGCTCTGAGGTCAAAGAAACTAAAAAGTAATTTTTAAACTCATCTGACATATGGACCCAATTTTTTTTTTTTAAATTTCTCTGGTGTGTTTACATCTTCGCTTTTGTGTGAATACATGTGTTCAGCATAATTTTTTCTTATTTTCAATGTCTCCTCCAGAACCCCATGTTTAATATTAATCTTCTCATAAACCACTAGACCAGAAAATAATTAAATGAAAGCTTGTAAATATTGAGTAGATTAAAGTGTGTTCATATCATGACTTCTGGGGCTAGGGTTAGGTCACAATAGGGATCAAAGTTTTAAGAACTGTGAGATAATATGTTATGAAGTTTATATTCAAGTTTTTTCAAGTGTTGGCTTCAGAGATAGAATGAATTCCATAATGAGTCAAATTAATATTCAAGCTTCTACATGAAGAGTAAATTCAATTCAATGTTTCTAAATCATGGCACGTAGAATCAGGCCAATTGTATGGAACTAGTGGTGTCCAGATGGACAAGTTTTACTGTAGTCTAATAATTATATGTAAACATCACCAAAAAGTACTGCTGTCTGATCCAGTGGTGTAGTATTGATAGTCCATCATTTAACATGTATGTGTAATTTACAGAGAACCCACTGTAAAGCAGAGACTTTTCCAATGTTCACTATGGAATGGAGGTGTTTTTTTGGTAAGTTGCTTTATCTAATACTGAGTTCATACAAGTAGATGTATCTGTAACAGGCCTTAAAAAAATAGTATAATAATATTATAATAATATATAATAATAAAAAGAGGTGTTAGTGACATATACAAAAACCACCTTGTCTGGTGTAATGTGGTTGTAATTCAGGCAAGCCACCAATTTTAGCTGGCTTACCAAGCCTACATTGTAATACTACCAACTTTAGCTGGCCTAACAAGACTCACCTCGCAAGCCAGGGGTCCTGAGTCAACACGTTGCCGTTGGACACCTGGCATATTTCATTCAATATTCGTGGGCTTGCTTCTCTCATTGAGAAGCACCAATCAAATTAAAGCTTTCATAAATAGTTAGATAAGGATTCAGTTGACACCTCAAATGCATGTGTTACAAGTTGTTTATCATAGAATGGCTTAATGTGATTGGTTGTAATTTTTCCGAAAGACGTCGGTACAGTCAACCCACAAATATTGAATGAAATATGCCAGGGGTCCAACCACAACATGTTGACTCAGGACCCCTGGCTTGCGAGGATGAACAAGACTACACTGTAATACTACCAACTTAAGCTGTCCTAACAAAACTACATTGTAATACTACCAACTTTAGCTGGCTACCAAAACTACATTGTAATACTACCAACTTTAGCTGGCTACCAAAACTACATTGTAATACTACCAACTTTAGCTGGTTACCAAAACTACATTGTTATACATATGTACTACTGTACCAACTTTAGTCACATGCAACTTTCACATTGAAAATGAGCTGCTGTTTTTTTTTCAATACTCAGATTGAAGACTCAATGTTTGGGTCATACTGATTTTACTCCATTAAATTTCGGAAGAATTTTGTACACATATTCATACAATATGTATATGACATTTTCCTAGAAGTTATTATTGCGCACAAGAAATGGATGTTATCTTTCTCTTTATCATGTACATCTGCTTTTTTTTCAGATGAGTATTTTATTATTTCACTGGGCCTTACTACCATGTTTGCTGTGGTTTACAGAGTTGATATTTGGTAAGTGGTTTTGGTGTGTCAAGTGACATTTCTATATTGTACTTGCTTGAATTATAAGTTTTAAAATGTTGTTGACAACTTATAATGTATACAGGGAAATTTTCGCCCTGTTTTATTTTTGCCCCTTTCACACTACTCACAGGTGAGCAAATTTTAAACAGGGCAATTTCAAAGAACACAGTATAATTTCTTCAATAGAAATGTGACTGTGCAAAATTAAAACAGGGCAAAATTGGTTGCAAGTATGAAAGGGGAAAAATAACATGGGGTGAAAACAACCCTGTATACTAAGTAAATAAGTATTGTTGAAGTTTTTTTCAGTGGAAAGCAAGGTTGATTAGAATTTTTAGATATTAATGGAGTATGAAAGGACAAGGATGTGTGATTGTAATTTTTGATAGGGAAGAGCAGTTTTGTAAAGCTTTTAAAACTGAATAGCATCAGTGGAATTTTTTTCCCCATTGGTTGTTATTATGAAACATGAACAGTAGAGAAGTAATTCATCTTACATGTATCTGGTTTTAGCTGGATCAGAAAACCTTCATGTGACCTGGCTATGGATCAGCTCCATCTTGTCTTGGATTTTTGGAGCTCTCTGGATTTTACCTTTATTTGCCATCAGTAAAATTGTAAACTGCATGTGGTTCCAGGTTTGTGTTGGCATTTTTTAAATATGAGAAATCTACTGTTTATTTGTACCTTGTAAATTTAAACAAATCATCATTATAGTTACTATGGGTTTATTTTCCAATTTGCAGGATATTGCAGATGCAGCTTACATTAAATCGAGGGGTCGTCCAACTCCAATAAATCTAAGTGTATTGGTGGCTGACCTATTGTTCAGCGTTTTGCTCCAGGCATTCTTCCTTATTCAGGTAAATCTCTCCATATTTATTATGTCCAGTATAACAATGTAACAATAGGGAGCTAACAAATAACTGATTAGTGATACATGTTCAATATAACAGGGTAACAGCAGGGAGCTAACAAATAACTGATACATGTCCAATATAATAGTGTAACAGCAGGGAACTAACAAATAACTGATACATGTCCAATATAATAGTGTAACAGCAGGGAACTAATAAATAACTGATACATGTCCAATATAACAGTGTAAAAGCAGGGAGATAACAAATAACTGATACATGTCCAATATAACAGGGCAACAGCAAGGAGCTAACAAATAACTGATACATGTCCAATATCATAGTGTAAAAGCAGGGAGCTAACAAATAACTGATACATGTCCAATATAATAGTGTAACAGCAGGGAACTAACAAATAATTGATACATGTCCAATATAATAGTGTAACAGAAGGGAACTAATAAATAACTGATACATGTCCAATATAACAGTGGAAAAGCAGGGAGCTAACAAATAACTGATACATGTCCAATATAACAGGGCAACAGCAGGGAGCTAACAAATAACTGATACATGTCCAATATAATAGTGTAACAGCAGGGAACTAATAAATAACTGATACATGTCCAATATAACAGTGTGAAAGCAGGGAGCTAACAAATAACTGATACATGTCCAATATAACAGGGCAACAGCAGGGAGCTAACAAATAACTGATATATGTCCAATATAACAGGGTAACAGCAGGGAGCTAACAAATAACTGATACATGCCCAATATAACCATGGAAAAAGCAGGGAGCTAACAAATAACTAAATTTTGCCCAAGAACACAGTCAATAAATGTTGTGTTATACCTTTTACTTCTTACATGTATTAGGACATTCTTGCACTGCTTCCATGATGTCAATTTCCTTTACCCACCCTGTGCATTTAACTTGGTAAATTCTGTAACTATCGAAAACCAACAAATGACTGATCCTACCTACAGTGTGACGTAAAAAAACATCATAGCAGTCTAATATCTTATTGAAAGGCCCAACATCTCACTTAGAGGTCCAACACTGATTTTCTTTGGGCCACCCAGTAAAACATGTCAGAATTTTTTAAGTATAGATTTATATATGAAACAATTTTTAAAGGTACATATATAATGAAACAGATTACAGCAGGAAGCTCACAGATAACTGAAACATGCCCAATATAACAGTGTAAAAGCATGGATTTTACAAACCACTGATACATGTTCAATGTAACAGTGTAAAAGCAGGGAACAAATAACTGATACATGTCCAGTACAACACTGTAACAGGAGGGATTTAACAAATAACTGATACATGTTCAATATAACAGTGTAACAGCAGGGAGCTAACCAGTAACTAATACATGTTCAATTTAATAATGTAACAACATAGAGTTCACAAATAACTAATATATGTGCAAGTATATTATACAGTGTAAAGGCATGGAGTAAACAAATAACTGATACATGTCCAGTATAATAGATTAACAGGAAGGAGTACAAATAACTGATACATGTTCAATATAACAGTGTAAAAGCATGGAACCAACAAATAATTGATACATGTCCAGTACAACATTGTAACAGGAGGGAACTAACAAATAACTGATACATTTCCAATATAACAGTGTAACAGCAGGGAGCTAACAAGTAACTAAAACATGTTCAATTTAATAATGTAACAACATAGAGCTCACAAATAACTAATATATATCCAATATATTAAACAGTGTAAAGACATGAAGTTAACAAATAACTGATACAAATATGTGAAATCTAACCAAGGTATCAGCAGGGAGCTAATAAGTAATTTACACATGTTCAATATAACAGTGTAATAGCAGGGAAGTTACAAATAACTGATACATGTTCAATATAACAGTGTTACAGCATAGAGTTAACAAATAACTGATATAAATATGTGAAATCTAACCAAGGTATCAGCAGGGAGCTAATAAGTAACTGATACATGTTCAGTATAACAGTGTAACAGCATGTAGCTAACAAATAACTGATACATATCCAGTATAATAGATTAACAGAGGGAAGTACAAATAACTGATACATGTTCAATATAACAGTGTAATAGTAGGCAGGTAACAAATAACATATATGTCAAGAATAACAGTGTAACAGCAGGGAGGTAACAAATAACTGATTAGTGAAACATGTTCAATAAAACATTTTAACAGCATGGAGTTTACAAATAACTGATACAAGTTCAATATAATAGTGTGACAACAGGGAGCTTACAGATAATTGATACATGTTCAAAATAACATTTTAGCAGCAAGGAGCTAACAAATAACCGATACATGTCCAATATAACAGGGTAACAGCAAGGAGCTAACAAATAACTGATACATGTCCAATATAATAGTGTAACAGCAGGGAGCTAACAAATAACTGATACATGTCCAATATAATAGTGTAAAAGCAGGGAGCTAACAAATAACTGATACATGTCCAATATAAAAGTGTAACAGCAGGGAGCTAACAAATAACTGATTCATGTCCAATATATTAGTGTAAAAGCAGGGGGCTAACAAATAACTGATACATGTCCAATATAATAGTGTAACAGCAGGAAACTAACCAAAAATTGATACATTTCCAATATAATAGTGTAAATCTGGGAGCTAACAAATAACTGATACATTTCCAATATAACAGGGTTACAGCAGGGAACTAACAAATAACTGATACATGTCCAATATAATAGTGTAAAAGCAGGGGGCTAACAAATAACTGATACATGTCCAATATAATAGTGTAACAGCAGGGAGCTAACAAATAACTGATACATGTCCAATATATTAGTGTAAAAGCAGGGGGCTAACAAATAACTGATACATGTCCAATATAATAGTGCAACAGCATGGAACTAACCAAAAACTGATACATTTCCAATATAATAATGTAAAAGCATTGAGCTAACAGATAACTGATACATTTCCAATATAACAGGGTAAAAGCAGGGAGCTAACAAATAACTGATACATTTCCAATATAACAGGGTAACAGCAGGGAGCTAACAAATAACTGATATATGTCCAATATAACAATGTAACAGCATGGAGCTAACAAATAACTGATACATTTCCAATATAACAGGGTAACAGCGGGGAGCTAACAAATAACTGATATATGTCCAATATAACAATGTAACAGCATGGAGCTAACAAATAACTGATACATGTTCCTAGTTCAAACATACTTATAGAATTCCTAGAGATGATTCAGTGATTTTCAGTCTGAGACATTTCAGGTTCACATGCAGTGTATTTCAAATTTTCTTCAAGCTGTTAATATATGCAAATATTTAAATTATTTAAAAAATGGATATAATGATTTGTCATTTTTATTTGTAGAGTACTTTGGCCACGTTTCTTCCTATACCTGGGGTTGGATATATGGTGGGCTTTCTTCACATGACTCTTCTCTACTCTCTGTATGCGTTTGAGTACAAATGGTTTAATATGGGTAAGACTTATATAATAATATGGTATTCATATCAATTGAATATTTTAAAAATTTCTCTTCATTCCAAGTGCAAATGATAAACTGACTTAATCAGAACATTAATAATGAAAAAAGTTTTAAACATTTGTATATTTAAGCCATTTTTGTTAATAAATAGAGATGTTGCTGTCATTAAATCTCATTTTTCTTGTTTGTCTCTAAACCTCAGGTTGGGAGGTTCACAAACGTCTGGCGTACATTGAGTCCTACTGGCCATACTTCTTTGGATTTGGCATTCCTCTTGCCTTTTTAACGTCCATGTCATCCTCTGTGATCATTAGGTACATGATTTATATTTCATCATTAAATTCTAGATATTTATAAGGTATAGAAAATTAAATATATTGGTAATTGATAATTTATGATAATCTATTGGTAAATATACAGCAGAACTATTGAAGATATACTGTCATGAATACTATGAATTTGAATGGTGTAAATTTTAACACGTGTCAGTATTCTCAATGTTTATGTAGTTACTGTACTATTTATTTCTTTATCTTTTCATTCTTTCAGTGGTTGCATTTTCTCCATACTCTTCCCGTTGTTCATATTGAGTGCCAATGATGCAGATGAAAATTCACAAATCTGGTACGTCATTTTTTCATTCAGTCATTTTTGACCTATAGCTGAAATTGACTTTAAGACAGTTGTTTTCAGTTGTTTTATGCTCCCCGTGATGAAATGCTATGCTCCTGATGCTGGCATTGGCATTACTGTCAACATCTCATGTTCAAGTTTTTAGAGCATGCTCTATTCCCAAGTAACCACAAGCCCTACATGGATCAAACTTGCTTCGATGATGCATCCATGAATGCAAGCCACTACACTGTACATACATGTATTCAGATTTAACCTATATTTTCTTTATGAGTAACCAAATCACTTGGGGCAGGTCTATTCCAAAGTAGCTATAAACCATACCTGACCAAATGTATTTGATGATGCTTCTACATGTAGGTATGCATACTTGTAACACCAGACTTGCTTCAAATGCAATTATTCTGGTTCAGTGATCAGATTAATGTTTTTGTAACAGGTCCATTCCCAAGGAGCTACAAGCAGTATATAAACCAAACTTACATGGGTGATGTGTCTGAAGATGTATACTACCAGACATACTTCCAATGCTGCATCTGACCTATATTTTCCTGTATGAGAAATCAGAACAAAACTTCAGAGCAGGTTTCCTTCTGAAGTACTATTAAGCTTATCTGGATGGAACATGCATAGATGGTGCATGTAGGGATATATATATGTATACTACTAGATTTGTTAAATGTTAGATTTGACCTTACTTTGAGATGACATTTATTTGACCTTACTTTGAGATTACCTTTATTTGACCTTACTTTGAGATGACATTTATTTGACCTTACTTTGAGATGACATTTATTTGACCTTACTTTGAGATGACATTTATTTGACCTTACTTTGAGATGACATTTATTTGACCTTACTTTGAGATGACATTTATTTGACCTTACTTTGAGATGACATTTATTTGACCTTACTTTGAGATGACATTTATTTGACCTTACTTTGAGATGACATTTATTTGACCTTACTTTGAGATAACCTTTATTTGACCTTACTTTGAGATGACATTTATTTGACCTTACTTTGAGATGACATTTATTTGACCTTACTTTGAGATGACCTTTATTTGACCTTACTTTGAGATGACCTTTATTTGACCTTACTTTGAGATGACATTTATTTGACCTTACTTTGAGATGACATTTATTTGACCTTACTTTGAGATGACATTTATTTGACCTTACTTTTAGATTACATTTATTTGACCTTCCTTTGAGATGACGTTTATTTGACCTTACTTTTAGATTACAGTTAATCAAGGTGACATTTGAAGGTTCTGATTACTTACATTTCTTTTTAAAGCCATTCACCATTGAGACTCTTTGCTCCAGTTGTGATGATTACAAATATTCTTTTTCGACAATCGGTGAAATCCAAAAGTACGCCTGTAAATACTCAACAGTCTTCATCTCCTAGGAAACAGACACGCATCACTGAACCATCAACTTATAGATGACAAAGTGAAAATAATGTACTTCTGAATACTAAATATAATTATATATAAAGAGTTGTGTGAATGAACGTATAGAGACTTTGTATAATTAATATATAATTATGATATCATGACTACATGTCTGTGTTAGTTTTATTTGAATGAATTTGAAGGACAATGTGAATGGAGTATGGAATTTGTGAGAAAAAAATAATTTTTAAAATTGGAATGATTGTGATCAAAATGAACCAGTAATGTGTATATTACAGTGAAATCTGTTTATGTACGAGTCTCTCTAATTGTCAAGTATTGCATTTTGATTTAATAAAAACACATTATCATTGCTTGGAATTGGATTTTGATAAACTTCGACTTAAAGATTAAAAAAATACTATTTTTAAATGTCCAGAGGAACTAATTGTGTGTACAGTACCTACCTTTTCTGCCTGGAATTTTTTATATTTCGTAATAACAAAAAAAATTCACAGTACCATAAACCAACATTTATTCACAACAACTTTTTCTCACAATTTGACAGTTTATTTGAAATCTTTCCTTGGCATCTACATAGACACAAAATTAAATAACTAGTTCCTGATAAGATCTATTGGCGAGAAAATCAGGCCCGTAGCAACGGTTTCAAAAGGGAGGGGCAACTTCCCAAAATTATCTGACAAGCAAAATAAAAAAAAATACCTAGTTTACTGCAAATCCTTTAATCTGCCTGTGCTCAACCTTACAACTACAAAAAGTAGGGGGGGGGGCAATTGGCATCTTAAGGGAAATGAAATTTAATATAGCAAATTACTATACTCAGAAAAAAAAGTGCCCCCCCCCCGCGTTCTACAGGCCTAGTTATTCAGAAGTATAGCATAATATGGTGTTTAAGGGAGCATTGCAATGTTTCTATATTAGTACTTATATGTACGGTATACATAATGCTGCCATGTCTCACTCGTCCCTCAGTTCTGGCCATTCAGTATACATGTCTGATCACTTGTCTCTCTGTTGTAATCTTTATTTCTGGCATCTCATTCTGGTAAATTAAACTTGCATGTCTCACAGATATCTCAAATTGGTTGACACCGTGATTTTGTCTCACATTTGGTAGAAACTGTGACTGTGCGTGATTCCCACCATACTCGGCACTTACTCGCGCTTTGTCTAAACAATACCTATTCCCTGCCATGTTTTCTATTTCATTCCGATCTTGGTCATTCGGCGATATTGTTATTAATAAGTTTTAGTGTATAAAAGTCAGAGGATAATTCTATGCTTGTTTTATAATACTTTATCTTCATTCTGAAGTAATGAATTGTTTTCTCTGTATTTAATCTCACATTTCTGTTTAACTCTTAAAGGTAAAATCTATGACACGGCACAAATATTTTCTATTAGAACCATTACCCTTTTAGGCCTTTACAATGATCGTACGCTTATGAAATGAGTGTTATCGTGCGACCTTTTGACCCTTGACTCGGATCTCGTAAAAACAATATGTTTAACAGAAATCTCTTATATTTCCCAGGTACTGTATATTTTTATTGATCTTTCATGGATATTCAAGTGTCAGAGCATATAGACATGTATGGAGAGTCACACTCAATAGCATAGTGTTTATTTATTCATTTTTATCAATAAATCATTTTTTTCATCTTTTTAAAACGACCGGAATTCATCGGAATATTTCAGTGTTAGTTGAATTAGTAATGACAGTGAAAATATGAGTCGGTATTTTAGGCAAAGTCTTAAAAAAGATTTTATAACTAAATGTAGATTCAATTAAAAAAAATTATCGGCAAACGTGGCAAACACTTTTATAGTAATTAGTTCACATGTCATAAACTCAGAGATATAGATGTTAGTAAATCTGACATTTCTCAGTCTAGCTTCTTTTAAAATATTCCTGTCAAGAATTTCAGTTCATTTAAAAGCTCTGTCTTCATTGATAACAATATCTATGTACATTTCATTCATTATCTTGATGATGAAACGAACAGAATAAACGGAATGTCAGGCCTAGCGAAATAACGCTAAGGTCATTCCAAGTTTTTCCTTTGTTTAGCGTCCACCCATCTTTCAAAAACCTACCTACCTATTCGCAAAAAACACACAAGCCAAAAAATAAAACACAGACTTTACAGTAATAAAAATGACATCATTCAAAGAATTTGATTTCATGAATCTATTTTTCTCCTAGAAATATCTTTTGTTTTGTAAAATCAAGGTATTAAATGCTTAAAATATACATAATATGACATACTAGAGAGAAATATTTAAAGAACTTGACAAAATTCCGAGATTTTGACCAAAATAATCAATTTTAGGACTCCTGATTTTTTTTTTTCTCTGAAATGGGGTGTCAAAAACCAAGGCGCACGCGGACGCTAAACATAGAAAAAACTTGGATTGGCCTAATATAAGAAATAATTTACAAAATATGGACAAATACAAGGTAGACCAAGTTGACATCCCTTATATAATGAAAAGAATTTACAGTTCTTTTGGTAGCGGTTTTTGCAGCCGACCAATCACAGATCTGCCAAGAGACCATTGCTCTAGGATGTGATTCTTACCAACCAATAGAATCAGACGAGACAGTATGCGCTACAGATGGATCGCACTACAACAACTTGTGAGTCCGACACGTAATAATTAAACTGATGTATTTTAAACATACAGCTGATTTTGTTCAGAATTATTCTTTCATAGCTTATTTTCAGGAAAAGGATCCCTAAGTATCTTTGTATCTTCTATTTTCTAAACTAGAGGTACTGTAAGCACTGAGGTCACAAAATGATACCACTAGCCTCCTATATGATTATAATGGCTAAGTCCATTTTTTGCTATGGGAAAGCCCAAATATCTGTTGGATCAAAACATAAAGTAGGAGATGCACAATGACACTATGTAATAAAGATTATGTGAAATTATCTTTAAATTTTATATTTATTGGTATAGGAGGAGTTGCGGATAAGAAATGGGTACATGTACCCTCAATATTAAAGAAAAAATAACAGTGTCTTTGTTTTGCTATGGGAAATCTGAAATATGTGTCCAATTAAAAAATAAAATAGGAGGTGCACAATGGCTCTGTGTAATAAAGATTCAGTAAAAAATAACTAAAAATATTAAATTTTATTCAGAGGTATAGGAGCAATTGCAGATCATAGATGGGTACCATCGATTTTATATATATAGAATGGCAGTATCCATGTTTTGCTCTGGGAGACCCGAAATAAGTATCCAATCAAAAAGTAAAATAGGAGGTGCACAATGGCAATATGTAACAAAGATTATGTGAAATTATCTTTAAATTTTATATTTATTGGTATAGGAGGAGTTGCGGATAAGAAATGGGTACATGTACCCTCAATATTAAAGAAAAAATAACAGTGTCTTTGTTTTGCTATGGGAAATCTGAAATATGTGTCCAATTAAAAAATAAAATAGGAGGTGTACAATGGCTCTGTGTAATAAAGATTCAGTAAAAAATAACTAAAAATATTAAATTTTATTCAGAGGTATAGGAGCAATTGCAGATCATAGATGGGTACCATCGATTTTATATATATAGAATGGCAGTATCCATGTTTTGCTCTGGGAGACCCGAAATAAGTATCCAATCAAAAAGTAAAATAGGAGGTGCACAATGGCAATATGTAACAAAGATTCTGTGAAAGTATAATTAAATTTTATTCGGTGGTATAGGAGGAGCTGCGGATAAAAGATGGGTACCCTCAATATTATAAAGAGAATAGCAGTGTCTATGTTTTGTTGTGCACAACATATGTAACAAAGATTCTGTGAAAGTCTCATTAAATTTTATTCAGTTGTTCAAGAGAGGTTGTGGATAAGAGATGGGTACCCCAAAGCGTAACGGACGGACGTACAACTAGATGGATGGACGGACACCCCATCACTATACATCCCCCGCTTGAAAAGCGGGCGTATAATAAAGAAACAGCAACAAATCTGAACTTCTGGGCTTCTATGATTATCAAAATACCTCACACGTTTTTTTTTTGGTTTTTGTCAGTTGTGAATTTAGCGTAGCAAAGTGTAAGAATCCTGCACTGGACATTGCTTCTCTGGGTCACTGTCCAGGAATTCAGACAACTCAGACCGTAAGTCGTCCTTCCACAAGCCCACCCACCTCCCGCCCTCCTACAACACATCTACCTACATCAAATCCTACAACACTAGACTCCTATCAACAGATATTTTGCGACAACAAGGATTCTGTTGCTTGTCCAAGCAGTGTAGATCACGTTTGCGGCAGTGACGGTGTCATGTACAAAAACAGGTAATGCAGCAATTTTCCCTCTTCTCTTTAACAGAATGCATTTTTATAATACAGTAGCATATAGAGAATAGAGAAAGATGGAACTTACAGTTAACTCATTTTAACTCTGTTAACACAGTTGTGAGTTTGCAAAAGCCGTGTGCAGTAATGGTAATTTAAGCAAGCAAAATAATTCCTTCTGCCATCATACCACCACCACAACACGCCAGCCTACCACCCTGGACCCCACTCAACAGTTATTCTGTGACAACAAAGATTCCATCTTGTGTCCGTCCACAGGAAGTCACGTGTGTGCAAGTGATGGTGTCGTGTATAATAATGAGTGAGTACATACCAATGTGTTACCATTATAATAAGGCATAAAAAAAATACATCTCTATTATAACGAGGGAGTTCATGTACATACAATATGTACATGTAATATGTTGTTATTACAACTGCGAGCTCGAGTGAGAACTGGAAAATATGTAATCAAGACATAAAATGAGCATTTGCAACAAGGTTGATACAATAAACATGTATGAAATACAAAATTGGAGAATAAATCCATTTAAAATAAAATTCCTTCGTTTTGTTTCCATGACTATAATTGAAAGTTTGTCCAACCATGCGCGATTACATAGTGCCATATTATATTATTGCTTCAAAAAATTGGTTGGACATTCTGCCAGAGAACGTGTGGGAAAATTATAGAAGGGACGCTTGTAATAATGTGCTGCCAGAGCACGTGTGGGAAAATTATAGAAGGGACGCTTGTAATAATGTGTCACCAGAGCACGGCGTGTGAGAAAATTATAGAAGGGACACTTGTAATAATGTGTCGCCAGAGCACGTGTGGGAAAATTATAGAAGGGACACTTGTAATAATGTGCTGCCAGAGCACGTGTGGGAAAATTTATAGAAGGGATGCTTGTAATAATTTGTCGCCCTCTCCCTTCTCATAGATATTTTATTTGAGGGGGTGGTCGCTCTGGCGGAAATTGCACTTTATAGCTATCACACAGAGTAGGATTCCCTCCCTCCCCCCCCCCCCCCCCGGAAAAGGGAGTCTGCATGGTTTGTAGGATTTTCGTAGGGGAAATCTTACTGTAGAGCCTATTTTCCGGGGGGGGGGGTGTCTTACTCTAGTGCCAGGGGATTTAAGAGGGGAAAGGCTACTCTACATGACCGTAATGTCCACACTTTTGATGAATTTATAATATCATTGTGACGTGGCGTTTCTCTTTCAGATGTGAGTTTGCGAAAGCCAAGTGTAGCAATGGCGCCCTAACTATCCAGACCTCGTCGTTTTGTCATCATACATTCTGATTGGAATAAAAGAAATCTGAGACTTTAATTCTAGTTACATTAACATAGTAAGAAAACAGGTATTCTTTGCTCTTTATATTTGTAAAATACAAATTGCTAGTAAGTGTCAGTTGTAATTCTCAATTTTTGCAATTAATATATGCTAATTTAAATGATACCCAACCGTTTATAAACAGCATATAATGGACATTTCCGGTGAAGTGACAGCGATAAAATATTCAAAAGTTATCTTAGAAGGCTTTATTGGATATACATTTGGTTTAAAGGATATAAATTATGTATATTTAATATCACTTCATTAGATCACATGGTTAGTGCTAATGGCCAACAGAAATTGAAGACTTTAAATTTCGAGCATAGATAAACTGAGAGTGGTTCTTTAGATCGAATTTCTGAGATTTATTTTAGCAAATATATTGATTAAAATCTTAGCCCTGGACACAAACTATAAATACGATCTATTCATCTCGGTGACAGCTGATGTTTAATAAGTTTTTCTTCGTTATCGTTAATCTCTGATCTCATTTAGCTCACCTGTTCTGAAAATGAACTGTTCTCATGGAACGTATTCGTTGTCTGTATGCCTGTACATAAATGTATCTGGCTGACGAGATCTTTTTCTTATGATCCAGTGATTTTTTTTGTTCACCCAATGATTGATTGAACAATTATTGCAAGGGATTTTGGCTAGCTGTAGCAAAATTGTTCTAAGTTGAATACCACTTAGACGTTATATGTTTCTTTTAGCTTTTGGCCTTTGCAATCTCTCTTCTCCTCTGCAATGACGCGCCTCACAAATCACAAGGTCTGGCTCCGGGGCCATAAAAGTTAGACGAGCTCACTTTTGATCTCACTTTTACTAAAGGAATTTGAGGGGAAAGTGAGACTGAGATCAAAAGTGAGATCATCTAAGTTTTGTGGCCCCGGAGCCTGGTCACAACTATACACCGGATACAAAAAACTAATTTCTCGTCCGACATTTTGACCAGTCACCGAGCTGGAAAAAGAACTTCCTGCCTGCCTGGCCCAATAAGGCTAAATAGAGTCGTCTCGTAGTCTAGATCAGTTAGATTGTGTAATTACTGCATTGGATTTGGCTACCTAGCAAATATACTTATAATATACGCCTTAGCCGTTATATACTTCTTTAGCTTATGGCTTTAAAGTGTAGCAATTTCAATTTTTAATCTGAATGGCTTCATGAAAATGAGTTCATATGATTTACCGGTATTCATTATTTCAAAATGAAGGGAAGTTATGTATCAGTATATTGTAGTTTACTGGAGTAATTAGATTTTGATTCTTTTTTGTTCAGCATACATTACCATTTTATATTTAATGCATCTTAGTAAGCTAGATTGATAGTGGGCCTTTGACAGCTGGAAACAAACTTGCTTTAAAACTCTTAGCCTGATTACTCATTCGTAGAATATGGGTCAAAGACTGTATCCAAAGCAAGACTGGTATCATGTATCACTGGTGCAGCATCAATGCAAGTTTTCTTTTTCAATGTAGAATTTTAATTACCGAGGCAGTTGTGGCATATGATGGATAGAGATAATGCAAGCTTATGCTGAGGGTTCAGATATGGTTTCCTTTGTTAGTATTCATACCTAGATGCAACGTCTATGGTGATTTGGTGAATGTGGAATGTGGAATACATGATAACATCGGAATTAGCATTATATAATGGCCTACAACTTATGAAAGTATTGTTAGAAGTACAATCTATGCAAGGTTGTTTAGCAAAGTAAGCTTTAGGTATGAGCAAACGCAAAAAAGCACTAAATCACTGCATAGCAACTTCTGAGCATCCGAAATATGATTTAAAATATTTTGCATTAATTTTCCGGCTGCAATATTTATGCAAGCTTAAATTGGTCTTTGTAAGATTTTCTGTAACAGACCCAATACAAGTATATTGTTTACCTGCATGATTACGACGACAGATCATGAAGCATCGAACTCGACCATTCAAGTTTGATCAACATGATACTGTCATTCATATGCATAAGACCTGCTATTTTATAGATTATGATCTATGGACTCCATTGACAAGCTTACATTAGTACCCAACATACGCAGTCATCGTGAGAGTCTAAATAGTGATATCAAAATAGCAATAATGCACATCCGCTTCAAATGCCTAAAGGGCTTTTTGCCACTACTAGCTTAGGAAAAAGTTTATTTACATGGAAAAATGACAACCAAACAGACGAAAGAAAGAATACAAAAGAATCTTTCTTTTAAAAACGAAGATAAAATGATCATTAAACAGAGTTACATCCGTAGGGAAAAATTCTTATTTTTCTCAACCAATTTAAATCAGTTAACTTCTCAACTGTGAAGAAAATGAATGACTATCATTAACAAAAAACAAGATGGCAGCTCATGGGGAAGGATAAAGTTTCTCAAATGCAAGTCAAACTCCCAAGGTCAAGGTTAACAAATCAAAATTGTTGGTGCCCAAGGGAAAGTCTTGTCACCAAAAAAAGTATGAAATATGAAAGTCATGGCAAAACTGTTCAAAAGTTATGACCAAGGTTAATTTTTTTTTCAAAATTAGGTCAAACTTGAACGTCAAAGGGTTAAAATGTTTGGTACCCTAGGAAAGGTCTTGTCAGGAGGAATACACCTGTGAAATATGACAGCCCTTGTATCAACCATCAAAAGTTATCACCAAGGTAAAATTTTCTCAAAAGTAAGTCAAACTCAAAGGTTAAGGTCAAATGGTCAAAATTTTTGGCATCCAATGGAAGGTCTTATCACAAGAATACACATGTGAAATATTAAAGCCCTAGAAACAACCGTTTAAAAGTAATGATCAGGATTGAAATTTTTGTAAAGTTGGTCGAGCTTCAATATAATGGACAAGAGGTCAATGTTTTCTAAAAGTGAGTCAAACTCTGAGGTCAAAGGGTCAAAATTAATATTACGCAGTGGAAGACCCTGTCATAAGAAACACATATGCAATATATAAAAGCTCTAGCACCAACTGTTCAAAAGTTATGGCGAGGGTTGAAGTTTTTTAGAAGTGTGTCTAACTCCAAGGTCAAGAGGTCAAACATGTTGGTACCCTAAGGAAGGTCTTGTCATAAGGAATCATTACCATTAACTTTGACCTTGACCTTGGAGTTTGACCCACTCTTAGAAAACATTAACCTTGACCATAACTTTTGAATGGTTGGAGCTTGGGCTTTCATATTTACCAGGTATATCCATTGACACAAGTCCTTTTTTTATGTAACAATATTTTTGATCTCTAGCCCTTGGAGTTTGACTTGCATTTGAGAAAATTTAACCTTCGCCATAAGCTTCCATACGGGGGCATCAGTGTTCACAAACAGATCCTGTTAGTATTTCAGTTGCGGCTTATGATCAGGGGACCCTGAAGACATGTTACTTATACATCAATTTTCATACAACTGCTCTCTCTCTCTCTCTCTATTGTACTAGAAAGTGATCAGATTTAAGATTTTACACGGCTGGGTTAATATCTCCCAATACAACTCAAGTTTATTTTAGATCCATGTACAACTGTATCACAGTCCAGGGATAACCTGTTGTTCTGTTACCCAATGAAATCTGTGATAATACGACCGTCTGGTATAAAAGTATTGTGACTACAAAAAATATCAAGGCATTGTGACTACTCAAAAAAGAAAATTTTGTTTCCATACTTTATAAAGCGGCCACAAGTTATTCTGCTCCAAAAATCAACTGAAAGAGAGTGTGTATTGTGAGCTTATAGTAAGTCTAAAAACAATCGTCCAGAGAGTGTGTACAAGACTAAATGTATTAGTATTAACAGTGTTCAGTTAATAAAATTGTGATAGATGCGAACTAGTGACATATTGTGAACCCTCGGTGATGGATTCTTCTAAGCTTTCGCTTCATTGCTTACGAAGACGCAAGAAATTTGTTGGTTTTGCCTTTATTTTCTTTTTTGTGTTCGTGCATTTATTTGTTAAAGGTAAGAATCTAATCCTGTAGATATTTGTTTCATTGCCTGTTTTATCCTTAAATTTAAATTATGGAGAACACAGGTAACTGTACCTGTAGATGTTTCAACATAATTACTGAAAATCTGCGAAAACGAAATACATCTTAGAAAATTCAATTGGACTGTATTTAAACTTTATCTAATGTTTACAACAAATTGCGCAGTGGCGAGTGAGCAAAAAAGAAAAAAAATTCAGGTGTGACAATCAGAAATTTCTCATTAAAAATTGTGATAAAATGTTTGCTTCTTTTGGTAGAAAACACATTAGTTTTGGCATGTTTGTCTGTCTGTCACAAAGTTGTACCTAAATCCCTGATTGGAATGGCTGTAAACTTTTAGTATTGTCATTCACGGCATAATGGTTCCTTATATTTTTGACTCAAGGTCAAATCTAAAGGTCAATATCTCTGTGAAATGGAATAGTGAAATGTTGATCGGGCCATTACTCTAGAATGCTTGATTGGAATAGAATTAAATTTAAGGACATTGATGTTTACCTAAAGATGTGTCCTGACCTGGACACAATGCCATATCACAAAGGTCAAGGTCATGTGTTTAGGAAGATATCCTATCTCCACGATGAACGCCGAATTACTACGATTTTTCAGTTCGTACTCTGTCGTAGCCAAAAATCGTGACAGTGTGACACGGGCTTAAGGGAATATTGGGATGACAGAGGGTTTAATTAGGGAAAGAGAAATAAATAAGTTTTTGTAAAAAGAAAAAAAGGAACGCTTATAAGGAATTTTCAGTTGTAAGGGAACTTAAATGAATCATTTAGAAAGCTAAATGCATTTTCTTCTTTATAAAGATTTAAAGATAAATTTTACTAGGAGGCAAATTTCGAAATTCTCAGTAACTTCCTTATAACTGAAGTTTAACTGTATCCATGATTAATACGGATAAACAATATACGATTACTCATCCAAATCAATTTCATTCAAAATAAATTATTTTTGTCAAAAATATAACTCACTATAAGTGTGATGATTGGTACATATGTACCTCCATTTATACATGTTCATATAAATAATCACATATAAGGTTATATGTACTTAGGAGACTTTAAAGGTTATATGTACATTAACACATTTATTAAAAGGTTTTTATCTACATTTGAGAATTGAACAGGAAGGATTCTATGTACTCGTACACTAATGGAAAATGTTTTCTGACTGTCGTATTAAGGTGAAATATGTCGAGTTGATACATTTCATTTTTAAAGTAGAGTAATTGCCATTCTGCCTCAGGAAACATGTTCAAAGACAACATGATTAAAAGTATTACTGAATAGTAAAATTATTGGGGACTGTGCCTCCCCCACCCCCATAATTTGCCGGTGTATAGTGTAAATTTAGATATTATAGAAAACAAAACGTCCCCCGGTTCCTACGGCCAAGTATTACAAAGTAGATTTCAGTTTCAGAAGGCAGATCACTCTCTCTGATCAAAGTACCATGACAATGTGATCCTTAATTCGCCATTCCAAAACTATTGGTAATTCATATCTTGGAAACTTGGATATAATCAAATGATGTATCTAACTGAGCGTGCTTTGGCAATGTTCACTCGAAACCTTTATAAAAACGTACTGTCTATATACTTTAAGCGAATGAAAAATAGGATAAGATGTTCTCAGACAGAGGGTGATCCATATTTCAAGTTTTTCTGTACAGCTGGAAAGGGTGTAAAATGTTCACCAGAATCTTTTGGGTTATTTGTTTAAAAATTAGATCAATGTTCCATATGACAAATCTGTTACGAAAAATATCATTCCTGAAACTAAAAATCGTCATAAATAAAGGGATTACGGAAAAGCTGTGACTCTAATAAAGATTATAACGACGTCAGAGGTTTGGTGAAAGCGCCAACTATGGACTTGATACACTCCTGGTTAAGGGAAGTGGTTGAAAGAGAAATAGAATTAAAATAGAAACATACATGTACATATTCTAGTAAAAAAATAATTTTTAATCAACTTTTCGAATGGATATAATTAAACTGTATGTATATGAATTTTTGGGAAATGAACCGAATAGGGAGGACTATACTACACTATTATGATCAATAAATTTGCTCCTCAACCCCCCCCCCCCCCCCCCCCCCAAGCAACTTGATATTACTGGAATTTATTGTTAAGATCCCCCCCCCCCATTTTTATTTAATTTTTTTTTTTGAAATTCCTTTGAAAAGAAATTCAGGGTGCATATCATTACCGCTACATTTTCAAAATTTTCATTACCGCTACTTGCACATTACTGCTACAAAAAAAGGATACATTACCGCTACATTTAAGAGTATATATTACCGCTACATTGCCTCTTTCGTTAGCTATCGTCTTATGCGTGTATAGTACAACATATATATATATATATATATATATATATATATATATATATATATATATATATATATATATATATATATATATATATATATATATATATATATATATATATATATATAAAAAGACCTGTTTCCCTGCATCTCCACACTTTGGAGTGTTTAAAAGTCGAAATTTATGTCCATTGATAACTGATATCCTGCATTACCGCGATTTGTCACAAACTTCTCAATAGTAGCCATGACATTCATGTGACGCTAAGTTGATTACAGACTTATATATACTCATTTTGATTAGAATTCAGATCCAAATTGTACTTCACTGCATGGTGAGTGAATTATAGAATGGAACTCATATCCTGTGCCATTGCTATGTAGCGGTAATGAGTTGTTGTCGGCATTAGTTCCTTTGATAAAATGTAGCGGTAATGATCGCCCGAAAATTTGAGAAAATGTAGCGGTAATGAGTTGAAATTTTTCGCAATGTAGCGGTATTGTTGACCTCCCGAAATTCAATCGTATATTTTGATGAAGTAATTTCCCTCGATTAAGGACTTAAACATCGATAAAAGTAATTCATACATTACATCAAAATGTTACATTGTTAAATAGGGGAAGTTGAAGAAAATGAGAATAATTTCCAACTACCAAATTTTTTAACATCTTTCTTTCCAAATTTATTATCTATCATTATATTCATGATATTCGCTTATCACGAGAGACACGGGCAGGCATGTCTGTCAAACTTTTAATTAATAATTCAAATGAATAAATAACTGGATGTGATTTTATACTTTATTTCATTAGTACATTATTGCAATTAGACACATACGAGAGTGATTTCGATTTTATAACTGTAATATCATTGGTATCCATAAGGCAGACTAAAATTATAATCACACAGTGTAACAACATTTTAAGATGAGTGGGTTCCGTTTTTCACTGAAACGAATGAAAGTGAGCAAAGTCTTGATTTTTGGAATAAAAAAGTACGAACCCACAATACTTTTTATATTTTTTCAGGCAGTATGATATAACTTATACATGTACAACAATTAAATCACAAGCCACATTAATTCCTTGATTTTTCTTGTATTAGGTTCTAACATTTTTGATCCTCATTTAAATGAATAAATATTGATAAGTATAAATTACACAGAGGCAAATAAAATGCTTGAACCGATTAGTTCTCGTTATACCTGAGGTCTACTGTCTAACCCCTTACATTAATCAATACAAAATGTTGTGCACCGAGAAACACGCACTGGCCATAATTCTCCCTCGATTTAAATAATCACGTTTTAATGTTGAACAATATATTTGTATGAATTTTTAATGCCTGACTTATGTATCTACTTATACACTTATGTATAATGTTTTAAATTAATAAATGTTAACTCTAAGATTCCACATTAATAAGTAATAATTTAATTTTGTTTGTATTCTAGCCTCTGATTGGTTAATATCCAAAAAGGAACACAAATTATTTCTGTATAACCTGGTTTGGTATGGGGACCCCCTCCTCCCCCCCCCCCCCCGACAACCAGCTGAATCATCTGTATCCATACAATCCTCTCATTTCCAGTCCTCGGGATTCATGGAAAATTCCAGATTTAATCAATGTACCTTTAACTTAACAATAATTCGATCTTACCACATGTAAACAAACAACAAGGCTGCCGCTAGGCCTATGCATAACTTTTTACCTCCCCTCGCTTCCCATCACTTCCGTTCTTCCTTTACTACGGTTGTATTATTGAGCGGCAAATTTGAACTAATAAAAAGCAACGAAATTTTACACCCTTAGTTATTTAATGATTTTAAAATTAAATTATAAGGAATGACTCTAATTCTTGGCCAAATTATTCGAGTATAACCTGGTTTGGGTCAGTTTACGCTGTTTTATAATCCGCTTCGCGGATTATAAAGCGTAAACTGACCCAAACCAGGTTATACTCGAATAATTTGGCCAAGAATTAGAGTCATTCCTAAAATATTGTCTTTGGTTTTCAGAAAACTCCCTAATGTACAGTCGAGGGTACGTGAGAATTCTACAAGAATTGCATACCACAATGAGACCCGCAGATCAGTATTCTACAGGTAGAGTTAAATCTTAGAATACATTTCAACTATCAAACAAACAAAAAAATGAATGTATGGATTTTTGACTGGTTTTGAATAGAAATATCATAAATATTGACAGATCCCTAATTATTAGGAAATAATAGGAATTCTTGTACATATATGTGGCTTTATGCTATTTTCTATATAAATCTATACACATTTTGCGCACGTTTTAGGGACTCAAAACAGTCAAAAGATGTGATTTTGTATGTAATTACAAAGTTGAACATAACGAAACTTGATCGATCTCAGAAAACCTACAAACAATAAAATATGTGAGCAGGACAGAAAAGTACGGACCCCTGGAAACTCCAGGGTTGGGATAAGATGCCTTGGAGGAGTAAACATTCCCTGTCGAAGGGCCAGGCCCGTCGTGATCCTTATGTATTGATCAGGAAGACGGAATAATCCGTAGTCAAATTTAGCTTAAAATACAATGGCCTAACAACTAGTATGAAATATGTCAAAGTTCGACCCTTTGCAAAGAAGGTCATTATAATAACCATAGAATTTATGAAATGCTGACATTAAAGAATGTTGTTGAAATCCCAACTTAAATGTCAATAGCCTGCCTCGGTTTTTGAAAACATCCCACTCAGAAAGCATGTTCTCTTTTGAGTATCGAATAAGTTGGGAGACATAAGCACCATATGCAGTTGATTGAGGAATATTACTATATAAATAAGGAATATCATTAGAAAATGAGAATTGAAATAAAGTATTGTATGTTTGAGAGTTTATTTCCAAACACTTATAATTTCTATGGTGACCAAACTGCATGGACGATGCAACTCAGAATGCATACTACCAGTTATGGTTTAGAATTTGCATGTGACCTTTAAAAAGAATGGAGTTTTGCAGTGCACCTTTTCCCAGATACCTATAACTGATCATGATGCAAAACAAGTTTGATGGATTATGTCACTAAAGATGCATAACTAAATAAGATTTAAAAAGTTTTAGGAGTAGTTCCATGTCAATTTTGTTATGGGTTGACAAAACCTCATCGTCGGAACCCACGGTTCTTCTTCAAAATTCAATGAAAGGGAAAGACCAATGATGATAAAACTTGTTTGTGCTGCATCATAGGATGACTCTTATGCTTCAGATGCAGCCGATTCCTTTGTTGCTTGGGTTGCTGCATGTGACCTATATTACCTGATGAGTGATGTAGATTAATCTAGGTTAGGGATGTCAAATCGGTCAATTTTTGATAATCGGTTACTCGGACGTTTTTCCGATCGAGTACCCGGATACTCGGTACATGTAAAAATGTAAATACAAGTGTGTTAATTTTCTTGAGCCACGTTAAGCTCTGTCAAACCCCAAAGCTGTTTTATCACGTTTATAAATGTATACATATAAACATCGAGTTCAATGGGATTGATTTTTTTGGTACTAGATTTATTTATCAAATAAACACAAAAGACACAATTATTACATCAAAAATTACAAATGGTTTACAGTTGTTGTTTAGGATCTATTTCATCAACGCAAAAGGAGAACAATCTTTTACGCAGGTTTGTGATGAATAGACTAGCCAAAGGGAAGGGGCGGACGTTGTTTCCCCCGTATAAACTTACTACACAAACTGACTTTCAACATTTTTTTTTGAATCTTCAATTATTTCTTAACATTTCTTCGCTTTTAAAGTGGGTAGCGGCATTTCTATGCATGTCAGATTTCGCTGCCAAATATTAACTAAATAATTTAAAAATGACTTGAAGATAATAGACAATACTTAATCAATGTTCACTGAAAGCAATCATTGAAGCCATCCAAAAATTAAAGACCATAATAGGACATTAATTAAGTATATACTCAGCCACAGGCGATAAAGGGTGATTTACAGGTGTACATGACGACACGCTAATAACCGTATGCAGTTTTAAGTTATTTTTTTGATAATTTTTGATAAAAATATGTACTTTGAAATAAGAAAATAATACACATCCGAGTAACCGAATACCATTTTTAGTATTCGATACTCGGACAATCGAGCGAGTACCCGGTTAACCGGGTACTCGTTGACATCCCTAATCTAGGTATTTGAGATTGTCATTTATTTATTCTTTTGTTCATACAGATTACGTAATCTTCAAACGTCTCCATGACCTTTGTAAATTTTAGCAACTGCTTTACAGCAAGTGGTCCTATGCCGGCTGTGATTTTGACGTATATGAGGAGCGGATCTTCATTTTTTGGAGAAATGCTTCAAGCTAGCGAGGACGTTTTCTATCTGTTTGAACCACTCCGGACTATACAGTTTCATATACGGAAGAGCAACACATTTCGTTATCTAGATGGCGGGAGCAGGTAAACAGCTGAGGATTGTGACGTGCTTTATAATCTTTTTTTTGTTGTTGTTGCCATATGGCATTTATGGTATAGAGGTCAAACTTCTTAACTTTTTTTTATCTTTGCAGAAACTACACAAACTTTCTAGATTTAGCGGGCGATGCTTTGAACGAAATCTTCCAATGTAATTTTGAAAACCTTCCTCTCCCTTTTTTCTCTGATGGATTCTTAAACAAGGGAAGGAAATCAAGGGAATTTAAAGTTTGTTTGAAATATAAATCCGCCATTAACATCAGTGCAACTACAGCAACATATCAGTGTATAATGATGATGAAACGTCTCTGTCTGGAATCGAAGTATATCATTCTAAAAACTATTCGTATACCCTTGACAGTCTTAGTTCCCCTCTCAGAAACCTTTCCAAATCTCAAGATCCTGCATTTATTAAGAGACCCACGTCCAACTTTACGATCTCAGTCTCGCTTTGGTATAGTGAAAAGTAGGTTTTTGCAAGAAAATGCCACTAGTTTTTGCAATAGAGTATACACTGATATAATAATAGCAAAACATACGCCAACTATTGCACCACATCACTATTTCCCAGTTTCCTACGAAAATTTAGCAAAGTATCCATTCCAGATGGCAAGAAATGTTTACAGATATCTGGACATAAATTTAAATAATAAAGTTACATCTTATATCGAAAACATGACTATGGCGGACAAGACTTGTAGTGAGTCAAAAATTGCTAAAACAATGTGTACAAAGTCGTCCAATTCCAGTGCGGACGCTGACAGATGGCGGCAAAAGATACCGTTCGGTTTCGTGTCTATAGTGGACAATGCCTGTTCCCTGTTATACAGGGTCATTGGATTACGTAGTATACCTAGTGAGTTTCATTTAAGGAATCTGTCCTACTCCCTGAGAGGAAATACCATAGCTGACACAGGGGATTTCAGATATACATAATAATATTATTGTTTATATTCAGAAATACATTGGAAAATTTCAAATAGTGAAATCGTCAGCCATGATATTTTCCAGAAATTTTGGCCCAGAATATGCTTCTTGAAAAGGACGAATTAAGGTATTTCCATCATCCTTTGATGTCATAGGTTTTTGCAAAAAAAAAAAAAAAAAAAAAAAAAAAAAAACCTTTTATCAGTTTAAATTCATGCCCAATAGAAAATATCTTTCAGAAGAATGCTTTTCAATGGATGTAATGAAAAATATTGTGAAGTGAAAGAATTTAATAAATGTATATTTTCTTTATTTAATCGATTATTCAATCTTTAAAAAAATTTGCTACGGGCTATAACTCTTTCACATGCATCTTTATTCAGACATTTTCTGTATTGTACTTCTTATGTAAAATGGTTTCCCTGATATTCAAGATTCAAATATATTTAAAAAGACGCAACTATTTCGGAATTTTTGCATCAGAATTATGTATGTATACCAGTTTTTACATGAATTTTTAAATATTGTTTACTAAAAATGTAAAATTTTTATGCTAACATATACTTCTGTTTATTTATGTCTTACATCTTAAAAAAGTATGGCAACGTATAATTTTTTGCAATTATTAGTTAATTTAAACTATGTTTGGTGAAAATACATGCAGTTTTTCTACTCTGAACCATTAAAATTGTGAGGGTGGATATACCTTAAGTCTATATGCTCTCGAAGCTTAAATATACTTCTAATCAGCAGAATCTTTCGTTGGAACAAACAAGAAAAGTATTTCTTAGATTGGAATGTTCAAAACATAAAGATTGTAAAGATGGAGAGAATAAAAAAAAACAACTAGTCATAATCTATAGTGTGGTGGAGCATAAGAGTGAATTGCCTGTTTTTACTCTCAGTTGAATTTATGATAAAAAATAATCCAAACTGTGCAAGCATTATTCCCTCAATTAATCTGACAATTTTTTTTTTTATCAGAGAACTCACCTTTTCAAGTGTTTGTTATAAACTGTGTAAAAGTGTGTTTAAGTAATTAAATAATACCTATTTCTCAACTTTTGTGTAATCCATACAAATGTTTATTGTCAAGATTATTCATCATTTAATAAATCATTTTGTTGAGTATGCAAGGGCATTAACGGCAGTTGAAAACGTTTGCTTGTTTGCATAACGGGCGAAGCCATACACACACCCTCACAAGGACACACACCTTCACATACACCCTCACCCTCTTACATACACACACTCCACACCATCATACACACAAGTACTCCAAACTTTAAGATAATATGACACCCCGTTACCAGCATACCTATTTTTGCATTAATATGAGGCAGAATTTATTCAAAATCTTATACATGAAAAGAAGAAAACATTTGCTTTGGCCTAAAACTCGATATTAGATATATCGACGACATATTATCAATTAACAATTGCTTCCATTCATATGTCAACTCAGTATATCTCAGTAAACTCGAAATAAGGGAAACCACAGAGTCAGATAAACCTTTTTCATATTTGGATATTTTTCGAGAAAAAAGACCTGAAAGGTGACCTAACAATATAGCTTTATGATTACCGTGATGACTTCAATTCAGCTTTTCTTTTGTCAATGTAGACAATGTAACAAACTAACAATATACCTTTATCACCCGTATATGGGGTTTTTGTCTCACAGGTGATTCGGTACGCAAAAGCATGCTTTACGTACGAACATTTTTTTTTAAAATGAAGCCACGTAGAAAAATTTCTAAACGAGACAAGCTATTGACAAACAAGTTGATGAAACAAAGATATCAAGACCCTGTTTAAAGTAAACATTTTGCACTTTCAATTGAGTGATTTTCCTTGTCAGCAAATACAATCTATAATTAAGTCGAATGCTGTCTGACGTTTTTTCTACTTATTGTTAGGCCATTATGTCAACGGATTTTTCCGTTTGCCCGATCATGACAAAGAGCACACGGCTGGTGTGACTGGTCGACAGAGTATGCCAACTCCTCTATGGTACCTGATCCCAACTCTGATTTTTTTTAGAGGTTGTGTTTGCTCTGCTCCCGATTTGTATTACTTGAATGGACTTATGACCTTGATTACTGTTACTGCATATTTCATGATTCAAATGTCATTATTTATAGTTTAAGATGATCGGAAGAACTTTTTGCTTCAGTAATTTTATACTAAATAGTAAATATTGATTGCTAAAGAGCTATAGATTGAAGACTCAGCCCGCTCGGCCCCTATTTTGAAACGACAACCCAGTCTTCTTTCTATCATACAAAGTGTCTTGTCATTCTGAACAGCTTTCCTTGAAAAGCTTATACTGTCAACAGGATTTGAGATAAAATAAAATCTGTATCTTATGGACTGGCCCCGTAGCCTCCTTGCAGGAAAAAAAACATGGGCATTGATATTATTTCATCTTCAATAAGGCATATTAAAATATCTGTAGTTTACTAAACATATAAGGGTCTATATTTTAAATCCCCAGTTACATTATCCATGTATTTGCAAATATCAACAACATCAATACAACTTTGCCTCAATAATGTTTTAGAATTCTCGATCGTTTACGAGATATCTATAAAGAGTTGATGACTATTTAGATTCTTAATTCTGGGACCCAGTCACTTTTTCTTCATAATAACTGAAAGACTTCTTGACTTTATACAATTTTTTTTATGTTTCTACAAGTTATGTATACATAAGAGGTATATAAAACAACATTGTAAAATTTCTTCTTCAACGTTATCCAATTTTTTCAGGCTAAGGGAAATATCAACATGCAATACATCTGCTGAAAATAAAATCATTTTATTCATAAACTTTCATAAAACATTGAACGGGTCCTTTTTTTTCTTTTTTATTTTGAGAAATTTTCTGCACAAATTGAAAAACAAAACAAAACAAAAAACAAAACGAAACAAAACAAATACTAGTAAACAAACAAAAAGAAACAAACAAACAAAATACAAACAAATAAACAAAAAGAAAATGAAAAGAAATAAAATTAAAACAATAAAAATGTTCTTCCTTTTAGACCGATGTGTAGATAGTAGAGTACATGTCTTTATAGAAGACACAACAGGCCCCAAGATCATAAAACAGACTTAGGCTTAAGTCGAATTTTCAATCAGCTGTAAAATGTTTATTAATTATTAAATTAATCTCTAGATTTGCAGGTGGCAACACTTTTGTGAAGTAATATTAAAATATTTTAATAAAACTGAAAGATTTTGACTTAAGCTTAAGGTGCTTCATGATCCCTGGGCCTGATGTCCTTTGCTTAATTAATATTCCACTCAATTTTTTGACTGATTAATTGATTTAAATGATTGATTTATCAACAAGCTATCGAACTTGTTTTACATGTAAGCGCATAAAATTTAAAAAGTGTCCTTTTTAAATATCTCATTTAAACGATTAAAAAACGAACATTTATGTTCAAAATACTCTTATTTATTGGAAACCCAGGATTAGTTTTTTTTATCACCCCGGATCGAAAGATCCCGGGGGTATATTATTTTTGTCCTGTCTGTCTGTTGTCAACTTTAACCTAGCCCATAACTATTGCGCTGTCAAGAGTAAGGCTTTAATATTTGACATGAATGTTCATTATGACAAGACCTTTCCATTGGTACAGAAATTTTTGACCATGTGACCTCAACTGTGACATTTGACCTACATTTGAAAAACTTTAACATTGGCCATAACTATTGCACTGTAGTCTACGTCCCACTCCAGAACTGTGTTACCATCGGGGGCATAATGTTTCACAAACACATCTTGTTTTCATTATTTTTCAATGTAAAATGTGTAAAAAAAAATTACTTTTAAGATTTAAAAAAAAAATGATTAAAATAAACATAAAAGGACTTAGACACAGATTTGAAGTTAATATCTTCTCAAATTTTCTGTATAATATCATGACTTATATGTTGCTATAGCATTTCACACGGAAATATAATAAAAAACGTATTTTATCTGCAAGAATGTGTCAATCAAACTCGTTCCAAAATTCGTAGTTTCAATAATTTCCAGATAAAATACGTTTTTTAATTATATTTCCGTGTGAAATGCTATAGAAAATATTAACTTCAAATCTGTGTCTAAGCCCCTTTTAGACATAAAGAAGTAAAGTTTCAAGCAAAAATTGGGTTTGGGGTCGATAGTGGTTAGATATACTTTTCTGAGTATGTCATTGATAAATAGAATCGTCCTTTGCTATATCAGTATTTTAATATAAATGCTCACTCCTCCATTGTACCTGATACCACCTCTGATGTTCTGGAGATCCGTGTTTGCGCTGCTTCAAAATTTGTATTGTTTAATGGACTTTTGAGGTTGAATACTGTTCGTTATCTCCATACATTTCATACATCATATCCTTTGTCTTTGTATGAATTATATGGAGATAACGAACAATATTCAAGTTCCCAAGTCCATTTAAACAATACAAATCAGGAGCAGAGCAAACACGGACCTCTAAAACATTAGCTGCAATAATGTAGCCCTCTCCCTATCTTTTTTTTTTTTTTGGAGAGGGCTACAACACCTCAGGACCTCCGGAATGGTGCAAGAGCGGGAGTGATTCACTCCCGCACAGATTTGGGCTCAAATTATCAGTAAGTGGCTATTTTATTAAAATTACTTACTTGAACTCAAAAAATGTAGTTATGCAAGACATGAATTGATCCCAAAATATACCGAATAATCCGTATATCAGTTATTTTTCGTGTATGTCAACGTCACAAGTTGAATTTATCCGCCATGTTTACTGACCTTGATCGATTTTATTTTGGGACGGCCAATGAGAATTTAGGATCTAGGGAGCGGATCTACTACGGAATTCCCTTTTTTAAGCATAAATATCACAGCAAGTTAAAAATTTTCATATGGAATACGTTTATTCATCGATGTTTAGTGATATCATGTGATGTTTAATGATATCATATATGGAGATAACGAACAGTATTCGAGCTCAAAAGTCCATTAAACAATACAAAATAGGAGCAGAGCAAACACGGATCTCCAAACATCAGAGGTGGGATCAGGTGCCATGGAGGAGTGAGCATCCCCTGCCGACCGATCACACCCGCCGTTTGCT